TTTTTTTTTTTTTTTTTTTTTTTTTTTTTGTTTTTGTTTCGTTACTTAAAAACATCCTACAATTTTTTTCCTTTTTATTCTCGTCTTTCTACATCATCAGCCTACGACTACTAGTTGTGAATCTATTCTAAAAAGAGGCTACGCTAGAAATTCTAGAGAAAGCTTACGGAAAGCAGCATTGCTTGGAAACGTCGCGTCTCCAGAAAAGAGATTGGTTTTTTTTTCTTTTTTCTTTCGTAAACCACGCCCGGCCAGCCCAAGCACCCGACCCGCGGTGCGCAGCAAGCAGTCCTTACTATTTATATTACAGTAGATAATATGTTGTAGAATAATATATATTTATTATTAATATGAATAGCCAGTCAGTCTTGACGGGTGCGAAGTGCATAGGCTGAACGGTGCCTCGCCTGATGTGTGTTTTCCTTTTTTTTTTCTTTTTTTTGGGGGGGATTTTTTTAACGAGGAGAGGCAGTTGTATATATATATATATATTTATGTGTGTGTATATATATATATATATATATATATATATATATCCTAACTATCAGCTAACTATCTACCTAAACTTAATCACTTAATCGATTATCCTATATCCAAAAAATGGTACCTATCCTATATATTCATAGTCAACACTAACTACACATCTTGCAGTGTCCTCTTCGCATGTTCTATACAATATATTACGACGCATTTGCTCTCGTCTTCTCTCACCGTTCACTCTTACTTTCTCTCTTTATTTATATTCCATGTTCCATCTCTTCTTTCTCCCTCCCTTTTGTCATTCACTTTTTTGTTTGCCTTTTCTTTTCATATACATCGTCTTGCTTCGAATAAAGAACGCTCACGTACTTTCATTCACCTTCTAATTATAATTTTCCACGTTTTTTTCGCTCGTTGTCTCGCATTCATTGATCTTCCTCGCTCTCTCTTTCTCTCCTCTCTGCCTGCCCTCCAGTGCGGCTCCGTATCTGCGGGAGTTGGCGTTTATGTCGGCCGAACCATCGTTCTCCCGCTCTCCCGGTCAGCACTACAAAAAATGCTGCTTTTTTTTTTTTTGTTTTGGTCGTCACAATAATAATTAGTTATTTAGTACAAGTCTATTAGTAAAATTCTTCAAAATTCACTATTTAATCACATGTGATTTTTGTTGTCAGTCGTGGTGACAATCGCTTGTGCAACAATTTACACACTCTCGCAAATAGGTTTTCCCTTTCGCCTCTTTCCTTCTTTCTTCCTCTTGCTCTTTTATTTTTTTTTTTCTCTTTCTTTCCTCTTTAACCTCCCTTCATGCATGGACTCAAATCGAGTAATAATCGGTCTCTTAAAAAATAGCTCATACCACTTTTTTCATCTTTTATCTCGTCATCAAATCGTGATGTACCAAAATAAACTAAATATATTATTTACTTCAAGTCTCAACAGTGTAAAAATCTTTCATACTTTAGATGACGTCAATAATAGTAATCATTAATTATAATAATACAGCATATTATTGTAATATTATAATAATAGCTACGATCGCCTCTCTCTAACTCTATCTAACTACCTGCCCGCCACTTCGAGCCCAGAGCTCTTAATATTTGGTAGAAAGCTTTCTAATCGTTCCTCGATTCGATCTAAGAAGTCAGACAATGTGAAAAACTGTGCCGGATGTAAAAACGGGCTTAGAGGAACGCAGGAGAGGAGGGTGTTCTTTTCTTTTTTTTTTTTTTCTTAGATATTAGTGTTTTCTCTCTCTCTCTCTCTCTCTCTCTCTCTCTCTCTTTTTTTAAGATATCACGCACAGATAGAAAATCCTCGAGTTATACTTCCTGTTTCTTTTTGTTTCCTCGCGTTCGATCCTCTCGCCAATCGTTCTGCTCCAGTCCCATTATCTTTTTTCGTTTTCGTTTTCGTTTGCAACGCGATTTTATTCGTTCGATATAATAAATTAATTTACACTCTATCTATCATATTCCGTTGTAACAAGCCTACTCTGTTTTCTCTCGTTCTCTCTCTCTCTCTCTCTCTCTCTCTCTTTCTCTCTCACTCGCTCTCTCTCTTTCTCTCTGTCTCATTTTTTCTCGGGCGGTGTGAATTAGTCTCGGTTTACAATGATCCGCCATTTGATTTCTTTTTTTTTTTCCCTTCTTTCAGTTCCTAGACTCCGCACGAACCGTATAGGTGGTTTTCGGCCCGTCAATCCCGTTAGTGGCAACTATACACATACAAAATCTATTCGAATTTGTAACCAAAAAACAAACATAGTGATATTTAACTGGCTACAACGCAAAAACAATTATATTCTCTTAACTAGAAGATCAAAATTTGGCTCAAGTTTCGCATTTACATACTGACGTAAAAATATATTATAATATTTTTCAGCATATCCCTGTCTAGCGGATTTGTCTGAAAAGGCACAATTCTAAAAAAAATATCTGTATTCACTGTACAATTAAAACTGATATCGATTCGTAGTAACTGTACTCATAAATATAAATCCTCTAAAAAGTACTATGTTCCTTTCCTTCTTGTTATAATAATTACATATATCCTGAAGTTTTTTTCGTTTAGAAATAAAGCTTCATCTTTTGTTCTCTCTCTTTCTCTCTCTCTTTCGCTCGCTCTCTCTCTCTCTCTCTCTCTCTCTCTCTCTCTCAAAATCTTCACTTCTTTTTCATCCATAAAATATATTCGTCCGTGATTAAAAGAGAACGCGAACTGTACTTGTAAAAGTAGATAAAAATCTCCGCGTGGCAATACATACAATATATATGCCTGACTTGGAATGTCTGAACGAAACAGAAGAAAACAAAAAGAAATAATATGATGAGAGTGCAGTTAGTGGATGGGGTGGTGTACGCTGTTAAGGAAGAGTTAATTTTTTTGTCAGTATCCTCTCTTATAAAGACACTGATGTCAGCATCTTCTGTTAAGATACTGATTCACGGCCTCTTCTTTTCGCAGCCCAGCCACCGGCCAGCCAGCTGGCACGAAAGTCCGGTAGCTACTGATAAGTAACTGAATCTGAATGTTATTTTTTTTCTCTTTTTTTTTATCAACTCTAGCATTTGGAAGTGCTTTTTTTCTGTATATTATTATTATTATTATTTCTTGGGAAGAATTCTCTTTTGTATATTTCTGAGCAGCGTTTCTTTTATAGTTTACAGTTTTTGTTAAAATATTTTATTCACACTCTCAAGCGTTCAGCTTCGACTTAACGTTTCCTTAGTAAATGTAATACCTAAAGTTAATCCTGGAAGCCTATCAGCTTGACACTAAAACTGTCCGTCGCAGAATATCAGTTTTGTCACTGTCGTAATGATGTGTTGACGTTACAGCGTATGGAGCCGTGCTGGTGCCGAACAACGTAGACACGAGCACTCGTACGCCGTTCTTATGACAACATTCATTTTCTAATCGTTGGAAAATATTAACTACTTTCACCTATTTATCTGATGGATAAAATGTATAAAAGATGGCTGGCAAGTCAATTATCATGAGGAAGAATCTTATCTGACTTTATGTAATGTATTTAGTCTCATCTATTCTTCATTAATATAATCCTTCGTATCAACAGATGTGGGTCTCCTAACTTACATAATCCTCGGTGTAATCGTATCTGAAATATTAGAAGGGAAGAATTGATACAGCTTTGTCTGCAAGATACTCTCTGTGAGAGCTATAAAAGACTCAATGTAAAATACTATGTATACCTAAAAACCGTAGCCTACTTGGGCTGCTGAGCTTGATACTGTTGATAAGAATCATCAGGGGACGCCGCATTACTTGTTTGTTCAGAGTCACCCAACGGCATGGTATGAATAATGCTAGGAGGGTAAGTATAAGGATAAGGATGTGGACTTGCTATGTACTGAAAAACGAAATATTGAAAATATTTAGTTTAACATGAAGGAATAATTTAAAATTTTAGAAGTAAAAATGCGTGCAACACTTACGGAACCAGTGCCAAGATGTAACGTCGACATTTGTGTAGTAAGTTGAGGAATCATACTGTATTGTGGATTACTAGGATCAGCTGATGGCATCATCTGTAATATCAAGTTCATGTTTTATTATTCGTTTAACGTTAATGTAAAACTATAATTTTAAATTTAACGTGAAAAAGGTTGATAATTATTTATGGAAATATGAAATTTTTTATAGCACTGGAAGAGTATCCTTTGAAAGAAGTGATAAATAAATTTAATACAAAGAAAACGAAAGTAAAACCAACAAAAAAATGTGTACAAAAACTCACGTCGACCTGTTGCATATGTGGAGGGGCAGTCTGCACCAAATAAGGAGTCACCCAAGGCGTTCCTGGTACACTGTAACCAGGTAAAGCTTGACCATAATGACGACTATATTGTGTTAAGGCTGTAGGTAACATGTGAGTAGTTGCAACCCCGTTTTGACCAACACCGCTTGTATCGTAATTCAAAGTCATGTTCTGTGAAAGTACATATCACAACTATTAAAACTGTACATAAAAATGCTATTTTCATTTTTTTCCAATTGGTTAAATTACCTCTCCAGTTTCTCTCCATATTGTACTTTTGTATAATGATTTTTTCTTATTACCACCATCTGCAAATTTCACTAATAGGGGATCTTTAGCTCCTTGTAGTGCCTTTCCATTAAACATCTGAATTATTTGTTCACATTTTTCTTTAGACTCCATTCTAAAATATACATAATATAACATTATTAAATGTGGCAATAATTAATGAGATTGTAGTTATTTTTTAAATGGCAATATGATACAAACCTTGCAAATCCAACGCCTTTACTTTGTCCAGCAGTATCACGTAATATGCGTGTTGAAATAACTTGCCCATACTGAGCAAGTAAACCCTCAACATCATTTTCTTTGAAGTTCAGTGGTAGATTTGCAATATACAAATTGGTGGGGTCTTGCTCCTGTTGCTGAGAAGAGAGTAAAAAATACTATGCAACTTATTGTATTACATTCCTGGATTTGTATATATTTGTATATAAATGTCAAAAAAGCTTCATATCTATCATTTTAACATTCACAACTAGGACACATATATTCATATATTCCTGTTTAACTATGATCACAGATGAATGCACAGACGAGATCACTACAATGAGAAACTAATGTTCATAATAAGTATCGTTGAAACTTTTTTTATAATAATTTACAAGATGAAAATATTACAATTTTCTTATATTTTCTATGATTATATTATTTAAAATGTTCAACAGCACATTATATGTACACATTCACATGGAATGTTAAAATGATAATTCAAAATTAAATTTCATATCAATACAATGATGCAAAAAATTCAAAAAACTAAAATTTGATACAATAATGGCAAAAATTTTTTTCTAACTTGTCAAATGTTTTTTTAATAATAATAATGAAAAAAAATTGTATAAATCTACAATGAGATACTACTAAAGGAGATCATTAAATAATTCTTTTAATCTAATATTGAATGTGTGAATGAACAAATACTTAAAACGATACGTAACAAATTAAAATAATTATTAGAACTTTGATATTGAAAAATTATCATGCTTCATGGCATTACTTTACCATATTGTGGTGGTTCTCCAAATTTGCTTTGTGGATGCTTAGAACTAATATTGACATCAAGTATATTCTGCATTTTTGTGCAAAGCATGCTCACACGCATTCACTTTTTCATAACAAAAATCTTTTTCATTAGATTGTATATAAAATTTACAAAATATATGTGCTTATCAGCATTCAAAACTTAATAATAATGATGTAAAAGTCAAGAAGTAATAAATTCATAAAAAATCACAATAGTGAATCTCGCCTGTGCAAACATTCTTTGTTTAATACGAATAATAAATTGTTTTATTATTCCAGAACGTATTTATCAGCAATTTATTTTTTTTTCTTCAATCAAATCATTTGTATTAAATGGCATCTTAAACATGATTTTTATTATGATGTTTTTATTAATGTTATTTTTTTGACTATGTAAAATAATACTTTCATAATATTAAGTATCTTTTTTTACAATAAACATTTTTGTAAAGAGTATTCATAATTCTTTTCTAAGTATTATATTATCTTTCTACTACTTTTTATAAATTTATATTTTAAGAATCACATATTCTTACATTATAAATAACCAGTACCACAAATAATGCAAGCTATCTAATTGTTTAAACTGTAATTAACAATACTGAGGATAACCATTCAAAGCATTAATAGAATTTCAATCACATATGACACACTGTTGGATACAAGCATAACAAAAAAGCACAGGCATGTTCACATATATACAGTTATATTATGAGATAGAAATGAAAGTGAATTATTAAATTATATTTTGCAATATTACTAAAATATGTTTCCAAAATATATGCACATACATATACATGTGTTCATGCTCAAGTTTTCCTTGCTTACAATTCTCATATGTAGAGAACAAAAAGGAAAAAGATATATGTACACTAAACTTAACTCGAATTCGAATTTGATATTTATGCACCCTCAAGCATATTTTGAGATCCACCATTTCTCTCAAAAATCAATCAATTCTACAGTTACTTGAATATACTTATACTTTACGACAATTTACTTCAATCTTGCGAATGCATTAAAACAAAAAAATAAATAATGAAAACATTATGATATAAGCTAAGCTTATGGCATCTGTATATGTATATATACATTTGTTTTCAAAGATATAATATACATATACACATATATGTATGCGTATATTAACATGTATACATATATGTATGATAAAACCATAATATAATTTAATGATTTTGTACCTCAATAAAATGATTTAATTGATCAAGTGCGAATGTGTATAAAGGATATCGAAGATAATTTATCATATATAATTAATAAATCATTAGAGAACTGTAGCAATTTCTCTGCAGCCAGAATGTATTAAATCATTGCTAAATACATTTTAAAATTCCTAAATACACATCCTAAACTTGTTTGGTGTGCTGGTTAAACTTTATTAATCAAGCCAAGTGTGTCAATCAGAGTCAACCAACACTCCAGAATTAAGATAGCACCTGATCTTCGCATAGCACCACTAACTGGTAAGTAAATACCATGTATCCTGAATACACTTAATAATGGGTATATTGTTTAGTTATATCATATCACATGCGACTGACATCATCACAGCTGCTGATAGCACCCCGTGCTTTTACCGCGACCAGATTAGAAGAAACATTCCAAGTTAGTTTTTTATTTAGCAATAGATATAGGCAGGAATCAGTACTTTTTGTTGGCAATGTGCATACGTAGATGAAAACAAAAAAAGAAATTTAAAATTGAAAAAATTTTTAAATTAAATGAATATAAGCGATCTTTTCTAATATTTACACATCGTTAGAATAAGAGACAAACACATAACATTTGACAGATTGCACAGAGAATAAAATAAAATATATTGTATTTTATTCATGTAGTATAGTATATACTATCACATTTAAAAGCAATTTTAATGGAGTATTCTAAAAAAATTTCAATATGACTCTTTTAATATGACAATGAGCTACAGATATTTTTTTTCTTTTTTACATAGGACACAGACACAGACAGTTGAATACATTAGAATAATTTGCTAGAGGCTTGAATTAGTGCTGAAATGAATGCAATCTTCAGACACGACTTATAAATGTGTTGACACAGCAGTATCAGCAGTTTGTGGCCGAGATACAGCAACAAGCATCGATAGTTTGGTAGGTATAGATAGAATGACAGAGAACTGGTGAAAACTAGAGATTTTTAGACAAGTGAGATAGGTTCTAGTAGGAAGAGTATTATAGCATTTATTTTTATGTCAAAATATGCATAATTGCCTGCTACTATATTTTCACTGATAATATAAGTATATGAATTTCATAGTTATATTATCTTTATAAATATTTGCACTATAAGTATGATTTTATTCTTGTAAATTTTTTCGTTTTTTTTATTATCAATGAAAATATAATTTGTACATAATACCACCCCTCTAGCAGCAATTTTTTTCTATTGTTAAAAGATAAAGGATTTTGTGCATGTAAAACAGATATATTTATAGATTTATTTTATTTTAAATCCCTTCTCACTTGTCAGTAAAGTTAAATAGTTCTTTCTTATATTTTTCATGAAACCTATCATTTTCTTTTAATCTGACATCTCTATACTAAAGATACTTTTTTCTACAAGACGCAACGATTACAGAATACTAAACAGTCTTGTCAAAATACAAATTCTATGCATTTCTAGAGGGGCTGAGAGCAGAGCAATGATGCCAAGACGATGATGCCATGCTTGTCTTTCAATTATTAGTAGATAAAATTGAATAATTCAACAACATTTCGAGAAATTTCATAAGGTTATTAAGTATTATTTATTGATGATACTTACTTTGAAATTTAAAATTATAATTTAAAAAAAGGTATACAGTATGTATATAAAACGGATTAATGTTTAGTATTTATTGTAACAATTTAACAACATAATCATTTTTTTATAGTTAAAAAAATAAATAACAACTTATAACATATAACTATATAGTCAAATATTGCTAAAAAATCTCAAAAAAATTTCTGTACAAATGTTATACAAATAATCTTCATTAGAAAGCTAAACAGTCACTGAAAGACAACCATGATATCTACTGTGATTAGAATTTCAGTACTTTTTTTTATCCAACATCATATAATGCATGGAAGTACTGTACTGTAGACACATTGATCACAGCAGTACAGGAATAAGAATCTTTTTTGAATTAATGACATTTAATAATTATATATCAATGGGAGAGCAAAGGGGTTGTAGTAATGATTAAATATAAAAGGATCATAGACGTGTTCTAGAACAGGACAATAAATAGAAAGGTAGAAAGGTAGAAATAGAAAATAAAAAGGACACAAGATAAAAAAAATAGGAATTGGGAGGGGAAAAGAAAGAAAAGAAAGAAAGAAGAGGAGTTTACTGTTACTCTGGTATTACTGTACTTGCATGCACAACCAACGTACACTGGGCAGTCTAGGGAGCAACCAGATACCCACTTTCGCCATCTGCGCTTGGATGCCCTTGGCGACCAGTGCTTTCACAGCACCCTCAGCCGCCACTGGAGACTCAAAGTCTACAAATCCATAACCTGTAACACAATAATTGCAATACCAATTAAGAAAAATAATTGGCGATATTGAATTCAACCATTAGTAATAAAAAAAAAACAGATAAACACAAAGATACGTAAAAACTATATTTACCTTTACACTTATTTGTATTTTTATCCAAAATTGCCTTTGTTGAAGTAATAGTTCCATATCTGCAAAAACACAATGTATTAGAAACAACACACTCCCCATATGTCATAAACAAAATTCTACTAGACAATGTTTGTTAGATCTTATTAAAAATATAAAGTTACATTGACAACCACTTCAAATGATAATATATCTATCAGATTTTAATAAAAAATTCTAACTGTACGAATGACTTACTGAGAACACATATTTACGAGGTCCTTGTCAGTTGTATTTTGGTTGAGGCCACGAATATACAAATTTGTTTTTGATAACTGTTCTGCCTGTTGTCCTTGTATAGCATTATTGCTAAGACTTGTGCTCATTGTCCCACTTCGACTGCCGGTAGCACTGCTAGAACTACTATTAGTATTAGCTGGAGAAGAGGCTGTAGGCACCCGTTGTCCACCATACTGCAATATAGTTAAAAACATTTTTTAACATAATAAATATTATAATAATAATAAACAAATCAATAAACCACGTAAATATGTTTTATTTTGAGAAAAAGCTTGTAAAATTCATCGAATAAAAAAATCTTTTCTGTATTAATAACAATTAATATTTTTTAAGCAACAAAGCTTGATACAAAATACCAGTTTAAAAAAACGCAAATAAGAAACAAATATAAAAAAAATAGGATTCAAATATTATTCTCTTAAAGAAAAACATCACTGGACTTGGATCATATGTTTGGAAAAAAGAAAATATCGATAATAATTACAAAAGTATATTAGCGACGCGAAAAGATTAAGGCTATCGTGATACAACACATGATAATTTTTTATTTTATCACACTTTCTATTTGTATATTATCAGAACGAAGTCTTTCCTTATATTTTCAACTTTTACTTTGTATAATTATGCCGGTAAAACGTAACATTAGTTGAAGTGAAATAAACATTTCAGTTACTCCAAGCAAAGTGCATGCAAATTTTGAATTATCAATCGACAAGATGTACTACGTGTCGAGAAAAGAAAGAATCCTTAATGCAAGGTCGGAAGAACGAACGAAAGAATTCGCACATCATTTCGACGAGAACTGTCTGCTGCGTTGTCATGGCCCCACCCGGTTTAAGGAAGAGTTAACCTTTTCACTGCGCAAAACTAGAATTTTTTTTCTGTCTGTGTGTGTTTCGCCGAAATAATCAAATCTAAACCAAATAACATCTAAACCAAAACTCCCATATAAAAACAAAAAGCTCAGTACATAAACTAAAACACTTTTGTGTTCTGTTTTTATAGGTTATCTCGTTGATCAAACGAAACATGCTAGACATTTCCTAACCATTAATCTACACGTAAGTCGACAACCAACGTCATCCACTTTTTGTACAACGATCAAATTCGCCTGCAAACAACTTAAAATCTCTCATCTCCCAAAACAAAATTTTAAATCTTACTAGTGCGCATTCTAGATAAGAACATAAAATTCAAAAAAACGCATCAAACATTTTCTATGCATGCCCGAGTAGAAAATCATACCCGAATAAACAACCAATTCGACGTACAATGCGCAAGGTAAAAGCCCATTTATCCATATCTGCCTATATCGAACGAATTGAAGAATCGTTTTATGTATGTACGTGCTAATCGAAAATGACGACTTGTAGAAGAGCACGAGTGCCAAATGGAAGACGAAGAAGCTTCGGTTAGGGAAGAACGAAAGGAAGAAAACGACTTACCGACGCGTGTTGTGCGTAGGTGGCGGTGGCGTAAGGATTCGCCGTAGGCGGTAGTTGCTGTGCTCCGACGGGCATCTGGCCGGCCGCAGCTGCAGCCGCTGCGCTTGGATACCGCGTGTAAGGTGGATACGCTGCCGCCGCCGCAGCCGCAGCCGCAGCCGCATGAGAGGGCGGCGCTGCGCCCCAAGCTGCGGCACCGCTCGCACGATACTGCACCGGGTTCCCGCCTCGTGGTCCACCGCCGGTGTTCCCCTTCAATCCGTGCCCGCCTCCACCACCGCCGCCGCCACCACCTCCACCTCCGCCGCCGCCACTTGCCGGGCCAACGCCAACGCCACCGCCTGTAGCGCCGCCGCCGCCGCCACCGCCTCCACCGCCGCCGCCGCCGCCGCCCCCGGCACCACCGGCGTTACCATTATTAGCACCCACGTACGTCGGTCTTGGACCGTTTGTACCCTGAAACACATGCAACAAACAGGTACATTTCAATCGTTTTTCATATCAACAATTCGTCGTTCATTGATTTGTCAGTAGACTGTATGTTTCATATCTTTATAAGTACAATTTCAAAGGTACAACACGTAAGTAGAAAGTTGTTCATGTTGCGACGGATATATTTTAGACATTCTATACACAGAGCACTTCAAAACACTTCTAAATAAGTTAGGTATAAGATCTCAATTAACACATCAATTGGTGGAATTATTTTACCACTTTATCATTGATGTGATTCTATAGAACATTTAGGATCAGATTTATTTGTAAAGCAGTGACGTTACTACTTTTTTTCATTTTGTTACTTAATAAATCGAGATCTATATCTAATTAGATCAAATTCAATCACAATCATGATATTACGCATGAATCTTTTTAAGTACAGCTGGCATTTAAAAGCCTCATACGGGAATACAAAACGTATAATTATAGTTGAACACAAAGTGATCTGCAACGTGACAAAACATAACAAGATCGTGATCGCCGGCAAAGGGGCGAATGCGAGTCACCTAAGAAATAAACCGTTCAGAATGATTAATATCGCCTTGAGTATTACTACTGGTAGACAGGCTAGGAATGGACAATCGGTTCAATTATAGAAAAACGGAAAAGAAAACGAAAACCAGAGGCGGCTTATGCTCCATTTGAAATTTGTATGGCAATGATAACAATTGTTATTTGCGGTGAAAACAGAAAGCTCGTTTTCTGCAACATTTTTCTTCATCGCAATCACTTCTGTGTTAATTTTCTTCGACCGTTTCAAAGTAAAGATCATTGTATTACCCTCGCAAATGATTATGCGTGGAAAACATACACACGCGTACACATGCTCAAACGGAGAGCACACTTAGCCATTACGCTATGCTATCCCAATTAGAGTCATTTGCACGGCAAATTCGTGTCAGTTAATGTCTTTAGCAAACACATTACAGCAACTCTTATGAGTTCGCGTACCAACAGTAAGCACAATCGGTTGGTCTGTTGCCAGATAAATTTGTTCACAAATAGGCCTTAATTGCAAAGTTTAAGTTCGGAACGTACATATATTGTGCACGAAGCAACAAAGAGGGAATGTCCTCGAAATGTATCCAGTTAAAAGCACCAAACTGGAAAGTATGGCTCATGATACATAAAATCATTTTTCCCGCCTTATGAATTTCTTCTGAAAAATGTTTGCCATCTGTGCCATCATTTCAATAATGGACGTTCGTTATTACGAGCGGTTTTGTACTTGTATATCTGGTGTTTGTTTTACGATCATTATAATTAAGTAATTATTTTAATTACGTTTATCATTATTTTGCTAGATATTTTAATCCAAAAGAAGCTTGCAATAACTATAGGAAACGCAAATTCATTTACATACGAAATGATTCTCGAAACAGTTGACGATTTGAATTTATCGCACTTATTTCTTTTTCCTTTTTTATTAACTTATCTTCTAAAATGTATTCACGTAGAAAGGAATTATATGTACATTGTACATACATATATATATGGTTATAAGTATAGCTTTTATCTATCGTGCTTGACCTCCGCATAAGAGTACCGTCAAATATTAATAGTACAGAAGTCTCATTACAAATGATTGTAAACGCGTTTCTCACATTGAATGCTCGTTCATCTCTTATTGACGCAAATTCGAAACAGTGTTACGATTACTTATGTAACGATAAGATAATAACATTTTACTTATAACAAGTTTCAACATCTTAGTCTCTATCTTTCCAATTATATTCATATAAATATGAGTCTCACTACTTGTATAATTGTACTCAATTTTGTTCACTAAATAATGTGAACTATAATAGTTCTACTATACTAATAAAACTATAGTAGTTAATATAAAATTTTATGATACTTTCTATCTCCATCTCCATAAAAGTCTAATTCTTATGTTTTAATTGAAATAAAATCAAAAAGAAGCAGGTGACACAACAGCTAAGTATCAAATGAGAAAGGAAGAAAAGGAAGAGCTTTTTCTATCAATCAAATGGCGTGAGCCCACCAGGTGGACGATTCTCTCATCGAAATAATAATAAAAAAAAAAAAAAATGAATGGACAACATCAAAAATAAATTGCCACCACGATCACGAAGGACTTTTCTCATGGTGGTGCGGCCGTTATTGCATCTGTCGCAATCGCAGGACAGGCCTTTCCAGGACTTTCAAGCGTGTTGCATTCCAATCTCTTTAGAAAGGCCTTACTCGTTGATTTGCATTTTTGGCATAGTTGTGATAACACGGCCAAAATTTACCGTTTGTTGGAGAACAAGACGAAGGCCACAATTAGACTATGGGAAGAGACAAAAGAGATAAAGACAGATCACGCAGAGAGATGAATAAAGAAAATCACACAGAGTCAGCCAGTGATACCAGAGCTGAAAATCAAGACTGTAAATCACTTATCATGAAACTCGAATCTTGTTACTTCCTGTACTGCATACCGACCTCTTTCCTCCTTATTAACGAACATAGGAAAGTCATGTTTCATGCTTCTGTGAGGGCGTTTTGTTTTTAAGCTTCCGTTAATTTGCATATTTCCAAGATACACGTGAAATGCTGTCTGACAAGAAGAAAGCGTTAAGAAACAGATCTTGTTGGAAACCGTTTATCGACACGGTTGTGCGTATCGACTCTGCTACTTCCTGTATTATCCGCAAACTTCTATTTCTCCTGTGTGATATCGAGTAGGCAAAGACTGGTTAAAATGGGATATATATATCTGCAAATTTATAATAAACGTAGATTGAGTTAAAATGCTTTCTCCTTGTTGAACTTTTTGTAAGATTCTTCAAATTTGTTTCTTGCCACAAATAATAATGTAATAATTGTTTGTATGATATTTTCAATAGCTTATTAGTTACTATACGCGAATGGTCCTAAAACTAAAAAAATTACTCATTGGCAAATTTGAGCAGTGAGATTATATTGTACTTTTCTTCTTTCCTTCATTAGTCTTATTCTCAAGTCCTTCTCTTTCAATAATATCATTAGAGGATCCGAAATCATTGCAACTTTAAAGCCATCTGCTATACTGGCAGTATTAAGAAAATTGTGAAGTCTCGCAGTGTGGGCAAATGGAAATTATGGAGGATGAGTCTCGAAAGGCTACGAATCGTCTTATTCCCATCGCTAGGTACGGTACACGTTACAATGATGCGCAGACGTGGTAAGCAGGAAGTGGCATCCGGTCGGTATATCACGATACCCATTTCACACGTCGTTCTCTATTTCGCAGTGACCAACGGCCACGTTGTCTGCATGCCGTTCAATTGAACCAGCGGCATCTACGGGCAAATCATCTGTCTCGTTATCGTACTGTTAAAACCACCGTGATGTTGGTACCTCCATTGTCACGACTACAAACACCTCCATGCACCCATCTTTGGAGTCTTGCAGCCGCCTTCTTTTCTGTTATGGATCTTCATTGATGTTCATTGCTAATACGAATAGTTGAGAGAAGTACGTTACATGCTCTTTTTATTTTAAATTAGTACGGTATCAATAACCACATTAATTTCTTTGAATGATATATTACATGATATATAATTCTTTATTTTGAGTTATTTAGTGAATCTTTGACTTAAAGGTACAATTTTTTTTCTTTTTGAACTTGGAAATGAATGATATCAATATAGTCGCTATAATATAATTATAATTATATATAGTTATATCAATATAATTATATATTCAAGAATTTGTAATCTATGCTTTGCAGAGGAGGATATTTTAAAATTAATGGAAGCATACGAGATCGTTCATGGATAGAGCAAAAATAAAAGGGAAGGCATACGAGAATCTGTGATTCTTTCTTCTTATCAGAGAGGCGTGACTTTACGAGGTTACTGATAAATGATAATTGTGGGGATTTCTTATCGAGTCATCCAGCATACGTAAAACTACAACTGTCGTAATTACTTTCTAAAACACTTTTTTCACCTTATGTCAACACTTTCCCAATTCTGTAATCAATCAAAAAAATATTTAAAAAAACGTAGAGTGTAGTACGTACTACGCTTACAAAGTACAAAAGGATATATACTTACAAGAGAGGTAATAAAAAGTTAATTTTTTGAAGTCATTTTTTCTTTATAAAAAATTATTACGCCATCAGCTGTCTATTTAGAACTGATTTAAAAAAATGTTTTTGTTCCTTAGAATGTACTCTCATATTACTTTAGATTAAACTCTTTAAATAAAATAGAATTGAACAGATAATGAATAACTTAAATAGATTAATTTACTTTAACTTAAGATTACTTATTTTACTTTCTAATTCATAATATAATCTGATATTTTTTGGAAATCGCAACATTTGTACACATGTTTCTCCATTTTCTATCAAAAAGTCAGCAATGTTTTGAAACATAGTCATACATAAAGTTGACGTAATCAAATGATAGATTTACAAAAGAACATTGAATTTCGTGTTACAATGAACAGTTATATGTATCCGTTACATTTGCAAGCTTATGTAGTTGTAAAATAGCATGCTGGTGTTCTAAAAAAAATTCAGGAATCTACTTGGAACAACATAAAATAATGAAGTAACTTCGAAGTGATTAGACTTTTCATTATTGCAATCTCTCATTTTCAAAATGAAGGGAATAGAGCATACTTTTGCAAAACAAATTACACTGCAAGATGAATCAATGACCAAACAATCACAGAATATGGCACATCCGAATTTTCTTTTATGTTAATACGTCCCAAAGCAAGTTCTGTAAGAGGAATCAGGATGTCCCACATACCATGCCAGGGCAAACAGCGTCAGTTGTAAGATGAATGTTACGCTCTATTAGCAAACGGATTCGCATAAACAAATTTGTATAAACAAATACGATGAAATTTTTTTCTTTTCATTGAAATCGAAGAAGATTTACTGATTGCTATAGACTGTAACTAATTAGATATTTTCGAAAACATCCAATATAATTATCCAATCATCATCATTTTCCGTGAGTGATATTCACAAAGATTAATTAATTTTTTTCGTTATTTTTGACGCATTTCCATTCTCTAAAACTTTAGAAAGAATTTACAGATTGATGCTATTATAAATAAATAAAGCATCAGACAAATTTCTATAGATTTTTACCAACAAATTCCTATAGATTCTTTTTTTAAATCATCACATCAGTGATTTTCTAATGATTCGTCAATTAGACAAATTGTTCATTACTTTTGTAAAATATTTTGAAAACTGTTTTAACATGTAACAATATTGTGAAGCAACAAATTTGCCATAAAGGAGAGTCATAGAAGCGTGCTGATAAAGTTTAACTTGCTTTAATCCCGTTTACTGTTTCATGGCCAAGATACATGCATGTAGCCAGTGAACACGGTAACAGATATAAACCGCACAGGTACTCTACTCTCGCAGTAGCGGGCAGTGTCCACTTCTCAGTTTCAAACACGCCATTAACTCCATCTAGAAATTCATTTTTCCTATATCAACTTTGCACTTCGCGGCACGTTCAACTAGCCTGACAGAGTTGCGTCGAACCGTTAACTCGTTTGTAAGTCGCAATTTCAAACTGGCAATTTATATGTATATTCAAAAGTAGTAAATTCCAATCCCCTGTCCTGCCATAATATGATACTTACGAGACTTGGATGTATTAAAATTGTCATGTAAATATAATAACTTTAATATGGATTATTATCTATGATATGTTAATAAGATTAAACATACCTCTACTTTTAAAATAGAGAAAAAAAAATTGAACTTTGAAAATTGCTCGGCGTCTTTTGCTGCTATTCTCGCCTGTTACGCCACTGATTGTTTCACGCGGCGTTGGCGTGCACTGTATTTGGCGAGGATCAATATCCTCGGTGTGCATCATCAAAATCCTGATTTTTTTATCGACTGATCATATTAACGTGTCATCTGCCTAGAATTTGTTACTATTTTGTATAAACACAAATTACAATATTTACATTTCGTGCGCCAAAGTTCCTAGTTTATGAAAATGAATTTATATAAGAGGTACGAACAATTGGCGGTAAATTAACTGATCAGAAGTTTTGTACTAATAATTAATGGTAAATAAATACCAATGATACGAAGGTTCGAAGTAACACATACAAATTCACAACGAACTTTTATCATTTGTAATTGCGAAGAACAAATTGAATCGGTGTCCCGTTCGCTAAGCATCGACGGATGCGCGTGGATGCGCATACGCATGCGCACACGGCCTTAATGGTCAAGAGAAGACGAGAAAAGAAATGCGATAGAAGGGGCAGGAGGGGGGATCAGGTAAGAGGGAACCAATCGTCAGGCTCGCTCATCTCTCTACGAAAGAGTTCCTCTTTGCCGGCGCATACCGGACATTCCGTTTCTTCACCTTGAGAAGATACGTATACCACGCACTCACGCAACATGTTGTGACACGCACTACTATTCCTTTCGCATTTCATGGAGAGACATAACCGTCACACACGCACATCATACACATACACGTATGTGACGTGCGGGTGCGCAACTTCGTATGTACTTTTGAATAACATTCTTTATCATATTTATAACTGAATATAGTTCCAAATCAACTGAAAAGAGATCAATTAAATCGATTGGGTTTTGGCTAGTCACATATTTCTGAAAACTGGCACGTTGACTCCCAATCGAGGGCAATTTCAATGATACCAAGCGTACTGTGAATACAAAGTAGAATTTCACGCCGAAGAAGACAATTAATTACTTTCGGATTGTTGTATCAGCAAGGTCGACCTCAAGGTAAGCGAGCACATAATACCAACACGTTTACCTTCCGATTGCCTGTGCTCTTTCCTTACGTGTTTTCAAGTACAAAACACGTGAGGCTAATTTACAAGAAGATTTAGGTTAGGTTTAGAGAAGGTTGCAACGATCTCGAATAGAATTTGAAGACTGAGGAAATTGTAGCAACTTCGAAAGCTACGATAAAGATGCACAAATAAGTCTATCTACACGCAATAGACACGTTCAGGTTTTGCGCATCAAGAGAGAAGCATTCGTACCGTGTTGCAGTTCATCAACACGAAGAGAACGTACTATTAAAAGTCTTCATTGAAAATATTTTCTCCTCGACATTCACTAATGAAGTCACGTATCGTGACCGATGGGCTGCAGGAGTTAATTATTGCAAAAGAGCAGCATTTATCGCGCACAGTTTTTTTTTTCTGCGTTTACATTTTAGAAATTTTTTAATTTCTTACAGCGCCTTTTTTCATATTTTGAATCTCGACGTTATTAACACAATAGATACTAGATAATATCGAAATCTAATTATAGCAAAGGACTCAAGTAAAGATACAGTCGTACCTAATATATTCGGGCGAATAATTACGTGCTGTCTTCGATCGAATGGTCAAAAACTTACCTGGAACAGAAAGAAGAAAACGAGATTAGTGAAATATAAAGTTTATATATTTTATATATGAAAACATTAAGAATTTTATATATATATATGAAATAATGAAATAAAAGCTCTATAACATATAAGATACATATTTGAAAAAAACATTAATGCGTCTTGTCAAAAAAATTTTTTTAGTAATACATTAATCGCTAGATTGCGGATGCTTATGAAAATTCAAGTATTTTCAAATGCAATTAAAAAAGTAGAATACAGAGATTTGTTTCACTCGTTAAATATTACAATGATTATTATACTTTATGCTATACTTTATTTACTTATTACATTCTATGTATTTTTATATATTACACTGTGCACTTGTATACTTTGGATCTTTCAATTTTCTATAAATTTATAAACATCCACAGTTAGTCGAGTAATTATTACTATTGGAATAATTACTATTGGAACAATCTACAGGGCATTCTTGAAACACTATTTGATTTTATATTTTTATACAAGTACAGTGATTAAATTAATAAAAAGTTAGATATAAATATTAAACTTTATAATTTACCTCTAAACCTCTTGGTATGAAAAAATCGTGATATACTAAGATTTTAATAAAATAAAAAAAGAAAAAAAGAAACAAAGATGAAGTAAAAAACGATTATTTTCGTCGGCATTTCTCTTATCGATTCCGGTGATTCACGAAACGGAAAGTCAATCTGATAAAAGTGTTATGAGCCATAGACGTAGTGAAAGTTACAAAAGACGTTGTAGTTTATTTGAAATTGTACAGTCAAAGCAAACGCATGCTAAAACCTGATGAACATTGATCATAGTTATCCCTAAACTTGATTCTTTCTCTGTCTATGAAAGGATCATTCACGCATGATGAACGCCTCACGTTTAATTTATTTTTATCAATTTTAATTAGAAAAATTCTTAACTTAATTAAATTCCAGTAGCGAGTTCAATCTTATGTAAATCAACTTTCATTTCTCTACGGAATTATAGTGAAATTTTGTATATATATTAAATATCTACGAATATCTATTATAAATTATTTTCTTTCATGTTTATATTTTTCTTTTTGTTTTAGGATGAGCATTTTCGATACGAATGGAATTCCTTCACAAAGCAAATAATGGAAGAATTAATAAAAACGCGTATCACGAATGATATAAGAAAAAAGGAATTCAATTTTGCAACTACAAAGAAGAAATATAATTACAGACTTTGTTAAATGGTCATAAGCATTTAAAGATCTTCTAATTTGTTAAAATTCAATTATACATGTGCTTCTTGTACTATATATCTACGCAATGTATGTGTCTTACAAAAGAAATTAATAGCACTGGATCATTAGAAAGGTAATATTGTATTAATGTGAAACAATAGAAAAAAAGTGAATGAAAGTGAAAACTGCCGTTAGTTTCAGATAACAGTAAGAAATGAGTAGTTTGCAAGCAGGATCATAAGAACTTCAAAATGAGTCAGCTGCTGTGAATCATCTTATAATAAGCCTTCCCAATCTCGAATAGAGTACTATATGAAAGAAAGTTACATTCTTTTTTATTTTTGTTCTTTTAGCTGACATCTAACGGTTTCAATAATTATAATATTTGAAGAAAATGATGCTAATGAATAAAAAATGATAATTCGTCAGAACTTTATTATAAAGTCTACAGAAAATGAGATATTGTTTGGAGATACATGTTTTAAACATTTAAATGTTTAAATATATATTTTAATTAATGAATTAACATATTTCTAATAGAAATGCACCATCACTATTATAATTAAACTGTAAAACCAGATTTTTCAGGAATATATATATGAATTTCATTTGAATGGAAATCAGTATTAGAAGTTGTTCGATTGTCGTATTAAAACGCACAGAAGAAAATATTGAACAGAACGGAGACAGCCGTTTATTCGAAATGAAAAAGCAGTCGGTAAGATACCAAGTTCACTGACTCCGATGACTAATACGAAATTAATTACTCAACTGCTAACGTTTCCTTCCAGACGCCTTAATGATGCTTCGACTACGTGGAAACTGTTCAAAATTTGCCAAGGTAGAACCGGCAAATCGTGAAAATTATCATTTGTTTTCAAGGATATGAGAAAGTAGTTTGATTTAAGACAATTTTTAAACTACATGGTAGTTTTGTTGTTTTCAAATTGTAAGCAACAATATCAAAAACAACGATTATTCATTATATTTATTGTCTGTACATTTTGATATATATAAAAATGACGCTGCATCGAAAAACAAATACCGATTTGAAATGATTGAAATGAATAACAGAGAGGAAAGCACACGAATTATGTGAATTTCTCTGCTGCAATTTACTAATATTATTAATTGTTACATTATTATGCAAGAGAGGTCAGAAAGTTGAATCAATGACAGATAAACAATTACAGTTATCTTTACACAGAAAGTTTCACAATAGGTACACCGATACAGTTAGTGAAGTAAAGGATTTCCCAATTACGCAGTTATTTTTAATTATTATCCCTATCTAAAGTGCAGTCGAGTGACTGACTTATAAATGTGATATTAATATTGACGATCGTACAGTAATTAAGTTAATGGCATTTTAAATCGGACATAACTTTAAGTGTCGGTGAAGTATTAATTGAAATTTACACGGGGTTTTAATTGGTTTTGTTAACATTTTATCATGTACTTCCTAACAATTATTTTTTAGCACCTTAGATTGATCTGGAACAGTGTAAATTCATAGGTTGTTGAAGGTTGTTGTTGAAATAAATAAAATTTAATCTAGAAATGCAACGCAATATTTCGGTGTTGTGATGTGCATAAAAATTCTGAAACAAACTGTAATTAAAATAATAATACAATGAACATATATATTATATTACAGACTGACCCATTTTGATCTTTCCATGCAATCATCTCCAAAGGTATTTGTTATTGTAGAAAATGTTTCAAGTGAAACTTATTGTATTTTAGGAAGGGGAGGGGACAATTTTACGATAGAGATCACTTCTACTTTGTTAAATGGAATCATAATCTTTTTTTTATACATCAATCGATAAAGCTCGGCAGACTAATCTACGTACGTCGAAACATTATTAGTTTAAAAGATATTTTAGCTTTAATTTTGTAAAATACACGAAATCTTGCGTTCATTGTTCTTATCTGTGCCATTATTGCGATTCAATTTTAGTAGCTTTTCAGATTTATCTGTGTGTTTTTATTACTTCACGATCTAATTGCGATAACCGAAACAGGAATTTCAACTAAGAAACGTCCCGATTCATGCACGTGTCGCCAGTTATTAAGGCTTCTTATTGGCATTTAAGTTTCGACTACACCCGTGTTAACGTAATAATTCAAGACCCGACGCAGAACTCGGTCCGGTCGGAATAGAATGATTGCTCGCATACCACAAATACGTAACACACGCTGCGTGTGCGTTGTGCAAAATTAAATAGAAAGCATCACGTTAAGGCGCATCCTACGGATTTTCATTCGATAGATAGAATATCTCTGCGCGTCTGTGGTAGTCGTAACATAATTCGTCGTATTTACGTTTCGAAAGATCCAGTTTGAGATTTCTTTTATAAACGAAATTACTCGACGAAAAGTGGTATAGTAATATATTATTTCTGAAGTTTAAAAATTGAGATTCAATGAATTTCACGCAAATTTTTTGTATATTTTACCTGATACAATGTCCTACTTAGATCATACTGTGTCTAGAAAATTTATATTATACTAAAAATTGTTAATTATTCAATAGTTAAGTTTTACGAAACAAAAAATTAACTTACTTTTCTTTGTTAATTACAGAGAAACAATTCATCGGCATAGCGACTGCAACAAAATCTGGTTTTACTCAACGTTTTCCAAAGTATATGTTGAGTTAATCGTTAGTCATCAATACCATGAAGCTGACCTACATGTGTGCCAGGAAATGGATCTTTCCTTGCACTTAATCAGTGAATTACACTTTGGGTATGGAATCTAGTCATTCGACTCAAACTTTAGCGAATTTCTTGCACTGGAATTTCCCTTTACGAAGTTCCTTTGACCGTCATTCTTCACGTTTTTCATTCCAGATACGAGCAAATCGATCGACAACTAACTTTTTATACCGTGTCGAATCATGTCGAAACGTATACAATGATTCTAAGTGATATTAAAATTTAATGATAGTGGCAGTTGAAGAATATCGTACTGTGTGCTACCCGTTTTCGAGATCACTGGCCATATATAAACGAGAGATCTTCCTATTGATGAAATTAAAATCCGGTTCCTACTCGCGGAAACCTATCTTCTTGCCAACAATAAAAAATCGATCGATGATTCTATCTAGCCAGCTTGACCAGAGAGACTATAAAAGGAAGAACGATTCTCGGAGTCGGTTTTCCACGGCACATAGATACCTATGGTTCGAGTCTAGCCGATCCATCGGCCGATCTATGCAGGTGCACACACCAGAGAGAAGACATTTTGCGAGCCTTCTTTTCCTTTCTATGTCTGGTACACGTAGAACACGTACGGTGGACGTGAAACGCATAATACGTTACGTTTGAATGGCAAAGCACCATGATCGCAATTCTATTTGGTCTCATATCAAATGTGACACGATACAGTTACCCATGATGAGATTAAAATGTGGAAAAAAAAACGTGCACAAATTATTGCACACCAGATTGAATTTGACAAAAAGAATTCTCAATTTCTCAAGTCTTAAAACATTTTTTTGCTGATGCTTTCTCTAAATGTACCTAATAATTGTTTCATTTGATGAATTCTTTTTCAGGTCGATAGATTATGTATTACGACAGATTATGTATTATTTTTTACAACTGGCCTTCATTGGTCAACGTGGCGATTGCAAGAAGAAGAAACAACGACGAGATTTTCCTTACGGAGCATTTGCTACTCTAACTGCTTCATCGAAGAAAACATCTTCTCCTCCTCCACTGAAGAGTTTATACTCTTCAAGAAAATTCTCAAGAAATGCGTTAGAACGAAACGATAGATGAAGGGACGACGATCGTGGTCGTGGATTGGATTATAAAAGATGAGCTGAGAAAGAATAAGGAGGGAGGGCTGGCTGGCCGGTTGCCTGGTCGCTTCGAATCTCTGGCACCCTTTAGCCGAGTTTAGGCGGACAGTAAGTATTATTAGTCGCGGATCGCGTGCTTCCGTGTCCTTACCTCATGAAACAATGAGATCGTTCGCGAAAGATATGCGCGCCAGACTGTATCGCCGTATATCGAGCGCTCACGCAAGACTCTTTTCTTCTCCTTTAGAAATGTAATCTTCCTTTCTTTCTTTTCTTTTTTGCTTTTCATGCTTCTTTTTTTTCCATTTTCCTCCTTTCATTCTTTGTCTTTCTTTTCTCTGTCTCTCTTGGAGGTAAGCGAACCCGTTACAGGTCTCCTTGAACTTGTTCTCCAGCCAGATGATGAATTATCTTTACATCGAACAAGACCAGAGTGTAGCCGAGACCGGTCCCCAAAGACGATTCACGATCGTGTCGTGTGGACGTTAGAAAATTAAAAATTTTTAGCGGCTTAGCGGTAAGATTTGTAAAGATATTACGCAAGAAAGAGACGTGAAGTTATTGCATGTAAATATTATAATATCGTTTTGGAAAGCATATGCAAGCTATTTTCTAGATTTTATGGAAAGTAACAAATTTCAATTTCTTGTTTTTAATACTTTTTAAATTCTTGCTTAAAAATTGTATTTTAGGTGCAAGAAGAAAACAAATAAATGAAGAAATGAAAGATGAAAATGATAAAAATATGAGAAAATCTAAGATCAAAAAATACAAGAAACGAGTAGTTAAAATATTTACGACTGATTTAAATTGATTTGTGCAGAATAGAAAAAAGATAAAAAAAAAAGTAGTTTAAAAGTCGAAACTACGAAATGTCTGTATATAACTTCGAACAACTGAGTATCATCCACCTGAACAATTTTACTGTTCGTTAAAATATTTTGTCTTTTAAAGGTATAAGAAGGACTACAAGAAATTTAGTAGATCAAGACAAGTAAAACTATTATCAGCCTGTATTATGTCTATTTATCTCGGTTGTTCAAATTTCATGTTTAAATTTCCAACACCATTGAAAATAACATTTTCAGTTTCCTGACTTTCACATTATGTAACGTGAAAGCAAATGTTCCTATTATTTTATATTATACAACTAATTAATTATCATTAGAAAATTACTAATTAATTAGCGTTAGAACAATTTTTCAATTGTTATTAAACAAAACATTGTTGCGTATTACAGATACTAGAAAACTCTTGGAGGAAGAAAAAAAAAAAAGAATAAGAATCGAGACTTCTCGCACAGGAAATTCTGCAAGAGAAAACGCTGGACATCGTACGACCTTGACTCCGCGCACACATCGGGTACCGTTGTCTGTCTAGGAAATTTTTTCCCGGTGACCATGCGCGACGGCTGCGAGAAAGCCCCGTGCGTAAGTAGACGATGACAAAGATTATTACAGGCACATACCGGGTTCGCCGTGGGTGTACCTTCCGTTTGATGTCGACTACTTTTGTCTAACGGCTCGGTATAGCCATTAAATGCGTGCGGTATGTCAACAAATGAAATTTAGCACGAGTCGTCCGTTGCTTCGTTTCTCGGTGATTTAGTGTTGATTCTTACTCTCATTGCTTCCGACTTTCCCTTTCGTTTCATCGTTTTGCAATAAAAGAAAAAATGTTTTTCTCTTGGGTTTTCCCAACTTCCATCGTATAATTCCCTTTTTCTGTGTTTTAATGTTGATTAATTTATATCTGTGATTTCTAATGATCTCTGGTTTAAATTGTTTCTTTGGTGAATATTAAATGTCTGAGAAATATATTCAATAGATATCTACTGAATACTGAAAGTTTCTTTTGTTAAGTTACTAAAAGTTACTTATTAAAAGTTACGTTAAATTTACTGAAATTTACTGAAAGTTTCTTTTGTTAAGTTACTAAAAGTTACTTATTAAAAGTTACGTTAAAATCACAATTTCACTGTTGCTGTGCAACGTGTGCCAAATATTTAGTCGGAAATATATGTTTTTATGCGTACGTTATACTTTACTCTGCTGAATCTTTCATTCTGCAATTGTAGAAGTTAAAGAATGCTGCTGGAAAGTTGCGTCTAATACATCCTAAGATCACAGCTTTTTGCGTGGGATGAAAACTAGGAGGATAATAGAGTGCGATAAGGTATTCCGCTCGAAGTAAAGTGAAGCATACGAAGAGCAGATTAGAATAACACATCATTAATGTAAACAGCCGCAGAGATCATTTCAAAGTGACTCATTCCTGATATTATGAGCATGCCTTGCTTGCTTGTCTCTTTCTCTCTTCATTTTCATCTATACATCTTTTCAAAGAAAAACTTTTGTAGAATTCTTTGTTCATCTGTTCTTCTTTCACTTTCCATTTTTATTTTTCTATTTTATCTATTCTTGTTTCTAATTGTAAGTTGTTCTCTTCTCCATTCGTTTTATTCTCTGTTTTCTAGTTATTTTCTAGCTCTATCTCTCATTGTCAGTTGGTAAGATTGTTTCTCTATATCTATATGCTTTAAAATAAAGGAAACTTATTTTAAAAGCATTTCCTAGTGTTTAGGCATTTATGAAAAATTTGAAAGTATAAAAATAGAAATATAAATTCGTAAAGCGCTCATTATAACATTTAGGGGACAGAAATGAATCTCTATTTAAATTCCATTTACATGTTTAGTTGCATTCATAAAAATATGAAATTGTAAAAATATCCGCAGTCTACTCATCATTTACAGAAATTTCATAGAATCTTGTTCGACAAAAATGAAAGGAGATTTTCTCGTCGAGGAAGATATGCGTGAAGATTCCTAAGAAAATGTCAGATGTACGCGGTAACGATGGCCACGTGCAATTAAGAGGCGCGAGCAATAAAGGCAATCAAATTATTCATAAAAACGGTTGGTTGCATGTTACCCAAGCTGTGAATCCGCCCTGGGGCTTCTTCGTCTTTCGACGAAGATACAATCTCTACGATCGTAACGAGAAGAGAATCCATCGATTCAACTAAGAGAGAGAGAGAAAAAAAAGAACGGCTCTTCTCTTTCACTATCGATGTATCAAGGTTCCCCTGTTTCGATCTAACACTTGCGATTCTCTGATCCTTTATTCAGTGTGTGGCTTTCTGATCGTGTAACGTGTTTCCCGGGACGATTAACTTGGTATAGCTTGGTCAGTTACGACCAAGGCGCTGGAATCGCCGTAATTACGTAATCACGAAATTGGCTTGCTCCTAAGGAACAGAAGGCAAATTGAGGCAAATGGTAAAAGGAATCATGGCCACCACCCACACCAGCCAAGATACTGGGCCACGACATTCCTTCTTTCAATCGAATTCTGGTAATTCAATACAAGTCTTCAGAATACAGAAGGAACATTAAATCAACGTAAGTAAACTTTAAGTTTGATATACGATTTAGAGTTTAACTTTGTTTGAGAATTTATTTGCAGCATTGAAGGTTCATTGAATGTAATTCAGGTATCTGTAGCGGATGCGTCACTAGCCTTGCAACCCAGGTCCAATAAATCACAGATATTGCTAGGATTGACCTTTGGCCGGCACAACATTCCTGCAAATACCCAACTTTCCCCGGCACGTAAGTTCCACGTGTTCGAGGAAAGTACTGGAAAAAAAATCGGGCTATATGATTATAAGGATCGACATTGCGCAAGATCTTGTTCTGTATCTCCTACGATACGTATTTATTTATTTTTATTCGTCAAAAGTGTCTCGATAACTCTCACCCCTATATTCCACAGGATCTAGAATATTTCTGGCTGTTTTGTTATTCTAATTAGTGTAAAATACAGTTAACGAGGAAGCATTGCAAGGATGTGACTTTGAGTTCTAAATGTTGCAAAAAGAAGAAGAGAAGTCTGATAATAATGGTATCATTTCCCTGGCAACCTCCTTCTCCCTTCTGTTCGTAAAGACCCTCGTCCGTATAACTCGATTGAGAAGTATTTCAAAACCGGAAGGTAAAAATGAGATTAATCTTGGTTCAGTGTATCGTCGAGATTTCCGGGTGGCTCGTTCTCTCCTCGCGCTCCAACGAAGGGAGCGGAGCCTTGCAGCCGCTGCAACCGCAAATAATCGATATCCTTGCTGCGTCTATTCTCTTCCTACCCTACCCGGCCCTTACTCCCTTCGCTTCCTCGCTCTTCCCTATTTCCTCCCTCTTTCTGTTTCTGCTCCTCTCTCCCTTTGCACGCCAGCTCGTTCTTGCATTCTTGTCGCCTACAATTTTTATCCACCTACGTGTACGAGCCGCTTTCCGACGCGTAAAGCTCTTCCAATAGTGAAAAACCTTTGTTCTACGACGATATTTTTTTTTTTTTTCTTTCTCCAAACGTTTCGCGAAACCGAAACACGAATTTCCGCCACCTTTTTCTTTTCTTTTCTGTCTTTCAGTCGGCTGAAAAGTTCTTGATTTTTGGGGGAAAACCCAAGGCTACGCTTTCGCATTTATTTTTTGTTACGAGCTGGAAAGAAATGGATGAACGCTTGTCTTTCTGTTAAATCTCATCGTTCTGAAAATACGTCTGTTTCATAACTTCAGTCCAATCTCTTTCTCTTGCTTTTTTCTTCAGTTCACTTCTTAGTAGCGATTAATCAGCACTTCTCTTAATTTCGTAAATGGTTCGTTGTCAAAATTAATTCTGTAGATTATGCAATTTACTGATGTTTTTGAAAACTACATTTATAGCCAATTGGTGCTTCGGAGAGGCACGCAAATCTATGTAAACAATCAATCATCACTAGATCGCTAGAAGTAGCCGTGGTTTGTAAGAAGAATGGCTCGCACATGTAATCGCGATTGAAACAAATCGGTTCAATTATCGTTATAAATTCTCAACGTCAGTCGACTAAACGCACTTGCTAAAGCATCGAGTGACGTTTGTAAGCTTAACCGAATGTAATGAACTTTTCTTCCCTATTCCTTTGTAAATAAAAAACTGAAAAATATCTAATAAAAAAAAAAGATAATGAAAGCCATAAAATTGGAAAAACGTAATTATATTGCTGAATTATAATTTTTAATTATTGCAAAATAATAATGTTTCCAAATGGATGTTGAATCACGGTCAAAGGCAATCTTGAAATGCGATACTGTAGTAATCGGTGGTGCTCGCTGATACTGGACGATCGTCAACTATTATTAGTACTTTATGATCAACGAAGAACTGTTAAGCATAAGGAACATACAAAATTTTCTGTAAGATTTTCATTCTATATTTCAGTTTCCTACGTATTTTTATTTGTTTTATTTTCCTAACCTATGACACATGATCCTCCAAATTTTATTCAAAAAAAAAATGTATTGTAAATATAGATTAAAGTTACTGATTCCTGCGAAATTTGAGCACTTGAATTATTTTGTTACATTGTACAACTTTGTACAATTTGTAACAATAGTCTCATAGAAATACAAACATATAAAAATTTAGAAAAATGGAACTGTAGCATTGTAGTATAGAAGAATAAATGTATGAAAATATACTTAACTATAACTTACTCTATAAGCGTAAAATTTATAGAATAAGTTAACCGATTTGAATGAATATAAAAGACATGTTGCACATGTTATTTTTATACTTTAGTGAAAATAATATATTCATATAATTATTTAATTCATTTTGAATTACCTATATACATGAATTTTTTCCCAAATTTATAATTTTTTATTCAATTATTCAGCAATCATATATTATCATATATTGTTTAACAATATATCAAACCTATATTTATATAGGTTAAGTTATCCTAATATATGTAGATTCAATTCACAATTTACTTTATCACTAATTACAAATAAATGTAAAATATTCAGGGCTCCTACTTTTTAAAAAAAACTTTATTTTGTGGGGGAAAAAAGAATACAAATGTTAGATAATATTGATTGTTGAATAATCATGCATTAACTATAAAATAAAATTTAAAACTTTACTAGTTTAATCGTGAAAAAATTAGAATTTAAATATTATGAGTATTTGAAAAAAAACTCATATAACTCTGATAATAGTTTCAGATATTATTTTACTACTGATAAATCTTTTATGCGTACATCAATCAGTTAAGATAAAGAGAAAGAAATGATCGTGAAAATGCACGAACTCTTAGGCATAAATACATATGATTCCTATAATCTTGATAAAATATTTAAATGATTACCTAAACACTTCGCTTTAGATTGTGAAGTTCAAAGTACGCGATACTTCAGCGTCGATTGCTTTCGATGTCATAGATTTTAACGAATTCTTAATGTTTTATCATCTCATTAGTCTACATAATTTGAGATTAAGCGAAGCTTCAAAAATTTTACAAAATTTAATGAAAAAGCAGACTTAAAATGCAAAGTTTAATAAAAAAAAAAAAGAAATTCAAAATTATTGCATACTGATGCTCTATGTGTGTAGTGTGATAGTCAAGTATAAACTTTCCGTTGGCAACACTGAAAAGAACAGCTGTTTGCACGTCAATCCGTTTAAATACATTTACTATACGATAACCTTTACATTAACACAGCAATCAGTAAACTTCGAAACGGCATGAAAAACTGCATTGTCGATATTGTTGATAATGAAATGTCATTTTGTAATTACGCTTAATACTTTCATCAACTTTAGTAAAAAAACGAACGAATATCAATATATCAGCATCTTATTAAAATTCGGTTCTCATGTTACGAAACAAGAGGATCAATTTCGAAGGAGGTTATGAGGTTTAAAAATCTATGCAAAACATGTATCATTAAAAGCATACGACAAGGTTGGCTACACTGACGAGCGTTAGGTCGAATTTCAATGTGCAGATTAAGAATGCTTCCGGATAGTGGCTCCACGTCGCTTTCACAAGCAACTAAACTATTACATTAGTAAGCAATTTCTTTAAATATTGACAAAAATAATTCAAAAATAATATATCAAACAATATACAGATATTTATGTCACATTCCATTCATATTCGTAACTATGAAGATTTTGACCATAAAAAAAAGATAAAAATACTAAGAAATTATAAAAGAATGAATGAATGTTTCTTTTAATAAAGAAATAATCTCATTCCTATTCATCTGTATTAGTTTTATCAAATCAATCAAACTAAAAAAAAAGAACATTTAATTATATTCGCTTATCTAAAATTATTATTTTTTATCATAATTTTATCTCGTATACCGAATTTATTATGTATTGATAAGCAAAAAAAAGATGTATTTTAAGTGCAATAAAAAGTACAAAATTATTTCGCGAAAATCGTCGTAATTGAAAGTAGACAGAGAACAGGAAGAAACGACAAGAGTCTGCGCAGAATATCAGGACCGTATACATAAGAATAAGAGCCTGTTATATATACACTATTCAAAGACTAAAATTTTTATTCTAATAGTTTTTTTTATGAAAAATATCATTTTCCGATTTGTAAAAAAATCGTAAAATAATATACTTTAAAAAATGCATTGTTTCACACATTTTTAATTAGTGAAAAAACAATATTTAACAATAAAGATGTTATTAACCATGTGGTTTCGAATACTTCATGCTTCGTAAACGAATCATTTCAATCTTTTCTAAATGTCAAAAAAATAATTCGATTATATAGATTAATTCGAAAATTATAACGAAATCACGTAACAGAGATATGTTTGTAGTAAACCGGCAAATATACATTCTGATTTATCAAATTTGTCATTCAACAATTTATTCAAATACTACTGTCAAAATTCTGATTAATAATCGAAATCAATGGAAATAAATAAAAAAAAGAAAAAGAAATAATACGATTGAAATGAAACTAACTCTACTCGGAACTATTTCAGACAAATCTTCCCTGGATACAAAGCACGATAGACTTTCAAGAGAGAGTGGGGGGGGGGGGGGAGAAAAAGAAAAGGAAGAAAGAAAAGAAGGAATATGCGAAGACGACCGAGAGAGGTTAAGGTGGGGGAGAGAAAGAGGAGACTGGGTGGGGCAGCAGACGCCCCGCGGCAAACTGTCAAACTACGCCGGTTCCGCAAGGTTCGTGGCTATCGGCCGTCCCCATGGTAATGCTACGTTTTCCAAGAGCGTGTATACACAAGTAAATATGCATGCACACCGACGAACGCGAAGCATGGAGGGTTCGAATGCGGAAAACTCTTCCGACCGGTATGAACTGATCTCGAACGACTCGGGTCTCGAGTAAACGTATGAGGAACAGATGACAGAGAATTATCGTTAAATTTCACCTCACTCACCATCATTTTATAGTTGAGCTTCCTCGGCGCGGCTACGTTTTCCATTCTCACGGACATATTAGCGGTGTTATCGCTCGTGGCGCCTGCTCGAAATGATACCGTGCCGTCGGTTCTATCACTACTCTTTTTTCTCTTATTTCGTACTTGTAGGTCGTTGCTGGATTTTTCTGACTGGCGTTGCTCGGCCGGTGAGCAGCGTTATCCACAGTTTTCGGTGATCTTCTCGACACTGGTTAGATGTGCAGCAAGCAAGAAACCCACACAGCACAGTCACGAAACGAATTTGCACTGCGATCGGCCGATAAACCGGGGTGGAGCGGAGGCAGAAAAAGAGCGAGGAAGAAAGAGAGAGGATGAATATAGGTGTGGGTGAGACGCTTTGTAAAACGAGGGTTGTCGAGGAGGGGGGTAGAGCTTAGGACGAAGTATGGTACGTATGGTTATGGTCACGAAGGGACACAATGAAAGAGCCAAAGATCAGACAAGTCAGTACGGTATTAATACCGACGAAACTGAAATTAAAGAGCGGCAAGAGCAACCAATAAATCACTTTAAGAAAAAGAAAGAGAGGAAAGGGAACAAAAAGAAAACGGTAGGATAATCTGGATAGAGAAAGAGAAAGATAGAAAAAGAGGGAGGACGGGAGGGAGGGAGGGAGAGAGAGAGGAGGAGAAAGAGAAAACAAGAGCTGAGGGGTTGAGACGGGAGGAAGAGCCAGAAGAGAAAAAGAGGAAGAGGGACGTGATGTGTGCGGCTTTCTGTTGCAGTGATCGAATGTACACGCGGTACTACGTAAATGTAGCCGGAGGGAGGGAGTGAGAAAGAGCGACAAAGATGAGGAAAGAAAAGGGTAGAGCTCGAACTGATGGCGATATGAGACGGATGTCGAGTGTCAAGAGGGTGTGTCGGCTTATACACTTCACTACTACTATCGGTTGAACACTTTTCTCCACGTCGTAACTGGTTATTAACGCACCACACCGAAAGAATCAACTGGGCTACACCAAGAGCTGAGTCAACGAGCGGGAGAGACTACGCGAGATTATCACCTACTTCGGTGTAGTTTTCAGCCTCAGTGGCGGCCACTGTTGCGGTACGATCGTCCTTATCCACCTTGTTGCCTGTCTTTGTCGGGATTGTCCCCTTTGTCGTTGTCCTCGTCGTTTCGATCGCTGTCTTCCTTAAGTCCTTGTCCTCGGTCTTTTTTCTCGGTATGTCTTCCTAATTACCGCCTTTTCCTTAATCCTTCTTTGTTCCCCTCTTTTCTTTTTTCTTCCTCTTCTTCTTTCGCACTTAGATCTTCCAGTTATCGCGAAAACCTTCCTATCTTTTTTCGTACCTTCCGTCGTCGTCTTCTCGTCCGTTATCGCGCGTGTGGCCTCGCACCTTTTTACTATCGTACAAATTCCACGGAGCACTAGTAATACAGCATGTTACAAAAATAGAGTTTGTGTTCCCTTAAATAAAATAAATGTACAATTAATTGTTACTTGTCGTTAGGAAACATTTAGTATATGTGTTGTCTTGTAGGTAGAGTCTAAGCTACTGCCCGGCGAGGTTCGCCCATCTTGCCCGAAACTAAGGAGACTCGCCGCACGGTGGCGCTATGCACGCCACCACCAACAGTGGGGCTCCGGCGGCCGCACCTGTCTGCACGACCGCCACTCAACACACGCTCACCACGTATCTACCGCGTATCCAGCGATATCTTACGAGTTGGTCGAGCGCGACAAAGAGATAACTAACGTAACGATCGTTCGTTCAACAAAGACGAGACACCGCTGCCCAAACGAATGACGTAGAGGAAAGAGGGCTACGGGGCTATGATCACCGCAGTTTTCTCCGACAAGTTTCGGCGTGGCGCAGTTGGTAGGCATGCGAATGAACGAGTGGCGAACAGTCGACGAAGACCGCTAGCAACAGCGCCCCGCGAAAGACGAAGACCAATAATGAAGGACGATACGAGGGAAGAGAATGAAAAAAGAAGAGAGAGAAAACGGACGACAGACAGTGGCGGGTGGTATACTTACCCCTGTATACGCGACCCTTCGCGATATGGCAATAAACGTGTGCACCATATGCCCCCTTATGTAGAAATCTACCTGAAGCGGAGTACCGACCGACTCTTCTCCTCTTGTATCTCGTCAACCATTTACCGAAGAAGGAACCCGGTAGATATTAAAATGTTTCTCTTTCTTTTCATAAGATGGAGAGATCGATTCTTTCAGCCCTTTCGTTGATGCCTGACGAACCTTCTTTCACACCTTCTCGCGAGAGACTCGTGTTATCGATTACGGAACGACCTCGCTCATTTCTTCTACTTCCTCGAGGTCAGGAGACGAGATTTTCCCTCTTTTCAACAGCAAATCGCGGTAATTTCCTTCACGGTCATCAACATTTCTCATTCATCAAAATTCTAGACGTACGCGCGATGTGTTCGATCTCGATCGATCGGCTTCGCGGAAACAATGCGGCATACTAGTTTCGATCGATCTTCCATTGATTTCTATTATATTATTCGCGCGAAATTCTCTTTCTTGTTACCGATTGTTAACCATAGCCGCGTACTATTCACAGATACCCCCTACATTTACAGTTGTGGAGTTTCAGTCAATGGGAGTGTTGTACATACACATCGAACAGATAGGCTACAGAATCGCGTGCAATTTCTAAAAATACACTGAAACGAAGAAAGTATCCGTAAACCATGCGTTGTTACTAAGCTTATCACACCGATCTCCGCTCATGAGAAATTATCACCGAGGTACTGAAACATTACTTTTTGTTGACTAACGTTAATTTTACATATGTATGCTTTTACTTTGAAAACTTTGAAAAAAATTGCAAAAACAAATCCAAATCACTATTTTTACATCCGTGTCTGTATAATTTGTACAAGTTATAAATCATTTTGATATAACAATCTTAAAATATACTATTTACCAGTCATATTGTGATTTCTCCAATAAACCCGGATCGTTCCAAAAGCATGCATATGAAGTCCAGTTCTTCGGACTTAAATTCACTTCATGTATTTATATGAATTATGAATTATCTAAGGCGAATGTTAAAGTTTGCATCTTTCTAAGACATAATCCTCAGATTGTAATACTTTCATTATCTTTACAGTGATTGATAGATTGACATAGCGTTACGAATCGTAATTAATAACTTTTAGTAATGAAATTAAAGACCGATGAACAATACAGTGACATTTTATTACCTTTGAATTGTTGGCGAAATTTCCGAGACCCTCGTAAATTTCCGAAACCCTCGTAAAGCATTTGGAAAAGGCCAAGGGAACTAGCGACTTAAAGTAATTATTGTTGGTCGTTTACCTGAATTTACCTACCTGGCTGTCAATCATATATCATTTCTTCGACTTCCAAGAAAGTAGCGCAGTTTGTTCTGACCGATGTCTTTTCTTATATCTCTCCTTCTCTTTCCCTCTCATTCATGACGAAGTCACGGACAAGGTCAAGGCCGTTGGCCTTCATTTCTCGACATCCTCCACAACCTCCTACGAACTCTCTCTTTCTATCTTTCCCACTGTCTCTATTTGTCTCTCTTGTATATTTTTTTTAATCTTACACATTTACCTTGATACCTAACGTCTAATGAATGTTTAATGACTTTCTGGTCGAGGTGATCCAGCCGATACGTTCAACTTTCCCGTATTGTTCATTCAAAGGCCTATTGCTATAAAGTTCCGTTAGTTTTATTACTTTACTATTCATTTACAGCGTACCTATCCTTTTTCTTGTACTATTATACCCTCTCTGGCCTGACCATTGTTTATCTTTGGATTTCACTGACCGTGCCATGGCGAATCGCCTCTGGAAATGGAAGAGGAGGAAGCGGCTAAAACAAAAATGTCCCTTGCAGAATGAACGATCTCACCTGGTCAACTCGTTCTACTACGCGTGGAATTGCACGGAGATGAGAGGACGGCAGCTACTCAGACATTCCGTTCCTCGTACGAACAGGTTTCCTACCGATTGAAGAAGAAAAAAACCACTTAGACTCGAGTAAGCTAAACAAAATTATTCCCGGAGAATCGATACGCCCGATTTCGGCATGAAGAGAAAGAAATCTGTAAGCAACTGTAGTAGCAATTACAAAAGACGTTGGAGTACCAGTGTATCAACATTTACGTACTAATTAATTAGGTTCGAGTACATTGAAATTCGTTTCGTTTATCAGCAATTTTATCTACAAATGACAAAACTTGATACTATGAATACAATAACATAGAATCTGATAAAAAACACTTTATTGGAAAGTACGGGTATGTCCCCACACTTTGTGGTATTTGTATTTCTGCATTTTTTATAATTCAATCATTTTGATTGTGGGGAGATAAATGTGTAAATAAAGTTTCGTATATATGATTGTCTTTTAGAAAGAATAATACTTTTAACTTATTTTAATTCTTTTACACGCAGGTAACTATTGAAAACATATTGAGCCATATAAGAATTCGTCAATCGCACTGTGGGAAAGCCAAAGGTGATAATCTTAAAAGACCGTATTAATGTTGATCGAAAAAATCCTCTTTTTCACGTATGCGTTGTTTTCAATCGTTGTATCAGTGTTATTCACCGATACTACAAATGGATGAATATGATACATAAAAATGATCATTTTTGACATACTTTTTTTTTAGATAATTTGAGTGGTAGAGAATATTTAGATATTAGCTGATAATTGCTTGTTTGACGTTAGAATTGTATGTGTTTTTTTTTTTTTTTTTTTGTAGATATTACGCGAAATGGCATCGGGAAAGATGGTTAGACGAGATACTCAAATATCGTAGCAAGAAATTCCACGATGTACGCCAAAATTCCCTAGGGGCACTCGGGTCAACAGGAAGTCAAGGCCACGCGGTCAATTGCCCCGCGATCCGTCGCCGTTATAAATAGATACGAGCGGTCGGTATCTACGCATCTATTTGCACGCATGCTGCAAAATCAGAATCGAAGTTATCTTGACCCGAGCATAGACGGTTTTTGCTTTCCCTGGACTTTTTCGCCAGCATGCCTCAGAAACCTTCCATTGATAAAATGGCATGTAATGAACGTATCGATCGTTGAACCCCCTAACTGTTCATTTCTATTAATACCAGTTTGATGAAAAGAATGAGTTTCTCTCAGATATTCCTCTAAAAATGCTCGTTACCATTTTAGTCACACAAGAAAAGAGACATAAGGACACAAGGAAAGTGAAAAGTTAAGTTAAATAATCTCAAGTATGAATTAAGGAGGTAATCTGTTATTTCTCAAATTTTTATACTAACGAAACTAGCTTACAGTTAATTTATTCACTTGTTCTTAGAACATATTTCCGTTGCACGATTTCTAAAGAACGAGTTCTTTTGAAGAAAAGGCATTACAACTGTCCAACATTCAGAATGTCGTGTTCCAAAGATATATCATCGTAACAAAATATCAGATATCACAATACAGAGAGATCATACAGAAGGAAATAGTTCCTATGAAACAAGAAGAGTACTTATTGATCCGGTAGGTGGTGAATGTAGCAAGCATGGCTTATAAATGCCATTCGTTACGAAAACTACGCATAACCGATGCCAATTTACTCTCCTTGACGTGGAATCATTATGCAGGCCGATTCTTTGCGAAGAGGGTCATCAAATAATTTAATGAAATAAATCAATCAAAGATACAGGCTATTTTTATATTCTTCCATGTTAAAAGACGCAAGGATCGATATCACGATAAATTATTCGGTGTCTTTCTGATTTAGCCAATGTTTTCTAAAATCCTTTTAAACTCTTAAACATGCTAAATTACTCTAATACTTTAATACTAAACAGCCTCTAATTTTTTAATCTTTTGAAATTATATTGACCTGTATTTTCCATGTTGTGAGTTTTTCTTTTTATTTTTATTTCGTTTTTAATAAATGCTTAAATTTTTCAAACTGCATTAGACTTTAACACGATTTGATAAAGGGTACAGCTTCGCGGATAAAGGGAGAATAACCCTGTACCACCCTATACTCGACAGAATATATAATCTCGAGGTCATTGCCCGAGCGATCTTTGGGGGTTCCACCATGCCTGGAATGAGGGTGAGGTAACTGGGAATACTGGGTAGATATCGACCACTTTCCCCTAAAAGTTAAAATGAAAGGAAGCAATTAAACATCTTTTCATGCTTTGCTCATAATATACATAAAAAATCTAAAATGTATTTAAAAATTATAAAAAGCAGATTGCAAATGTTTCTAGACGTTAACATTAGCATTAAATGTAAGGATATGCTGTATAAAGAAGAAAATGTAACAAGTGAATGTTACAGGTACAATTTTCTCATACTATATTTTATCACATCTTACTAGTTTGAGATAAAACTTCTTTTTATCAGTTTCTAAAACTTCATAATCCATGCAACTATTTATTAAGATACTGTATTATTAAAAATTTATTTAAAAAAACTATGACTAATTTGATATTAATCATTTCCAGAAATTGTGGATCAAAATTATTATCTAGAAAAGTCGTAAGCTCGATCAGCAAGATTAATCGGCAGTGATGATTGTTAGTGTCTCTTGTTTCCTCGGCAACCGTGAGAAGACAAGATGCAAGGGCGAGGATTCGATCTTTTTCGACGTATGAGACGGTCAAAGGAAGAGGAAGAAGAACAGGAAAAGGAGGAGGAAGATTGAAGAAGTGTCTTACGGGTAGGAGGGAGAAATAGGATAAGGGTTGTTCGATGGGTGGCCGTGCCTTTTGGGGCAGTGGCCCTTGCTGTGATGCCTCCGAGGGTGAGAAGGGGCAGACGAGGACCTACGCGTTATTGAGCGGGCATTTCCCACAAAGCGCAGACGAGGGCAACCACCCCGTAGCGCTGCGGCGCGCAGAGTTCTCTACTCAGTCTTCCTTCTCTCCCTCTCGCATTCTCTCTTTCTATCTCCCTTTTTTCCTGTTTCTCCGTTCGCTCGATCTCTATCCGATCTCTGCATCTCTCCCTGCCTTATATCCATTTTTATCTTTTTCTGTCGCCTTCTTTTACTGCTTCCCTCTTTTTCACAGTCTCTTCTCATCCTTTCTCTATATTCCTCTCTATTTTGATATGTGCAGATATAATTTGGTATGTGTACATATAATATATAGGTACATACGTATATTATTTGTATGTATTATTGTCTATAAATGTACATAGTATGTATGCGTATGCCTATATACATATTTCTTTTATTCTTATCCCATTAACGTAGACACCCTTCATTCCTGCAAATTTTTTGGTGCCAACAGGCTTTCAAGTTTAGTGAACGCGTTAAATTTATGAAATGTGATGCTCGTGAGCTCAGTTAAGAAAGAGGCTGAGAGAAACTAAAGAATATATGTCTGTCACTTTATTTATTTTTTTTCTTTGGACTCAGAAAATAATTATGAATATGATACAAAATACATAAACTAGTGATCTTGTATTCAAATACATAGAATTAAAGAAATTTTTGTCCTTTAAAAATAGTCTGGCTCCTGTTTTTTTGCTTGTTTTGGATTAATTATTATTTTTTAAAAAGTAATTTTTAAGTTTGTAAAGAATTCTATTGAAAAGAAATATCGTTTTTCATTCCATTTCTTTTATTTCCGAGTCTTGATTTTTATTTTCATTAGTTTTGGCTTATTCTTTTGTGCTTGTGTATTCTTCTTTACTCACATGCCTGTCTGTGCGCATGTTTTTTATTTACACTCTGTCCGCACAAAGCCTTTGACATTTTGCAAATTTCTCGCTAAGATCTTTGAATATCCTATGATATATTGCAAAAATTATTTTTAATAAAAATAGAATTCGTGTTTATAGTTATTATTATGTGTACTTTTGCATTCTTTTGAAAATAATATATATTTAATATATATTTTATTTAATATATTTTCTATAGTCATTCAATACTTTTAATACATTTAATATATTCCAATTTATATACACTTTAAACATATTGATTTATATTTTATCAAAAAATGTCTTTATATTCAAAAATAAGTAATACTAATCTCGTTATATGTTTAATTGTTTAATTTCAACTTTTTTGCTGCATTCTGTGAAAAAAAATCTGTTTACAAAAAATTTTGATTTTGTTTCTCTTAAACTTTTTTCAAGTTGACTGAAATTGACGAGTACTAACTCCCGTGAAAACATAAGGGAAAGAGAAATGGATGTATCGATCTCACCCCTAGGGACTTGGTGGGATTAGGACATCACGGTAGCCACCCACGACGAGTCATGAAGCACCATGCAGTGGCGGAAGAAGAAGCTTGTAGCCCTTAGCAACGTGTTGCCGTGAACTTGAAAATCATACTTTCACATATCCTTTTCGATACACAATTAAATTATTTGCATCACTGGAAATTTATTATCATCGATAAATTAGCTAGCAAACTATCGTACTTTATTGAAAGATATTATAAATAAATGTACATATCTTTAATACGTATAAAATTCATCTACTAATTTCAACATGTTTGAAAAACATAATCTTGTTTAAATAATTACAATAAATTCGTTTAGGATATCAGATTATGCTATTATTAAAATAGAAATTGTCGGTAATTGTTGTATTTTCATATGAAAAGCTATTTTAAGTAATATATAAGATTTTTAGACATTTTAAAATAGTATTAACTTTCAAATGGAAAAAAACAAACGTACCAATCATCCAATGACGCAATGTACCACCCTCAACCTGCACCCTTTGCGTCACACCCATCCTGTTTCCGCATACCACGTGCCCTCAACCTATATCTATCTCCTAGGTCGTTGATCTACAAAAATCTTATTGTACATTAAATATTAGTCTAGGATATTTATTACAATGTATAAACGACTAATCTTTAAGTAGTTCAAAAAATTGTTATAGAAATGATATAGCATTCTATTTACATAAGTTAACTTTATTGAATAACAATTGAAATATTTTGTAAAATATTTACAGCTTACTGTCATAAAATATTTGATATTGTATAATAATATATTTAGTTAAGATCAGTAGGATTATTTTATATTAGGATTTGTCAAATTTTTTATTTTTCTTTTTTTTTAATATATCAGCAACTTGTAACAATGCTATACTTACGTATGTATGTGCTTTGCAGAAACACGTGATACAAAGATGGAAGAAAGTGTACCAAAATTACAGCAAAATGAAATAAATGACAAAAGGCCACAATTTGGTAATAGAGTTCTCTCCAACTGTAATAATGTATTTCAACATAACGCATGGTACTTATATATTACTGTTTAATTATAATACTGGAGTTTTTAAATTCTAACCTATAAAACGTGATTTTTAATATGAAATTGTTTTATATTTTGACATCAATTTTAAGTAAGAAAAGAATTAGTTTATTATAAATTTAAATATACATATGATCAATTATACATTATCATATATTACATATTATATATTTATACATATAGATTATACATTTTATAATTATTATTTAAAGGGATAATGTTGTTTGGGATGAGGAACAACAAAAATTAGCTCAAATAAAAGTAAATGAAAATTCAACCATAATTTTATCAGATGAAAAAATTCAAAAGTATGAGAAAGCAGCTGATAAATATTGGGATAAATTTTATGGAATACATGAAAATAAGTACATATATACATCAGTCGTTAATCTTGTAGTTTCTTTAAACATACATACAAGAAAAAGAATTTTGCTTTTAATGTTGTAGATTTTTCAAGGATAGACATTGGTTATTTACAGAATTTCCTGAATTGGCTCCTGATATAGTAAAGCAAAATATTAAACAGCCTCTGAGATCTACATCTGAGAACACTAATGAAAATAATCAAGATTCTCATATAGAAATTCTTGATGTACCTAGTAAAAAAGGAAGTAAAATTCTGGAAATTGGTTGTGGAGTAGGAAATACAGTATTTCCAATACTTTTGTATAACACTGATCCTAACTTATTTGTATATGGTTGTGATTTCTCTACTAAAGCAATAGATATATTAAAACAGAATATTGCTTATGACACATCCAGGTATAATCTTATTACATTTTAATATAACATATCACAGAAATCATAAATGAAAAATTATTTACATCTGTTTTGAAGATGTAAAGCTTTTGTCCTTGATGTGACACAAGAGAAATGGGAAACACCTTTTGAGCCAGGAAGTTTGGATATTATAATATTGATATTTGTTCTTTCAGCGATACATCCTGAAAAGTAAGTATTATTTAATTGAAGAAATGTATTTATAGAATTAGAAACACAAATTACATTTCATTACAAACATTTTATTCATTACACATTTTATTCTTCCAGAATGAAGTATATTATAGAACAAGTTCATAAATATTTAAAATCAGGTGGGTTGGTTTTATTCCGAGATTATGGAAGATATGACTTAGCTCAATTAAGATTTAAAAAAGGCAGCTGCCTTGCAGAAAATTTTTATGTTCGAGGGGATGGAACCAGAGTGTATTTCTTTACACAAGGTATTTTATTTAGTAATAAATAATTTAAAAAAAATAAAAATAAATAAAATATTTGTTTATAGAGGAAATTAGGATCCTGTTTACAAGTTGTGGTTTCACAGAAGAGCAAAATCTTGTAGATAGAAGGTTACAAGTTAATAGAGGGAAACAACTTAAAATGTACAGAGTATGGATTCAAGGAAAATATAGAAAATAAATAAATAAAAAATTATATTTCCTTTTTCCTTCGACAAGAGTATTTATATTTATAAAACAATTAAAGATAATTTTACATATACAGATAAATACTTATACAAAATATTTTTTTAAATACTTTTTATTAAAATGTTGATTATATTTACGTGAGCAATTTATAATTATTAAGTGTGAAAAATAAATAAAATATTTAAAAATGTCTTTATATAATATATTTATTTAAAAGAAATTATAATGGAATTATAATTCAAAAAATTAATATTGGCAACACTGTTGTACTATTAGGACGTAAACATGGCGGTGACTGTCATCGTTCTAATTTGAAGAGAAACAAGTCATTTTTGTATTTTAGCATTAAACTTTTCATTTTAAACTGACAAAAAGAATAGAACAACATGGGAAATGCTGACACAAAATTAAATTTTCGAAAAGCAGTTGTACAATTAACGTCGAAGACGCAGGTAACGACTGTTTATTATTTCGTTCAGCATATGATATGTTTGACATCTCGATGCATTAAAATATACAAATTAATCTGTAATCTTTTTTTTTTCATTTGCATCATTTTTCATTCAAATTAATAACTTTTTTTCTATAAAATTAACGAGGATATTTGACGTCGAGATTATGATTTATCACTTAGGTTAAAAAAATAAATTTTGTTGTATTTCAATTGTAGGTGATTGATGCTTCAGATGACAATTTCTGGGACCAATTCTGGTCTGAAAACGTGACTAATGTACAAGATATTTTTACTTTAATCCCAGCACCTGAAATTCGTATATTAAGAGAAGAAGCTCCTTCTAATTTAGCTACATTATGTTACAAAGCAGTAGAAAAATTAGTGAAAGCAGTTGATAATAGTTGTAGAACACAGAGAGAACAACAAACTGTTTTAAATTGTTGTCGATTGTTAACAAGATTATTACCGTATATTTTTGAGGATCCTGATTGGAAAGGATTCTTTTGGTCTAGTTTACCTGGTAAAGAAGATGAAGAAAGTATACCATTGGCTCATTCGTTACTCAATGCACTTTGTGTAAGATACATGATTTAAAGAAAAGTAAAAAATATTAGAAAATACTATACCATGATAATTTTTATTATTTATTTTTATTTTAGGATTTACTATTTTGCCCTGACTTTACTGTAGCTGCGAACAGAAAATCTGGCCCTGTAAGCATTTCCTTACATTTTAAAAATTTTAGAAATCACAAAGTATTATTAAAATGCGCATTTGAAATTATTTAGGATAAAGCAGAAGAGTTACAATCTATAGACAGTTGTGAATATATCTGGGAAGCTGGTGTAGGATTTGCACATTCACCTCCTAGATATCCAATTTTAGATTCAAATAGAACAGAATTACTAAAGTTGTTACTCACTTGCTTCAGTGAAACTATGTATAATCCTCCTTTGGATTTGTCAGTTACTCCAAACAGATGGATTCAACATTTAACTAGTTCTGAAAACAGGTAAGTGAAGATTTGTTGTGATCTACCAATACATAAAAATAAAATGGTAAAAAATGTCTAATGTTTTAACACAGACACGCTTTGCCTATGTTTACATCATTATTGAATACAGTATGTGCATATGATCCTGTTGGACTCGGAGTGCCATACAATCATTTATTATTTACTGATTCATTAGAACCGTTAGTTGATGTTGCATTACAAATTCTCATCGTAACACTAGATCACGATACAAGTGGTGGTACTCCATTAGAAGAAGGAAGTATTGGAGATAATTTATTTATTAATTATTTAAGTCGAATTCATAGAGATGAAGGTAAATTTTACTTTGATGTTTAATTTAATACAATTTAAATAGATAATTGATTAAATAATTTATTTTTAGATTTTCAGTTTGTATTGAAAGGTATCACGAGATTATTAAATAATCCATTAATGCAAACATACTTACCAAATTCAACTAAAAAAGTACATTTCCATCAAGAGTTATTGGTATTTTTTTGGAAAATGTGCGACTATAATAAAAAATTTTTATATTATGTATTAAAAAGTTCAGATGTTCTCGAAGTATTAGTACCTATATTGTATCATTTGAATGATTCGCGTGCAGATCAATGTAAATTTTTACAATTCTGAAAATTTATTAAATTTAAATAATATTTTTATTACATGTAATCTAATCTAATATAATTTTACAGCTCGTGTCGGATTAATGCATATTGGTGTATTTATTTTACTATTATTGAGTGGTGAACGTAACTTCGGTGTTAGATTAAATAAACCATATACGGCTACTGTACCGATGGATATTCCTGTTTTTACAGGTACTATTAACAGAATTTATTTAAAAAATAATATTTAACTTTTAAACATATTCGTAGGTACACATGCAGATTTATTGGTCACTGTTTTTCACAAGATAATCACAACCGGACACCAAAGATTACAGCCATTATTTGATTGTTTATTAACAATTCTAGTCAATGTATCTCCATATCTTAAAACCTTATCAATGGTGGCTAGTACTAAACTATTACATTTACTCGAAGCATTTAGCACTCCGTGGTTCTTATTTTCAGCGCCTACCAATCACCATTTAGTATTTTTTCTTTTGGAAATCTTTAACAATATTATTCAGGTAATTTTTCATATATCAAAGGAACAATTTTTAAAATCTGGAAAAGAAGGAAAATTTAACAAAGTTTATGTATTATTAGTATCAATTTGATGGAAATAGTAATTTGGTTTATACTATAATACGTAAAAGGCAAGTGTTTCACGCGCTAGCAAATTTACCAAGCGATTGTAATACAATTGCGAAGTCTCTCAGTAAAAGACAACGTCGACATGTACCTGCTAGTACATCTAATGAAAATGTTAATGAAGCAGCAATGGAAGGTTCGCATCCAGCCCAACCTGCTGAACCTGGAACTTTAAAGGCAACTTTATTAGAAACGCCAGGTACATTTCTTTATTTTATTTAAATGTTATTTGAAAATCGAATTTATGCATTAATTTTATCAAGGTATTGAAAAAATGACTGAGAAAGAGTCTGCGCATCCATTAAGTCCTTCAATAAATATTGATATGGGAAAATCTAATCACCAAAATAATGTGAATGCTACAGAGGATTTAATGAATTCAACTTCTAAGAACTCTGTTATTCCAGTAAGATTATGATGTAAATAATTGGCGAATCTTTTTAACATATATTATTTATATGTTCTCTCATTGATTAAATAGAAAGGAGGTATTAGAGTGGCAGAACACATGAATTCTTCTAACAATATAAATCAGTGGGTTCCTTCTAGTGAATGGGTATATCAATGGAAAAGTAAACTTCCGCTGCAAACTATTATGCGATTGCTTCAAGTTCTTGTACCTCAAGTTGAAAAAATATGCATCGATAAGTCAGTAGAATTTACTGTTCTGTTTGATGTTTATTGCAGTAATATATATTTTTAATATTTTAGGGGTCTTACTGATGAAAGTGAAATTTTAAAATTTTTGCAACATGGTACATTAGTTGGCTTATTGCCAGTACCACACCCTATCCTTATTAGAAGATATCAAGCAAATGCAGGAACAACAGCTTGGTTTAGAACGTATATGTGGGGCGTTATATATTTAAGAAATGTCGAACCACCAATTTGGTATGATACTGATGTAAAGTTATTTGAAATTCAAAGAGTTTAAATGCAATGTATATTAAGTGAATTATTATTAGCTTTAGCTGAAATTTCTATACTATTCTTACATGAGATATCATTTCTTAATATAAAAAAAAGAAATCTATACTTATCGTAAGTTGCACCAAATGATAAAGAACTTTACTACTTTATTAAGTAATGAATGGCATTTTTACAAGTGTAGTCTTTCTTACAATTCTATTACACAGAGCTACAGAACTGATTTTACAAATATTGATTATGACAAACTATGATAGTATGTTATTATAATTCTCAACTTTCACTGAAAAATGTGTAAATACTTGCGACTGTGTAAGTGCCTTCACAGATGTAAATGACAAGTCATTAAATCAATTGATATCTATTTAGTTAATTAGTAGTTCCTTATTTTTCTTAAACTATTTTTCTTTCATGAATTTGATTTTTTTGTAATAAGGAAATACTGTTTTATTATTTATTTCTCATTGTAAAACATCATAATATATTTACTAAGAGTAAATGAATTTTAACTCGTGTAAAATACTGGTTTTGTATGCCTGTGTAATAGTCACTAAATTTTTGAAAGACAACTTGATAATTCACGCTTTGTAATACGTAATATATCATTTAAAATTATGAATACTCCAGTCTAAACACATTTTTATTTTGTGACGGTACAAAATCAAGTATGTCATATTTTATTCACGTAAAAAAGAACAAATGAAATTTTTTATGTATTGTAAATGCATTACCAATTTTAATTTTTTAGATTTATAAAATTTTCTTGTTTCTTTCTATTTATCAAGTATGTCATATTTATATTTCACTCGTATCTTAAACAAATTATCTACAATTTCAAATTATTAAAATTTTTCGATTTCATGATATGAAGTATATTTAATTATTAAAATTTTAGAAATAATAGAATTCTAATGATTTTAAAAGATTTAAAACAGTAAAAAATTAATATGATTTTTTTTAGTATGTAATATGTATATATGTAATTGTACCTTTTATTTCAACTCGAAATATTTAACAAGTTAATTTATTAATACTATTACTTTGATGAAAATAGTTTTTTTTAATTTTGTATAAAGTTGACAAAAAGACTGTACAAAGATAATGACATTGTTTAAAATTCGAAAGTTTTTATGCTACTTGTATTTCTATATATATATTATTTGTGTATATTGGTGCAATTACACAGTTGTATTTTTAGATTAAACATATTTCTTTTCATATGTAATAAATTAAAACGATACTTAATCATGTTATACATACAAAATAAACATCTACACTTAATATGTGACAAACATAAAAATGTAGTATAGTTTAGAAATTTGTAATAAATTTGGAATACCAAATTGAAAAGTAATAAAATAAAACAAACTAAATACTTTTTTTGGTTCAAGCTACGTCTCGATATGCAAAAATATAGCTTGAAAATCATTGTTAGTTGTAAGTATTAATTATAATATTCTACGTGATATACATTACATAACTTTGTTTCAAATACAAAAAAAAAATTACTGTGTAAACAATTTCGATATTGAAAGAAGAAAAATTATATAAAATCATATATATATATATGCATATATTAAGTTTGCATTATAGTTAGAAGTTTGGAGCATGAAAAAATTACGCTCACTTATCTACATTATGTACACGTATGTAATATTAAATATTATAAAACATGTACTATATTTAGCCTATATTTTTATTAATTATTATACAATAGAATATGTTTATGGTGTACTTTAATTTATATTAAAAGATTTCAAATTTATGTTAAATTCGATAGATTATGAAAGAAGTGAACAGTGTATGCATCACGTATAATTCTATGCTTATTTTCTATAAATTAACTTAAGTTTCAATTTTATTTTATTGCAGAATCATTTCATTTTGTAAATACTTATATTAATTTTATATAAATTGCGATTATATCGCAATACATTATTTTTTCTTACGTTAATACTTCATAAAAAAAAAAATTTTTTCAGAGGTGAAGGAACGTTACACTTTCTCTATAGCAAATCATTTTGTATATTTGATTTCGGCTTAAAAAAACTGTAAGCATTTATTTAAATATAAAACAGGAAAATATATATTTGCATTAAACATAATTAAAGTATCGGACATCAATTATTGTTAGTGCGCGTACTTTTTGACTCGGATATTGTGTATAATGCCCACAATAGTATTCTTCTTTTCTTTAAGTTGCAAATGTTATCTCGAGCGACATTGATTATTACATCACTATTTGTATCACAGATGTAAAATTTTCCTAGCCTAGAAAAGTTACTAATACTTCCATGGACTTTCTCTCATTTTTTTGTTTGCACAAATCAAAAGCTCGGTAATGAATTATTTTTAGTTAGTGATGCACTTTTGAATAGTGTGCATTGTGTATCAATGTTTTATGTTTAGAAAATGTAGTATATGAAAAAATAGTTATAGAATTTTATACAGCTTATAGTAGGTTACTAATATTAATTTAACGCATAATTTTGTCATAAGATGGAGGTGGAGCTTCCTCTGATGGGTTGTTTGATGGAATCAAAATAGCAATATGATAGGGTGGTGGTGGATTCTGTCTTACTACAGAAATAGGTCTAATATTTTCATTGGGCATTGGGGTTGTAGCAGCTACAGATGCAATGTGCTCCTCTTGAATTTGATGTTCTTGATGATTATTGCGTTGATTCCGACAATATAAAATAGAATATAAACACGCAAATAATGATAATGTTAACAGACCCCAAAATACGAATATTTCTATACCTTGGCCCTATTGAAAAAAAATGTCCAAAATTAATTATAAAGAAATTAAATTAAAGTATTGATTTTATAAAACAAAAAATCAATTTTAGCTTACTCTATCACTAAAGTAAAATTTTGCAGCAGCAACAAATCCTGTTGCAAGTACAAATGTTATCCAAACGCCGCATCGTAGTCTGTAACTTGCGAGTTCTGCGTCGTTAAATTCCGAAAAATCCAAAAGACTTCTGTTCGTTCCGTTTGATATAGCATTAGACAATATCAACTGATTATTCCCAGCAGTTGTTACATTACTGCAAACACACAAAAAGCCTTGATATTTTGATTATTACTATTTGTAGTAATTTCTTAAACCATATTGTTTGTAACAACGTATAATTAAGGGCGAATCATTTATAAATACTTTCTGGTGATAGACATGTATAAGTGAGTCACCCTGTATATAAGAAGAACATGTTCCTCAGAATCTTCTTAGTAGACCTTTTTCTTAATTACTTGGAGATGTTGTTTAGTTGGGGGTGTTGAGTAGAGCCAACTGGAAAATTGCTTTGAGTTTCATTGTTTGTTCTTATCGTTGTTCTTATCATTCTGCAACTATTTATATTACTAGGACCAGCTGTATTTCCCATAGTATTTAGGTTTTGAAATCGATGAAGCGGAGTGATCATCTGTCTTGGCTCTCCAATGTATCTACAATGACCTGAAATAATAAACATAAACATTTAAAACATTTACTTAACGAAACGAACTATTTTGCTATTTTCTAAATTAAAATATTCTTACAAACATTTTCAGAAATTGCAAAAAATAAATAAACGTATAAAGAGGGAAAAGAAAGAGCTCGAAAATATTTTGAATGCCCTTACTTATACGACTTTTTGGCCTAGGTGTGGCAGGGTATTGGCGGCCAGTGAAACCGTAATACCTGCCTGCCGGTTTGTTAATCCAGAAATGCATGCTCCGTTCAAACAGTTCTAGATATCCATTGTTATTTACGAAATCTCTCGAATGGCGAGCAATTGCATGAACTTGCGTTTCCCTCGGTACTTTATTTTATTTGTAAATGTCTTCGCAACAAAGGCTTATGAACGTCTTCAGTTCAAGTTCCATTGTCCGTGCATTTCAGATCGATGCGTCGCATCAAAATAATTCCGTTGTTCATTATTTGTCAGAAAAATGCTTAAAATACTTCGAAAGAAACGTACATTCCGATTTCGTTCAATCAAAAATTTCAGTCACAAGCATTCCGAGAAAAATTCAATATCCGAGATTACAATTCACTTTCGAATAACGCACGTCAATACACGACTAAACTACAGCTAGAATTTTTGTCGTTAATTTAAAATCAGACGTACCAACGACTGAAAATATATACAGCCGATTTGCGGCTGCGAGGTGCAACTAAGAAAAATTAGTTTCTCAGGGGACTTACATATATTTGATAAAAAAAATTAATTTTTGTCGGATAATTTTATTGAATCGCGATAACACTTTTATGGTTTTAGTTTTATGTGTTTAGTAATATACTAGAATCATGCTTTTATTCTAGTTCACTTTTACGATTAATCTTTATGTACATCTGAAAACAAAAATTGATTTTTAAGAATTATTTCCGTATTTATGTAATTATTCTAGTAAATCAGAAATATTTAAGTACTCACGTGTATAACAACACACGGTTAATACTACAAACGCAATGAAATATTGAACTCGTTTAGATATAAAATAGCAATTAAGCTTAAATCACCATAAATGATTCTTTCTATAAAAAAAATTAATTTCTCATCTTCTATAATTACAATCATTTCTCTCGTAATCCCCAAAGCAAAACAAATTGTAAAATTTGATATATTATTATTTTTATATTTTGTATAAAATTAAACATATTCTTACCGAATTCAACTGTAATAACTCGATAATCTCAAGATTCGAAACGATAACTTATACTTGTATTAACACGTGTCGTGCAGAGATGAAAAGTTTCCCGAAAAGAATGTGGGTCTGGTTGGTTATTTCTAATCCATTCTTAAATTTAAGAATACCTATTGATTGAGAGTATCATGCAAAACAAACAAAATCTAGTGGGTCGCTTACAGAAGGAACTGCTTCCTTTGTTCTTGCATGAGACTTCATTTTTGTATATAGATACAGCTCTATATATATATATATAACTGAAAATATACAATTTGTAATTCATCAAGATGGTACTCAAGATGAAATTTTTGTTGCGGATGATTTTATGTATAATGTAAGGTTATAAAAAATATAGAAGGTAGAGTGTATTTCGTCTGAGAGTCATCGCCAGATTCATCACTAGGGCTGATACCGGCGACTCCTAATCTCAGACGCTCGGTTTATTAGCAACCTCTAGCTTAAGCCAAGAAACGGCACCCATCCTAAAGGCATTTCCGCACGCTGCACGCTTAACCTAAAGATCGCAATTGATCCGTAATTCAAATATTCGTCTTTGGAACTGGTATACTAAGAAAAGACTGGATGTGCTAGCCGCTAGAGGCATTAAAATACTAGCGTCGCGTAGCAGTGAAACGGTGGAATTAATTTAAATTGTTGTCCATGTCGCACACTACCACTCTCCTTGTCTACAGCGCGAATATGTCTGTCCTTGTCGCACGTTGTTGTTCTCCTTGTCTATCGCACAAATATGTCTGTCCTTGTCCTACACTATCGCCCTCCTTGTTTACCGCGCGAAAATGTCTATCCTTGTCGCACGCTGTTGCTCTCCTTGTCTAACGTGCGTATATGTCTATCCTTGTCGCACGCTAGTGTCCTTGTCTAATGACGCTAGACAAGGAAAGCAATAGTGTGCGACAAGGACATTCTTCGATCTATTGAAAAAAAAATTCAACTTTCTATACACACGTATCTCTAAGACAAAACACACATAGAAAGAAAGCGGGGAGTCTAATTTTAAGGAAGCATATCAAAAAATTCGCAAATTATTCCTCTTAATTTCTTCTCGTAATTTATGGAAAAACTTACCTATCAATCTTTAGAAGCAATGGTGGCGCCATCTATCGATAACTCGATGACACTAAAAGCAGAAAATTCTGCTTTTAGTACCATGGAGTTATCAATAGATGGCGCCACCATTGTTTTAAAACTGACGGGTGACAGTTTTTTCATAAATTACGAGAAGAAATTAATTAAAAGGAATCATTTGTAAACAGTTATGGTTGCGTTTCCGATTTTAGAGACTTTTAGCTTGCATTTTATGTTTCGTGGAGTGCAAATTAGTAGCGTGAAAAATTAAAATTAATTATTCCCCTTTTATGGTTACAGAGCGTTTAGTTCCACCGGTCTGCCACAACGCGGCGCTAGTGTTTCTTACCCTGTAGTGATTATGATAATTTAAATTTATATCACAATACTACAAATAAATAATAACTCCGTAATTAATTTTAGTTGTTTATATAAAAATATTATCAATATCACAAAATATATAATTACTAATAATTTAATGAAGATTACATAGTGGAAGTTAAATGACGAATAATTTCTACGAATGAAAGTTAAATAACGAATGAAGATATATATATATAATATACAATATATATAGGTGTCAGTAAACATTTCCATGGAGATAGTAAAATTAATAGCTATTTTTAAATATTCTATTGTTTATACACATCTCGACGGAACGATTTAATTAACATAGATGTCGTTGATCTATATTTTTCGAAGTAGATGTCGCTACAACCCCGTAAAACAGAGAAATTTTTATTTGCGAAAAAACCTAATTTAGCGAAATGAATTGTGAACTTTTGTGATTGTATTACCCTAATTAGACTCTTAGCTTCCTTTTCATATCCCATATGACCCGTAAAATGCAGAAATAAGTGTTTTTATAATTAATTAGTAGCACCGAGCTACCACTAGATGGCGCCACCATGTCCATTTTTTGGCAGTTTGCACTAATTACGAGAAAAACCTATTTAAGAGGAATAATTTGCGAACTTTTTGATATGCTTCCGTAAAATTAAGAACCCCGCTTTCTTTCTATGTGTGTTTTGTCCTAGAAATACGTGTGTGTAGAAAGTTGAATTTTTTTTTCAATAGATCGAAGGATGTCCTTGTCGCACACTATTGCTTTCCTTGTCTAGCGTCAAGGAGGACACTAGCGTGCGACAAGGACAGACATATACGCACGTTAGACAAGGAGAGCAACAGCGTGCGACAAGGATAACAATAAAAAAAATTAGTTTCGGCACTTATCTTAGGGGTGATGCACACGGTGCATGCTTAAAGAAATTACATTCAAATACATAACTTCGCAAGACAAAAAATAAACTACTGCGAATAGATTATATTTCTTGTATATGTTTATGAATCTTTTTGTTTCGTTATTGTCCTTGAATTTTTTGTAATATTATACGTTGTTGAATAAATTTGAAAAAAAACATTTGGAAAATAAGTTCTTTCATTTTTAATATATTTCTTTATTTCAATGAAACGGGAAACATGTCACATTTTTTTTTTTTCTTTCTTCAATTAGAAATAACAAACCTTTAGTTTGGTTAAACAAAAATTTATATTCGTAGTTAATTTGCAAGTGATTAAGCACAACTTCAACGTGTTGCAGTACCGAATAACATTTAAATTGTTTTTGTATTTAAACACATATTTGTCCAAATCAAAAATATTGTTATATTTACTGAAAATGAAATGTTTATATTTATAAACAATAGTGATTAATTTGCAGAATTGTGCTCATCAGAATGTTAAAAACCTAACATCTACCTAACATAACCTATTAGTTCATTTATAATTTCAGTAAATAATGTGTTGATACATTTATTGAATAATGTTCGTATTTAAGATCAAACATGTGCCTCTATCCAATGTATATTTCTTAAAACGAACCTTCTTTCACTCCACTATTTGGAATGCCAGCAATGAATTAGATTTTACATTAAAGCATCAAACTGAATTGAACGAAGAGTCAGACTTGTGTCAAAAGACGAAAAAATTAGTGAAAATTGCGATCTTGGGTCTACCCAATGCTGGGAAAAGTACATTAGTGAATAAACTCATACACAGATCTGTACGTATATTCATATATGTTAGAACAATTTACTTAATTTCATTTTATTTATATTTTACGTATTTTTTAATAATATTTCTTTATTAAAAATTAACAATACTTTTATTTATCTATTTAAGAGCTTTAATTAAAAATAAATATTTTCAATACATAGGTATGTCCAACATCTTCAAAAGTCCATACTACGACACACAAAGCTGAAGCAATATATACAGAAAATGATACTCAAATTGTATTTATGGATACTCCGGGATTAGTAGTACCTAAGGAAATGAAAACTTACAAACTATCAGAAACATTCAAAGATGATCCCAAAAATGCAGTCACTGAAGCAGATGTTATTGGAATAGTACAGGATGTAACTAATGTATATACTAGACATAAGATTAATGATTGTGTACTTGACTACATAAAAAATAAGAGAGAAGATACAGAGCTGTTAATGATTTTAAATAAAGTAGATAAATTAAAAAAGAAGACAGCATTGTTGGAGGTTACAAGAATATTAACAAAAAAGGATTACCCAAAGTTTGATGATGTTTTTATGGTATCTGCACTTAATGGAGATGGAATAGATGATCTAAGGGTAATATATACTGAACATTATATTAAAAACTAATTTTCAATGGTTTTGTATATATTTATATTTAAATATATGTTGTAGAATTATTTGCTCGATTCAGCCAAAGTAGGTAATTGGAAATATGACAAGAAATTTTATAGTAATCAATCAGTTGAAACTATAATGGAACAAACTGTTAGAGCTAAATTAATGGACATTCTTCCATATGAAATGCCATATAAAATAAAAATAATAACAGATCATTTTGATTTCGGTGATGATGGTAGTATTAATGCTTTAGTAACATTAAATTGCCCTAAAGAAAAGTACGTAAAAATTTTATTAAAGGGTAAAGTTAAATGCTTAGCATTTTACGTAGAAAAGGAATTACGTCATGCATTTAGAACTACTGTAATTGTTCGTATAAATGTACAATATATAAAGTCTGTATTAAATCAATAATATTATGAATTTATAAGTGTTTGTTTTTTCTATATATTGTAATTTAATATAATTTATTTGATACATTTAAAATACATAAAATATATATATATATATATATATATTATTAATACAGATATTTAGAATAAACAAATATAATATTTGATTTCACAAAATTTTCTAGTATTTTGTAAAAAATATTGGAAAATATTGTTAAATAAACGATCATATAACATATTATTTATAGTTACCATTAATATTAAAATACGGAAAAGTGAGATCTGTATCCTTTAAATTTTCTTCGATCCATTTATTAGCTTTGGCGTTGAGCTCTTCTGTGAACATATCGTTCCATCCACCACTTCCACCCTTTCTAACAAATATTCCTGCTTTTATCACACCACAGTCTTTTAATTCTGATAAATTTACCATTGGATTATTACGAAAATTTTTTATATTTAAATACTCTGCTAATTCTTTGATTTGTTCTTCAGTATATGTTTTTCCAAGAAATTTAGCAACCTTTTTAATTGCTTTTAGGAAATCCTGAAAATATATGAATAAGTGGAATATTAAAAAACGTTCAATCTTCTCCAAATACTGTATTTTGACTTACATGATGCATTTCTTCATAAAACATGAATAAAACATTCGGATTATTTCTGTTTGTCCATGCTTCTTTCAAATGTTCCCAATACGGACTCCAGTTTGCTAAAAAAAATTATAAACCATAATTTGTGTACTATAAGTTGTCTCAATCTCGTTTTCTTCATTTATATGTAAGTGTGTATTTTAGATTTAATACTTACTGAGGTTATTTTGAAAGTAATCCCAAAATGTTGGAAAATCACCTACGAATCCAAGTGTTTTAATTGACACATTAAGGTGATACCAAGAAATTGCCACATTTTTTGGATTTCTTGCGATATACACTATCTTCAATGAAATAATATGATTTTTCGTAAAATTATCAAACAAAGAATAATACAACTTATTTTTTAAATTATAAGTTTACCTTGCAACCGCTCTTCAAAACATTAGGTAACAAAGAAAATGGAAAATGTGATTTTATGAACCTCTTGGAAGGCATTTTTGCCAAGACTTCGTATCCTGGCTCAGAAAGCGTTTTACAGAGTTCTACCTTAGCTTTATCACCCTCATTCATTTTTATCGTTTCATCTATTACTTCTGGATGATTGAACATACTAAATCTACAAGCAATATTTATAACAACATTAATAAATTGACAATAATATACATATTTATACACTAAAATATTTTTGTTTGACTTTGAATTTTAATTATGAGATTTTAAGTATTAACTGTTGTCACGAGAATGACGTTGTAGTTTTGACTTTTTATTAAAGACTTTATTTCATTATTTCACTAAAGAACCTCGGACAAATTTTCACGTTCTATTTCTTTTCTTAATTGTATAATTACGTGTTATTTGTATGTAATGTTATAATTACAAGGTATTGCACATCGGCGGCAAACATACTATATAATTTTTCACGGATAAGTTATTCATATAATTGGTCCTTAAACATTATGTAAGTGTTAGTATCGTTACACATAGAGACTACTGTTCTATGAAAACTTGCGACAAATTTTTATAGTCGATGTATCGTCGATTAAGATTTGTTTTTAACATTAATCATACTAACTCCAGAAATGGAAATCTTTTTGATAAGAGTTCTGTCCTTGCTGTGTTAAAATCTAAGTCATTTGATAGCAACCAAACTAATTCTTGAGTCCAAGTCGTTCCTAAAGCAAGTAAAAGGGAAATGTTTAAGTTGCAACAAGTACATCATTCAATATTCAATAATAATTGATAATAATAAATACTTTATTACAATCTGTGTAATAACAGATACCTAATAATGGTAGTACTTAATTACATTCTGTTTAATTGATATTTGAATTCAAAAAAATATCGATAATCGAATTATACTAATTCGATAGTATTACGCGGGCAAGCATTTAAATCCTTTATCTTTGATACTTCTGTTTTAAATTATCTGATTGAAAGAGAAGATAAAAAAAATTGAATAATAATAATAATAATATTAGCGATAAAAAGGTAGAAAGGAAACATGTCATGTACCTGATCGAGGATAAGTTATCACCCACGTATCATCTGGCCTTGCCTTAAAATTATAATATTCTTTACCCTCTGTCGTATATCTAAGAGGCAAGAACCATTTTTTGGGACCCACGAGAACGAAACCTGATCTTTCACCCGTAAATAATTTCATCATTTTTTTGGTATCTTCTTCATTCAAATATTCACACTCCGGTGGTTCAAGGGCCATATTTTCGTACTTTTCTCTGCGACAAGATATAAACATTAAATCATAAGAATTGCTTAATATTTTTAATAATAATGAGTAGATGTATTTACAGAAAATTTGAAAATGAAAAAGTGCAGAGAATATAAAAAAATATGTAAAATATGTAAAATATTCAAAGCATGTATATCATTTCCGTGATATTACATTGACACAAGTAGTCAACTACTGAAGGCTATCGCTGTTTTGTTAAAAATAAAATTGTCGCACGTAAGTGCATATAACATAATGGTTGCACTGTTGCAGAAGTGTAATTTTATCAAATAAGAAAGAATCGTCTAGAAATAATCCGTGAAGATGTGTAAATGTATATCAAAGAATTAACGAGTAAAATAATTTTCTATCTCCTCGACTGTATTTATAAGCTTATGAATTTATATAAATATTTGTAGTTTAGTAATTCTTTGCAATTAATAATTTTGTTTCTTGTGCCCTGTCGATTTATTCATTAAAATCTTTGTTAAAGATTTTAGCATTGTTTAATTACGTTGCGGCAATAAAACCGGCCCTACGTTTTAAAATAATTGGTTATCGTCGACTTCTGTAATTATTCTACAATTATTATTCGTCGTTCGGTTAGTTTTTATTTCTTTTTGCGCGTTCGTCATTCAGGACATATTTTGTAATAAGGATTTTGCTCACATTAGTTGAATCTACGACTCCTCTAATCAAATACAAGATAAATGGAAGATCCGCGTGGAACGATTTGTTATATATATGTCGATCATTTGAGACAAATTTCATAATTTTAACTTGCGTGTAAGCTGATTACGCCACGAGGCAATATTCTACTTTATCATTCGAATCAGACGGGATTAAATTATTAAACAAGAGATTACGCGTTCTTCGTTGCATTTCATCACTTTGTCCAATGTTAATTTTGACGAATAACATCGTCATAGAATCATGAATAGATGTTCAAATTCGACGGTATCTGATATTTTATGGTAATTTGCGATTACCATATATATATGTGGTAAAAAATATTAAATAATAAATTCTGTAAATTGTAATTTAGATTGAATATTTCTAAAATTAGGCGTATATCAATTTTTGTTATTAAGACAAGAGTAAAAATGTGAAAAATTTATTTCCACATATAAAAAATTTTTCCTTTTTTGGAGTAATTTAATTTAAAAATGAGCAATTTTTGTTCAATTTTCAACCAGTATGAAATATGAAATATGATTACTTACTGCGATAGTTGCAACGATATTGATACGAGTTTTTGTTAACAAATTAAAATATCGAACAATTATGCTTATTAATATTAAATGATGCTTACGCGACGAAATCGAAGCTACGACTGACACGAGAAAAGTTGCATTTGAATGAGGTTTTCGAAGAGTTTAACGGGAATTGAGGTAACGGACTTTCTCCCAACCAAGTAATCACCTTTCTATTTTTATCAGTTTATTTTTTGATAATCAACTTATTCTTAAATATCCAATTTATTACAGATACTTATTTGATAAGATAGACTATACATAAAGATAAAATTATTTAAAAGAAATTATCTGAATAGCACATGATTTAATTTATTGAAGATAAATAAGTAATTAAATTTTACAGAGATATGCGTATTAAATTACAATTATTGGGGAGATAGTTTTTATTTTTTCTCAATGTAATACTTTATTTGGTATAAGTGACAAGCATTCTGTTTAATTTGTCATTTTAAACTTCCAAGGATAAATTTTAAATAACTTAATTATCACTGCTCACAAAGCTATAGTTGTAATAAATAACAATAAAAACTCTAACGTGCCCTCAAACTAAAATTGTTTTTACTTAAATGGATATAATTTTGATCTAATTACTTTAAATAGGAACTTTTATTTCTTTATAAGTCTAGATCCATATAGATTATCAGTCTTATTTCTTTACTTATGAATGTATAAGCGTAAGAATATCATTTTTTATCTTATTTCATAAGGTAAAAAAATGACAGGTTTTCTTTGGTCGTTAAACTTTTCTTTAAAATTAGGCAACTTTTTAAACAAAAATCGGTACTCACAAAATGTGAATATGAAAAAATATATGTTTTTATATAAAAATATCACATAATGTTAACTTAGAAATTTAAATTGAATATTCCTATGGTGGAAATTTTAATATTTAAGATCTAATGTTATATGATATTTCTGTACGAAAATAAGTATTAATATTTAAAAATAAGTATTTTTAAATATTTTAAACTAATGAATATGATTTAATGAGAAAGTTGTTACTTTTTAACTAAATTAACAAGTTTATTAACAACTTTCTAATTAAATTTATTAAATTATGTTCATTATTTAAATTTAATTGCGTTCATAATTTAACAAGGAAGTTATTAATAGTTTTCCGGTCCCAAGATATTTTCAAAAACTGGCAAATTTTCGTTTTCTGGAATTAATCTGTCATTAGTAATTGCAATTTTAACTACATCAATATCGGTAGATTTCGTCACTTCTTTTCCATAATTCTTATCAGAATTACATGCTTTATCTGTCGATTCAATCAAAGAAATATTCTGTTCTAATTTGCAAAGATTTAACACAGTCTCTTCCTCAGTCTTTACTGATATATCACCATTCTGATTTTGTAGAGAAACTGGAGACACGGAATTTGTGATATTTCCAGTCTTTAGTTCTGCAGTTAATTCTGTTACGTTATCGAACGATATAGTCCTTTCTCTGCTATTTAAAAGCCTTTTCAAATCTGGATTTGCCAAAAATGGTTTGCATCGTTTAGTGTGCATTTTCATATTATCTAAACGATTGAAAGGTTTGCTACACCCGGGGCAATGGAATCTATAAATAAATATAAAAAGTCTGTTACATCCAGAGTAAGAATCTATAAATAAATATACATACTAAACGATTATTTTCATATTATCCAGACAATTGAAAGATTTGTTACATCCAGGGCAATGGGGACCTCCCAGTCATTAGTGATAATATTCAACAAATTAAAAGGCCATTAAGAAACGTACCTAATTTTACTATGCACTGCCATATGAGCAGCTAAATGAGATTGTTGACCAAACGATTTTTCACAGACATTACATTTGTACTTTCTGATACCTTCATGCTTCAAAAGATGTTCTTTTAGTATTTGGCTACTCTTATACACATTTGGACATAGAGTACATTTATATTTTGCTGCAGCATGAACCTATAAACAAAATTTTTTGTCTTGTTATAATTATGTTCTTAATCAGTAACTTATTAATTGATTATAACAAAACATGTCTTACATTTTGATGATTGTATAAAGCTTTTCTTGATTTGACACATTTTCCGCATACATTACACACGTAATCTTGCATGTGAATATTTTTATGATGCATTTCTAATGCTTCTGCGTTAGATAAATAAGCAGAACATAATTTACACATAACAGCTTTATCCTTGTTATGTACAATCATGTGTGCGCGTAATCTAGTTTTTGAGTAAAACTCTTTCCCACAAATTTTGCAGCTAACATCCTATAATTTTTACAAAAAGGATAAATAAAATTCGGTAACTTAATATATTATTTAATACATCAAACAATTTTATAGATACCTTTAGTAGTTTGTGAGTAGCCCTATGGTAACTTAGCGTTTGTCTACTGGAACCTGCAAAGTCACAGAGTTCGCACTTGTATGGACGCGCACCTGTATGAGTATTAATGTGTTCTTCTAATAATATAGCAGTTACATATCGTTTTTCACACAAATGGCACTCGAACGGACGTAATTTCAAGTGACATTTTCTGATATGGCAACGAACATTGCTAACAGTAACTGTAGCAAAATCACAAGCTTTGCATTGATATGGTTTCATTTGTAAATGTCCCCAAATATGTACCTATAAGAACATGATTTCAAGATTTAAATAATCCTTCACATGTAATAAAAATAATTTTTTAAAACTTACTTGACACTTATCCATTCTAAGATAGAGATTCCCACAAATATTGCAGCGTATTTTTTTTTGATCCGCTACCGTTATATTTCTTTGTACTTCTTCCGAATTTATCACTGACATATTCACCACGTAATAAGTTTCAATGATTTGTTTCTGTTCATCACTTATTAATTTGGAAATTTTACCAAACGGTCTATTTTTACTTTGAGTCCCACTAAAACTATTTTGATTGTGTCGAGATAATGAATGTTCATTGAGAATATTGCATTCTTCATTTTTGATATTTTCATTGATACTTTCATCTATCCCAATACAAACTTCTGTACAATCTTCCTGCATCGTCTTTGGATTTGATACTTTATTAGAAGAAGATTTTATAACAGCAATACGATTTTGTTCTGTGAATATTTCAGACTGTTGATTATTATGAACAGAAATAATTTCTATATCAGAATTATTGTCATGTACTGTTATTAAATTAGTCTTACTATCTTCAGTTTTTTCAGATTCTTCTGCCAGCAAACTTTCATTCCTCATTAAATTTTCATTCTGTTTAAGAGAAGAAGTATTTTCTGCTTCTCCTTTTTCTTCTTTTGAAGCCAATATTGCTTTACTTTTTACAGAACAGTCTTCTGTATTGTTCAAACAATTGCCAGGTTTCTCCATGCATTCATTATTAGATTTTATTTCTGGTGATTTATGAATCACTATATGAGCTTCATTGCTTTTAGTAAAATCTATATTCGAGGGTGTATCAATAACCTGTTCCACATCGATTTGAGATGGCGAAGTCATAACATCATTGATCACCTTATTGGAATTATCATTATTACAAATAACAGGTAGGCTACTTCTTTCGCGTTCATTGTTCAAATTTTTGTTTCTTTTATTATTATCAAAATTATCACTCCTGTTTGTCAGAGAGAAATCAGTTTCGCAACGGACCTTAAAAAAACAATCATTTCGGATTGTTCCTCTCATCTTCTCGAATTTACTTTTCTGTCCTCTTTTACATCGTGGCTGGCCTGGTTTGATACCAATATCCTTCTCATCTTTTTGCGACGACCTATTTGTTAACTTTGTACGAATTGCAGACTTTTTTATAATATTATTTTTTAAATTCCTACGTTTTAAACTACCAATGTTATGTTGATCATTTCCTGGGATTTTTTCATATAAAGTTACATTGCTTAATTGTACTGTTTGTGTAACTGAATAATTATTATTAGTGGAATTATTATCTACGAGATTAACACTTTTCTTTTTCCTTTCAGTCTTGTATGTGTTATCTTCAGAAAGACAATTTTTTGTACTCTTTAAATTGTCAGGTGATGAAATCTTGACTTTCCATTTGGTACCATTCCTTGATCGGACAGTGTTCTCCTTATCTGATTCTACATCACTGTCTCCCTGGCACTTTTCCTCTCTTGTATTTTGACTCTGTAAGATAAGAATAAAATATTTTCAATATTTTATTTATATTTAAACCTTTAATAATATAACTTTCTAACATTTCTAACAAGTTGTATAACAGTGTTATAGACATACAATAAAAGAAAAGAATGTAAAATACACATGATGTTCCGAAAATATAATAAATGTTTTTTCATACACAACGTTTTAGATTTTATTATCCTCTATCTTTAATATTGATTATTAGTATAATAATCTAATAATTAATATTAATTGTGATAATAATTAGATGAACATAATTAAAAACATGTGTATACATATATACATAAATATAATATTCTATAGAAATATAATTTTTTAGATTCTAGTCTATATTCCATGCTTTGAAACTATTAAATGCAAAATTTCTGTGTAGACCCTAAAATCATCCGAAAGTTAAATATATGTCTTTGCCTAGTTATAAAAAAAAATATATTTTCTCAAACAATAATTATAAACACGTGCAAGATTTTTGATAGTATATCAAGTTACAATAGCTTACAGCTTTCTGAGCAAATCCTTTTTGAGCAAGATGACAGCGCTCATAAAAATCACATAAGAACTCCAGTGTACCCAAACACTGCATACAAACAATCTGCGGTAGTCCATCATTTTCTTTTATCTGAAACAATAAAAAGAAATTTCCATGTCCAAAAAATGAATCACAAACCTTGCATAGAGGAAGCTCAACTTTTTACAAGAAGGTAAATACCCCAATTCGGTATAATAATTGTGTCAATATAGTTTACAATAAAATGAAACTAGATTTAAATAGATTTAAATTTAACAGTAACATATTACTATCTTTATTATTTCAGAATTTTACAGAAGTATTATATTAGTAACAGAACAAACCTTGTTGAATCATATTTTTTATGTACATGCAGGATGAAAATAAATTGCCATGCAAAATAAGTTAGAAGTGGTATGAAGAAAAATAAGATTGAAAATCAAATAATTAGCGGTTCCAAAAATATCGTACCTTTATTGAGAAAAATTGTAGAATCCTTAAACAAATGTATGCTTTTTTTCTTTATTGTCGAAAAGTCGTTATATACGCTAACTCATACTGCACATTAATAACATTAATGTTTATCTTTATCAAGAAATATACATACATACATACATACATACGCACACATGCACACAATATATACATATATAGCATACATATTAACCATTGGAAAAATAAATTGGTTTAACAAACGTCTTGTACAAATAATTATTATACAATATCTTGCACAATGTATTATATAATATCTTGTACAATAATTATTGCTTATCACTTATATTATCTGAGGAAAGAATGTAAATGTTAGATGTAATATCGTTCACATGACTTTATTAACAATTCTCATGCGAAATAACTTTTTTGCAAGGAAAACTAATGGTCATAGTTCATGCATAATTCTTTGTGCTCTCATCTCGAAAACATGATAGACAGAGCGTTTCACTTTCTATCTAATACTAAAATGGAGTTACATATACTGAATATTTTGAATGAAATAATAACAAACATTATCAATTTATAATTATCATTAACAAATTTCCATATAAAATTATTAAATTCTAAGTAAAAAATAATGAAAAACTGCATGTCATAGTTACTCTTTTTATCACTTAACAATTATTTTTCTTTTAAAATATTCAGTATAGTTTCTACATTATTATTAGGATTAAATCAGATAGTTTGAGCACAAAGAATTATATTTGATTTCCTTCTAAAGGAAGATTAATGCTATACTCAGAGTATCATCAACGATTTTTTCATTCATCAATGCTCTTGAGTAATACATATAAATAACATATATTGAGTCGACCAAGGCACTATTTTTCTAACAAATCACATAATATACTTTCTTAGATAATTTATCGTACGCGCTATCCTTGTAGCGAAATATTTATCAAAAACAATAGTTTACTTAAATCTAAACTCGTTATCACCAATCAATTACAATAATTTTTCTGAATTTTGAACTTTCTTATAATGAATCATGCTTTTGTTCTGAATCTTCGTTTATTTATTATATTTATAATACATAGTATTATATATAAAATAGAATCGAAAATAGAATAAAATACACTTTATACATTTAAAAGTTTTGAAATTCTTCTAAAAACAGTCATGTAAAAATACATAGAAAATATTCTTTTTCACTTTTACACCCTTTTTTCGGAGTTTTTAACTTTGGAAGCCCTGTACTCACATAAATTTTTTTTTATGTAAATTAATTTTTCTTAGAAAGCTAACTGTGCGATAAATATGCAAATTTTCCGCAAAAATGTATCCAATATTTTTTGGCTTCCTTACAATTACATTTCAATTGTCGTTTATTTTCTATCTTTTTGTTAAATCTTACCCCAATATTCCGTCATGTTTCATAGTTTGTCTTTATTATAGCTTTGGTAAATTAATAATGTTCCAAGTGCAAAAATATTTTCTAATATAATATATGTAAATGGAAAAAATACTTAATGGATATCAGTAGTCTCTTAAATGCACGCTTGCTACATTATGTACAAAACGACGGTTAACTTATTGTGATAAAAAAAAAAAAAAAGAAGAAGAATACGAGCGATGAAAGAGGAAGTAAATTGATTTATCTCTATTGCTATTATTCACCTGGTAACATACATTGCCTCAAAATTTAAAAGTAAAACTAATCAATATTTTATGATTGACATAATTGAATTTCTCGTGATTAAAGAGAATTATATTTGCTTTTTACTTTTAATTCTTTCAGCAATATATTTACAATCGTTTAAAGCATCAAATGATTAACGTTCTATTGACTAAGAGTCGATAAGTCGAAAAAATATATCTTTTATAAAATCCCAGTTCGCTCATGAATTAAGTTAGTCTTAGAAAAATATGTCAGTACCGTTATTTCTCGTTGCACGTAGTAGAAGAAGCCACGTCGCCACTAAAAGCGTTTTTCTGTTTGCTATTACTAGTCTTTTTTTCTTCAAAATGTCTTTTTCTGTGTACCTTCATGTTATCACGCCTGTTGAATTTTCGTCCGCACTCCGGACAAGCATGCTTTTTTTCACCATGCACGTGCCGGTGCGCAGCAAGATGACTAGCTTGAGCAAATCTTGCACCACACTTTTGACAAATGTGTTTCCTCAGCCCCTCGTGCTTTAATAGATGTTCATTCAGGAATGCTTTCGATGCATATCTATTGTTACAAACATTACATACAAATGGTTTAGGATTCGAATGTTGTAACACATGAGCCTTATACTTGGACGCGACTTTGAACGTTTTACTACAAATTTCACAGGTATAAGTAGTCGCGTGTCGCGTTTTAATGTGCTCATTCAAAACTGAAAGACTCGAATATAGATTGTAACAAAATCGGCACCTGAAGTTACGACGATTTTTTAAATGTACACTAGCTATATGACTTAATAATCTCGTACGGTACGGGAATACCTTGCCGCAATATTCGCAAGCTAAATTCTGCGGTGGTAAGTGTGATTTCATGTGGATTTGTAGCGATACTTTGTGGTGATAACTCTGACCGCAGTCCGTACAAGAATAAGGTCTCACACCCTTGTGCACATTGTCGTGCTCCATTAAATAAAACTTTGACTTAAATCTCTTTGGACATTTTGGGCATTGTATCGGCCTAGGGTTAGTATGTGAACATCGAATATGCTTCATTACATCAGATTTGCATACGAATTTCGCATTGCATAGGATACAAGTATACTGTTTAATACCAAGATGAGTCTTTACGTGAACCATACATTTGTCTTTGCGTTCGTAGAATTTACAACATAATTTACAAGAGTATCCATTTTGATTATCCGTGACAATATGCTCGACATTGTCGTCGACACGAATCTCTTCTCCGTCAATCCTAAAAAGTTCTTCTGGGTTTTGAGAGGCTTGCCATTTTTGCTCGAATTCAGCAGAGTCCTTCAATTTGGTCGAACTGCCATTCTTCAAGCTACTGTTAATAATGGTATTTATTATACTATTTACTTCTTCACAACTTTGATTTTGTAAAAGACCAACGATTGCCTTATCCACTAAGCAAGAACCTTGATCCGGAAATACTCGCGCTCGGACAGTAGCTATATCGTCGCTTTCCTTCTTACATAATTCTACAGTAAAACTGATATCTTCGATGTCGCTGGTTTGATTTCTGGTTTCTTTGACAGAAACTTCGATGTTTGGGGAGTTCGACACGATACTGAGAAGCTTATTCAATGCTGATGTTGGAATTTGAATAGTATGTGGATCTTCCTGTTTTTCAACCAGGTTATCACCGTTTTCATTGGAATTATTACACGGACTAACAGTTATTTCTGTGGCAGTATTGTCGTGACTTCTAAGTCTATTTGCGATTGGTATATCAATCGTTGCATCATTTATTACAATTGTTTCTGTACTCTGTCTACTCCTAAGCCATCGCGTAGGGGTTGTTTCAGAATTTTGAACAATTTGTACATTCTCAATATTGTCTTCGGTTGTACTTTGAACACTATTTTGATCGTTTGTACCTTCTTCATTGCCTTTTATTTGTTGTTGACTTCTTAAATTTCTTTGAACTTTTGTAGCTGTTTTTAGAACACGTTGCTCTACTTCTTTAATTTTTTCATCAGTTGAAGAATTAAGATTATTGTTGGTTTCATTGTTACTATCGTTTGTAGATGTACTTGGTGCACTTGGTGTATCTTCAGTCTTTACTTCAGCCTGGAGATAGATTGAAATAAAAAGTAGAAGTGGGTACCAGAAATTCACTAGTTTTGTTGAAGTAAATGAATTTAATCTGGTATTTATGGTATATGAATACAAGTTTTTATTATAAATACAGATGTATAAAAACCTTTATATTTAATAAAAAAAAATTACAATATTTTGATTTTAAAAATTTCTTTTAACCAAAATACCAGATAATGGTTGTCAATATAATTTAAGTTTCAAAGAAAAAAATGAGCTATTGGCTCTGGTATATGCATCATAAATGAGCGGTAGAGCTGTGTATTAAATTTGAATACGAACTTACAATCTCTGTTAAGGGTGGTAGATTGTATCGATCGCGTAACACTTGTTGGGTGCGAAGACACTCCTCTTGGAAGTCGCAAACGAATTCGAGCTTGCCCAGACATTGAACACAGATCGCCTTGGGCAGAGGATCCCTTTCATCTATCTGCGATTCAAACAAAATATCTAAATATGTACTAAATATATGTAATTTTTAAAATCTTAATTGCAAATCTGATTCTGTACAATTTTTAATTTGAATTGAGAAATCATATCTTATCCTGTTGAAGGATAATGATGAATATACAAAAAATTTAATTTAAGCCCTACCGCTCTGCAGATACACCATTTTGAAAAGTAATCTGGTACTCACTCTATATTGCTAACATCATTGCTTATTGCTATAGCGCGCAAATATAATAAGATTTATAATCATTTACAAATATTAAAATAAATATACGTTCATATAAAAATATTCGATGTAAAATTAATGATTACTTTCTTACGTTTGCCTTTATTAAAAAAAATAAAGACACCTGACAAATGAACTTTTCTAAGTCCAAAATTATTTTTTTTTATTAAACAAATTTCAAGAATAAATCATATTCACAAAATAAATAACAAAGTTACAAAATATTTTATCTCAAAAATGCTATAAAACAATATTCAATATTTAACAACAAATAATCATGTGCAAATTCTCGTGTATAATAAAATATGTATGCGATTGCAAACATACATTTCTGCGGGCGTTACAAATAATTATTCAAAATGTTACTTACAAAATTATAAAGCCCAAATAAAGTTTGATACTCGTACTTGGAACAATAATACTGAATTCAAAAAATTTCTCCTCCGAATCTGATATAAAATGTAAAAGAAAACTGTACTAAAACTACGAATAAAAATAAAAATTAATGGTAAGAGAGAAAGAGAGAGAAACGTAATACATCAAACAAAGGAAAGAAAGAGTATCTCTTCTTCTTATGCTCTTCTCCCCTTCGGCCATTTTTCTAACCCCCTCCTCTAACTACAAACTAGGGGCCCGGACCCCATGACACACCTCTCTTTGTACGTTTGTACTTACCAGAATGTTGATTTTAGTATGAATCTTCAGTCCTAAAAATCGCTTGGTGCCTTCCTCGCCGAACACGTCAATATATATACTCTCATACTGGCCACAGAGGCGACAGATCTGCGCCTCCTCTTTCCTTAACTCCATTTTTGTTTATATGCCTGTGAAGGCTGCCTGAATACGCTTTCGACTACTTGATCACAAATCATGCATGAAAACCGGTGCTCGCAGTATTTTCCCGACCCGATCCCCGTATCACAAGCCACTCGTTTCAACGATGTTACAACCTCTGAGCTCGAAGTCCTCGCCGACGAAATAAATAGAAAGAAATGAAACAAAAGACAAAATTCTAACGTTGGCGTTACTACTCCTTGATCTGGCACGGGGATGCAGCCGCGTTTGGGCCAGACCAGCATACGTTCACTTCCCTTCCCCGCAACAGCACCGTCGAACGAATTCTGACCAATCAGCGATCCTCTTTCCGCGTTATACGCTCATCGCATTTATGATTGGTCGCTGCTATCGCGGTTCAACTTAAACCGCTGTATACGAGCTAATGGTAGATTGACAAAGTGATTGAAAATTTTGACTTTTTTTTTCCTCCTTAGGTTTTCTTTGCACATTTTTCTATCTTTTCATCTTTTGACAGTAAGTAATTAAATGTAGCATTGCATATTTGAATATCTGTAATTAATGTTTCTAAAATATATATGCGTGATAATATTTATGTAAATACATTTAATTTATAATGTTTCGCGATTCATGTTTAGTTATCTATTTTTCGAATAAACACGTTCTATAATGCAGTAATTACGCTTATATTTTTATTTACAAGCTTCTTTTCTTTTTTGTTTAATATATTGTTCATAAAATATGAGATAAAATTATATTCATTATAAAATTATATTCAATATAGTGCCATGTGAAGAACTGTACATATTGCGTTGTTGCGATATTAGGTGCGATTATTAAATTCAGATCAAAGGAATAAAATAACATATATTATATATGTAACTGAGTATGAGCAAGGAAATTCCATGTTTAAATTTTGGTGTTGTGCTTTCGTAATATTTTCGGATTAATTTATGAAGTAGAGAGGTTAAGTAATGACAGAAAGGTACATACATATCTAACATGTGATTTTCTTGTATGTGTACGCAAAAAGTTTTGTGATAATCGTATGAAATTGAATATATTCACAGGTGTTGATTTATTTTGCATTCAGTGTACAATATTGTAATTATTAGTCGTAAATGACAAATTTATTAAAATTATTAATTTAAAAAAAAATTTAATTTATAAATAAAAAATTACTGTTTTATGAATTATTATTGCAGATTGATGAAGCAATGAAAACTCTTTCTCATATCTTTCAAAGAGCGAAACATTTATGTGTTTGTTTTATAAAGTATGAACATTAATTTATTAAAATAATATACGAAGAAAAAAGTTAAAAAATGAATCCAAATGACTCTATAATTATATGCGAAGCAACTCCAAAGTCAAAGAAGAGAAAGGCATCTTCTAAAATAAAAAATGTGCAAAAAAGTACGAAACAAACATTTTATGAAAGTCCACTGAAATATATTCAATTCAGGTAATAAATTAAAATGCAAATGTGATTTATGTAATATGAATATAACATCTAACTTTTATCTGTTTGATAATTATAGTAACAAGAGAAGAAGACAAACGCAAAAAAGATTAGTTAGTAATACTAATCAAGTCTCTAACAATAAAAAAGATCTTTTTCTCTTTGGAAAGGAGTCCTTACAAGACAGCATTATTATTTTAAGCGATAATGAAAGTGAATCAAATAACAAAGGAAATGAAATTAAGTCCAACCAGGAAACAAAATCGAGAAAGAGATTTTTAGATCTGTCAATAGATGATGAACAAATTTCTGTTTGTGATTCAAATGAAACTGTAAATCAAAAGAAAAATGTGACAGAAAAATCTCTAAGAAAGAAAAAGAAAATAGGCATTACTGCATTATCAGAAAATAATTTTACTTGTCCTGCAATATCTGATACAATAGATTTGGAAGTTACAACTCTTGATTTAGATGATGAAAACATAGGTAAAAGACACGTTTATTATAAAATGATTATCACAAATATATTATTGCAATTTAATTTTTCATAGCTCCAGTATCATCAAATTCTGTGAATCAAGTATCAGATGATATTGTTGTGGTGTGGTCATCTACAAAGACTGTCCCATCATCTGCAAACACTGTTCTGGCATCTACAAAAATTGTTCCAATATCTACGAAAGCTGGTTCACTACCTACAAAAACTGTCCCAGTATCTATAAGAACTATTCCAACACAAACTATTCCAGTATCCACAAAAACTGCTTCAGCATCTACAGAAACTATTTCAGCATCTACAAAGACAATTTCAATATCTACAGAAACTGTTTCAACATCTACAAAAATTCTATCGCCTGCAGAAACTCTTGCATCTGTAAATCAATCAAAAGTGGAAACTATAGATCAGGAGAAGAATGATAGAATTTTTATGATAGATAATTCACCAAACCTAAAAAATCTTAATTGCTTGCAATATAATGAAAATACATTGTGCATTGAAGATATTGGAAAGAATGATGAAAAAGACAAAGGTTTAAAAGAAAAAAACACTGTTTTACCTTTCAGCAAACGTGGAATGAAACTTCCTAAAGCTCAGAATATAAGCAAAAATATTCTAATGAGAAAACCAAAGGCAACTCAAAGACTAAGGAATTTTAGACAAGTGTCAAACTATACTACATCTACTATGTGTACTACATATAACACAATTAGTACATCTAATACATCTAGTACATCTAGTACATCTAGTACATCTAGTACATCTAGCACATCTAGCACAACTACTGTGTCTAGCATACCTTTACCTAGTGCACCTTTTCCTACACCTTCAATACCTTCAATATATAATATGCAAACTGCATATGAATATTTTAACTTATATGGTTCATCTAATTCTGGATTTCAAACTAATTTTAAATCTGGCTTTGAATTAACTTATCCTCAGTTATCTACAGTTGGATCATCTGCATATCAGCTACCTAATAAGCTCCGAGAAATAGTTATTGATGGCAACAATATAGCTATGTCGTATGATAATTTTGATTTTTAAGAGACCATATATATTTTATTTGCGTATTATAATTATATGAATAGTAAAAATTTCGTTTTCTAGGTATCGAACTAATAAAATATTTGCGGAGGAAGGAATCAAGATAGTTGTAGAGTATTTCCAAAAGAGGGGTCATACTGTAAAAGTATTCGTACCTCATTATAGAAGATCACCTGCAAATCATCCATTACTTGAAAAGTTACATACAGATGGAATAGTAATTTTTACACCAAGTCGTTTCATCGGTGGTAAACGAATAACTCCTTATGATGATCGGTAAATTGTTTTCCTTCTTAATCATTGCGAGAATGTTTTTATAAAGTAGTATTATATATTTATGTTATTCTGCAACATTTTATAAAATGGTATTCTTTATCATTTTCAGATATATATTGGAATATGCAACAATGTGTGGGGGTGTTGTAGTTTCTTTAGATCAATACAGAGATTTATATCTGGAAAAACCAGAATGGCGCGATACAATCGAAAAGAGATTATTAACTCCAACATTTGTAGGAAATTATGTTATGTTCCCTGAAGATCCTCTAGGGAGAGGTGGTCCTACGCTTGAAGAATTTCTAAGATACTGAATATAAAAAGTAGGAAGGAGACAATGTAAATAATTAATTTTATTTATGCAGATAAATTTTTGAAATTTCTTTTATTTTATTTTTTTTATTATATAGCACAAATATTTTTGGTAAGGAGCATACACTCATTATAAGAATATAAATATGTACAGCCATATATATTTATTATTTACACGAGTATACAAAACATTTTCGATAAAAAATATTATCATAAAAATTTATATAACATTTAATTTTAACGATTACTTAATAATAAATTACAGTACAAAATATTATATAGTAATATGAAAAATAATTGATTAATTTAATCAACAAAAGAAAGCAGCATTTTTTTATCATAAGAATGTTTATATTTGTTGATTATTTTCCAATAATTCATCTGTTATATGTAAAGTGCCTAAATAAAAGTTCATATAATGAGATAAAATTATCGTACGCTTAAGAACAATAAAATGGAAAAGAAGATTTTTGTTTCTAAACGATTAAAATAATATTTCTGTATTTAATATACAAAATAGTATACAAAATAATTTAAATAACAAATAATTATGTAAACAATATTTTATACACAACTAAAAAAGTAGAAATATGTGAATATGAAAAAAATTGTTTGAATTCTTAAAAAAATATGTATTTCATAATTGTTCATTGTGTTCTACTTACTTATATTTAGTATTAAACAAAGCGTTATTTTTTTAAACATAAAGAGATTCATTTGTTTACAATCTTTAATTGGAAAATTCAAAATTTAATGAATAAAATCACTTATAAATTTACTGACTAAGACTAAATGTTAATTGCAATATATATATATAAATTAGTTCTTTGGTGATATAGACTCCCACATGGGTTTCCAACACCATTTACGAGATTTACGAATACTGTCCATATTTTCTTGCGCTGTTTCACGTGCTAATCGTTGCATTGGGTTTTTATCATCAGAACTATATCCTGAATTTGATAATACTGCTTCGTGTTGAAAAGCAGAAGTTACATCTGGAAAAGAATGTTTTATACATTTTGTCACTATTTTATATAAGAAATCATATATAGAAGAAAACTTTAAAAAAGAAAAAAGAAAACAATTACTTGCTTTGGCGAATAACTTCTCTAAGACGTACTGATCATCTTCAATTAAATTAAGTTCTGTTGAGGAACGTTCAAGACGTCGTCCAATTAAATGTGAGACACGTTCGCCTTCAAAAATAGCCGAAGTAATATGCTCTTCTGATCGTGAACTTTTTTTTTTTCTTTTTCTGGAATGTGTTTTATTTATTTTTGACGATGTATCTTTATTCGTATTGTACGAAACTGTTTCGTTACTTTTATTTAAACCTTCAGATATATTAGGCTCACTAGGTAGATGTTGTATGATAGCTTCATTTGAAGTTTCATCTATCTTAGTATTAGAATTTAATTTATTTGTTAATATATGATCTTTACTTTCAGAAGAAGGTGTATCATTTCTTTTATGAAAATTACCGTCGTTTTTAACATTTTGTTTTGTTATATTATTTATATATATTTGATTATTGTCTTTTAAAACATCTTGGTCGATATTGTTATTATGGCAATTTGAAAGACAATGACTCTCTGAAGCATTCACTATTTGTACTATAGGTGTAGAGTTTGAGGTATTCTGACTTATATTTTTACTAAGCGTAGCTGCTAGTTTCCGCATTTTTTCAATTTTATTAGTTGAAAATTTGACAGGCGAAGCGACTAATTTAGACTTCCGGAATAATTGATCAGTCTCATTAGAATTATCAATGGATTCATTAAAATTAAAAAGTTCAACTAAATCGGAAGTTCTAAATAATCTACGTTGACTTGGATCTTCTAAAACTTTATTTGCAAGAAGTATTTTAAAAATTTGTCTGTGATACATCTAAAACGAAACAAGATATGATATCATTGTAAATATTACAAAATATTCAGAGAAAAAGAAAAACTTAAAATTTCACCTTTTCTTCAATAGTACCAGCAGTGATAAGTCTATAAATAGTGACTTTTTTATTTTGTCCAATTCTCCATGCACGAGCTCTTGCTTGAGCATCAATTGCTGGATTCCAATCTGGATCATAAATAACCACTCGATTTGCTCCAGTCAAATTAACACCCAAACCTCCAACACGCGTAGTTAATAAAAAAACAAAATATGATGGATCCTGTATAAAATATAAGAAAATTTAAAATATTAATAAAATTTCTCTATATATACATATATATATAAATACCTTTCTCTATATATACATATATATAAATACCTTGTTGAACAAGCGAATTGTTTCTTGTCGCTGTGACATAGAAGTAATTCCATCCATTCTTAAATAAGAGTATTCTTCGCTTTGTACTAAAGATTCTAAAACATGCATCATCTGCAAATCAAACTTTGTTATGTATTTTTACATATTTATATATTTTTATAAACAATTATATAACTTATTTACTTGTCTTCCTTGAGTAAAGAGTAGTACCCTATGTCCTTGTTTTTTCCAAATTTTGAGAAGAGATCGAACCACGATCATTTTGCCGGAGCGTTTCCAATATCCAAATTTTTCCAGTGCTTCATTTGATACATCAATATCCTCGTCTGAATCCTAAATTCACAAATCTAATTAAATACAATGAATGAACAACGGTGCTGTAGAATATAAAATTATGAACTTACAACTGGACTCGTATAAAGAAACAAATCAGGATGATTACATATTTTCCTGAGAGCTGACAATGCTACAAGAAGGCGAGCTTTATATCTTCTACTTTCTGAATGATTTTTTTCATGCAAAATGAAACTAACATCTGCAGAACGTAAATATTCTTTGTATAATTTTTTTTGTTCTTCCGTTAAACTGCAAAATAATATCTAAGAAAAATATGAATTAAAATACGAAATAACGAATTATTATGAAATACTGCAATATGATACGGACCTGTTCATTCTTTTCTGGTAGATTAAGATGATGTTGTACATCATTTTTTGTTCTTCGGAGCATATACGGCGTAATAGCATCTCTAAGCATTGTAGCAACTTGAAGCGCAATGGCTTCTTGTAGGGGAGAAGCATTTGTATATCCTCCGCGAGTTATAGGAGTTGCGCAATGCTCTAAAAATGCAGGCAAAGTGCCTAACTTCCCAGGTAGAATAAAGTCAAATAGGGACCATAGTTCTTTTAAGGAGTTTTGCATGGGACTACCAGTTAACAGAAGTCGGTGTGGTGTAGAGAATTGTTTTACTGCTTTGCTAATCTACAACGATAACATTATAATCATTCTCATATATAATTATGAAAATATCATAGAGTAAAAGTAACGAACTACCTTTGCCTGTGGATTTCTTATTTTATGACCTTCATCGAGTATGACATAATGCCATTGATTGGCTAGAAGTAAGTCTTTGTGTATGAGCATACCAGAATAAGAAGTAATTAGTACACCATCAGATTTTAAAGAGTGCATCAAATACTCTAAATTACCTGTGGATATTTATTAAAAATGTGAAAGTAATAAAATTAATAATGGATAATTTTATTTTTACCGTTATAAGTTCCACATTGATGTAGAATAACTACTCTTAAAATAGGCCACCATTCGTGAAAATGCTTCACCCATTGTTCCATTAGAGTAGCTGGACAAACAACTATAGTTGGTCCTAAACCTCTAAATCTGTGAATAAGTAATAATTAATTCAACAAATAGTTGTAAATAATTAATAACCAATGGAAAAATATTTACCTTCCACCATCAGATAGTAATTCACTACAATCTAAACCTGCAAGAAATGCAATTACTTGAACAGTTTTTCCCAATCCCATTTCATCACCTAGTAATCCACCTAAACCACGAAGATGCAATTCCCACAACCATTGTACAGACACTCTTTGATATCTAAAAAAAATCAATCATATTTATTTATATACACACAGTACATATATAAAAATTACTCATGATTATTCGTACTTATATAATTTTTTCCATATGCATTGTGGAACTTTAAATAAATTATCTACTTTGTGCAATGATTCATCCTTTGGATAACCACTTTTCTGCACCCTTTCTCTATAGATTGCTTCATTTCCATCATCCAAAACTAAAAATCATATAATTCTCTATTAATGAGTATGACAAATTATAATAATTTTAAAATAAATCATGGTTACCTCTTTTTGTACGAATGAATCTGTTAAGAGATTTCCTTTTCTTAGATGATCTCCTTTCATTTTCTATAAAATTAAAAAAAATATATACTTTATGAAGAAATAAAGAAATATTGAATTGTAACAGTTAATGACAATATTTACCTGATTCAATTTGTTCATCACTTGGTACATATTCACTTTCAGAATCACTGGTTACATCTACAGTTTTAATGTTTGTTGCATTTTTAGTCAATGTTTCTTTAATATTATCTTTGGAAGCATTACAGAGAATTAATTCATTGCTGGAATGTTCGATCTCTTTGATAGAATTTTCAACTTGATCAGATTTTCTATTTTCTGTTTCATAATTGATATCGTTCTTCTTATTTAAATTTTTTGATTGACCAAATTCAGGAACCAATTTTCTTTTGTTAGCTTTGATTTTTGTTTTCTCTTCTGTTATTTTAAGTTCTTTAGAGCTAGTATTTGAAAGTTTTAATTTTTTAATTGACGTTACATGATGATTTTTATGCTCAGGTACCTTTGAATCTTTTTTCAACTGTTTTTTTTGTTTAGCAAGTTCAGCCTGTTGTCGAAGGTACTTTTCAAGATCAAGTAAATGTGAAGTTTTATTAAATGTTCTAAAAAAGAAATATTAAATTTAGTTACTATTATTTTCACTTATGATTATTCTATTAATGCTATTTACCCCTTAGTTTTTAACAAATCAGACTGTTTTTCAATTGCCTGAAATGGTGTAATTTCTCCAGTTTGAACTTGTTTTTTCAATTCTGTTTGTTCTGAACAATCTATAGTATCAGTTTTATTATAATTGTTTATTTTTTTGGCATTATTTTTTGTTTCTACATTCAATTTCACAAGATTCTCAATTTGTTTCGACGCTTCATAAAGAATGCTCTCCTCACTTCTTATGGATAAAACCTAATAACATTTCTTCATTACTAACAGTGTAATAAAAATCAATTAAATGTCACATTACTTATTGTATATACTGCATTCATGGTGCACATTCAACTTTTCAAACATTATAATTGTAAGTAACATATGACATAAATCACAAAAGAAAGAAAGTAGGAAAGAAACGAGAGACAAGATATTTAAAAAAATATTTGTACATTATCATTGATTGAAGATAGAATTAATATTGTTTCTCGAAAAAGATAAGTCGAACGAAATAAATTTGTTTAATTCAACCTTCTTTGTTAAACTGCCATCATTCTCGTTCGCGTGTATGCCGCTTAATCTTTCATTATCAAATATTTGTCCTTGATTATTACTCTCCATCATTGCGATGATCGAATGATATTTTGATATGTTGCAATGCGGTCTAAAAGATAAACAATAGCCAAGAAGTAGGAAGAAATTGAGAAAATGCCCAACTTTAAGAACTACATTTTAATTAATCTTAAATTATATTCCAAGATTTCGCTGACAAAATAACTAATAATAACAAATAAATTTTGCCATTTTACTTTGAATAACGTCGCATTTACTGCAAACAGATATACCTGTCATTGTTTACCACAGACCGGCATAATGTCGTTTCGTATAAATATCGTTAGATGGCACCATTAAAGTTATTTTTTTTTTGTAGCGGCGCGTGTTTTCCTTTCTACCGAGTGGACCAGCGGAAATGTCGATAAAAAGAAAAGAAGGAGGAAAGCAAAGAAAACGGCGGCAAAAATATGAGAAACTCAAATTTTCAATTTGAATTTTTAACACTGTGATAAGGATTCTGGCGTTATAATGTAATAAAGCGTTATGTTTTCATTTTATTTTATTTCTTAAAATTTCACCATAGGCGGCTAACATACGAGCCAGCTACAAAATGTTAAAGTATTATTATTAAAAATTTTATCTAAATAGAATAAGAATCAAATTGCGAGGAATTTATGGGAAATTATTATTTTCTTGAGAGAGAAAGATTCAGAAAATTAAAAGAAAAAAATATAAATTTAAAAGTAAAGTAAAATTTGAATAAGTTCAATTAGGTCCAAACCCATCTTGGAGTAACGCTTTCAAATTCGAAAGTGTCCGGGTGTCCGACGTGCGAAATATTGGGGAAACTTTTCGACCATTTGAATGGTGTTCGCAATTGCGATGTGGGTGGTCCAGAAATGGCTTCGAAACTTTCGAGACCGTATACGCTGGTCGCTAATATTTTTGTATCTATGACACCATATGGTATTGGCACATCTTCCAGATCTCCACGATACGTCAATTCCTGCAATTGATCTGTTTTTGAATTCTGTTTTTCGGTAGTGCAACCATCCTGGCTGCATCCACGCATCACATTTTGAAGCTGTTCAAACGTAGTGATATTCTCTTGTAGATGCGTCAAACGAGTTTTCAAGAAATTCATATCCTTCTTGGCAGGTCGTATAATGTTTTTGATGTTTTGAGAATTCGATATACCAACATACGATATGAAACCGGTTTTTTTGAACTCCTCAGTGTAATTCATAGCAACAGTGATGCTTGGTAGCTGTTCTATTAATAATACAGTCATGGAACGTGGTTCAAAGCTGATCCATTGTAATGCAGAAGCACCACCGTTTTGATGCGACATAGTATTAAACCAAGATTGACTGTTTGTTGCTAATCGATTTGCTGCCATTAATCTTGCGGTTAGCATCACCTAGTATTTATTATTATTGCTTAATTATTCTTTGTATATAAGACAAAATATATGTAAATAAATTTAATAATCAATTCATACATAATCTGGATATAAAACGCTCCATTCATTCCGATTCGTTGTTAGTAGAGGTGTTCCAGTAATAACCATTTCATGATTTTCTCCATTTATTAAATAGAACTCATCTCGGGACGATAATGCCCCGGGATAGGATGACATCACGATTGATCGACTTGGAATCAATGCATCAGTTTTTGTCATAGGTAATACATGATAGCCAAATGTATATTTTTTTAGAAGTCTTAACATGTGAGTGTATCTACAAAAAAAAAAGAAGATTTCTAATTGATTTGTATAAATTACTATTGTTTAATAAATTTCATACATTATTTATATAATATATAAGTTATTAAATAATTTGTTCAAATGATTATACCCACGTTAATTATCCTTGCTGCATAAAAATGCAAAACTTATATCAATTTATGTTTGAAAGTCTTAAACAGATTGATTAATGTAAAAACTAGATAATGATTCACTTACGGTGCTAACGTATGTTGTGTAATCGCAATTAGAGGTTCCGAATTATCCCTTGGAAATGATTTAAAGTGGATCATAGAACTTACTAGGGAGTTGGAAATATTGAATACTTGTTGAAAACCAGATAAGTCGGAAGCCAAGGCAAGCCAAAGGAAATCTTCCGATTCCAATGACACCGACACACGGCTCCGACGTACAGCAAATTTCCAACCAGCTTCCAATCCATCTAGTTGAGTGTAAAATAATCGTACCTAAACAAACAAACAAAAATCAATTTTATTAATGTATTTTTTTACATTTACTGTAAAAGATACATCAATGTATATGTAATACTGTGCTAATTATAATTCACCCGAAATTAATTAACAATTAATTAACAATTAATTAATAAAACGAGTGTCATTTAGATATGCTGTTCCTTTTTACAATTACTAAAATGACTTGTTATTAAAACAATGAGAAAGTTGTGTACCATATGCCAAAAAGGATCACTAGACTCTTTTGATTCAGCACGTTCACGAATGACGGCAGTGTTGTCTCGAAGATATCGCATTAATTTTCGGCATTCGACAGGTTTCGCTTCGCATTCTGGCTTTATAGTGTTAAACCAATGGTGGTGAATTAATTGCCAAGTGAGGCTACCTTCCAACAATCCGGCAGCGTAAGCTTGTACAGTATCTGGATAATTTGATGAAGTTTCTATTTCAATATAGGACCATCTGCAAAATTATTTTAAAATTATTATACCCATAGAGGGTAGAAATATTATATCATATTTGATAACATTGTTCTAATGTAATACAACATTTTATTATAAACATTACATTACATTTGTCTAGTGAGAGGGATTTTTTAATTATCTCTTTACTATTAATTTTATTTGTTGAATAAATGTGATTGACCTACCCATGCTCGAAAATTTCAGTTTTATAATAGGCTCGAGCTACATGCAATGGAACGGCGTTTAGATCATTGCCTTGGCCCCAAAAGTCAATGCGATATCCTCTTTTATGGTTCCATAATACGGTGGCTGAATAGATTCCATCTTGTTCGACACTATTAGCACACAATAATACATAGTTAAGAAAGATTAACTGATGCACATATATATGTAATAAATCTATATGTCTATCAATTGACGGTGAGATAGATTATAGTTGTAACTTCTATAACTAAGAATTATTGTCGGTAATTGATTATGAAAAAATTTTGATCATTTTTCAGAGAAGATCCATCTCACCGATTTCAATGATTTTTGGATATGTGTAGAAATCAACCATTATTTGAATAATGTTGGATACAATTTGGATATGTGCACAAATCAACCATTATTTGAATAATGTTGGATACAATTTTTATTCAGAAAAAAATATCTACTTTCATTGCAAATCTTGAGAATTTTTGACTTTTTAAAAAATCTCGATCAGAATACAAATATTTTCCTTCATGCTTTATCTATATTTTCTGAACTTTTCAAAAATCTTAATTAAAGCTGACATATTAATTAATTTGTTAGCAACGAGGCGATTTCGAGATTGTTCGAGGGCAGATAGCCCGATTGTTACTTAATTATGGTTTGTGACCGAACTGAGTCCGCAATAAACTTGGGAAATACCAGCAAATGTTTAGGAAAATATAATAAAGATCTTTTTAAGCAAGTGGCAAGGGTAACAATCCTTCTGACAAGAGGAACCTAAATCTTCTGCGTTTAGTCGCTCAGCACTTACCCCTAGAACAATCGAGCTAAAGAGATCGAAAGTTTCACAGAATCTGCTCCCTAACGATTTCTAACAAATTAAATAACAAAAATATTACAAAATAATGAAAAGAAAAATTTAAAAATTTAGAAAGCTATAAGAATAAGTAGCCTCGTATATGATGTAAGTTTCATATATTTTACATAAGTTTTATTTTAAGCATTCATGCGGACCACACGCAAAATGATAACGACCGATGTAAATAGCAATGATAATTGCATTTCAAAGTAAAATAACTTTCATTATCTGCCTGACGAAATTGTAGTTTGCCGTTCGTGCACGCGGCGAACGAGATAAGCCGCGTATCAAGTACCCGAAAGCATTGACACTTCGGAAGCACACGCACCAGCCGTGCTGTGATAGCGACAAGCGTGAATTTGAGATGTCAGACGTCGCGTTACTCGATCCTATGTCGCGATCGGTCTCGCAGTCCGTCACCATCGAAATGCTGATGCTTCTGTTCTATATATTATTATATTACTGTACTTGGATACCGTACATACACGTGTCAATCATAATCAGAGTTATCAGAAAAACGTTGATCCCCCATATGGGAACTCTTCTTTTTTTGATGAAAGACCCACTGTGTGCGTTATTTATTGAAATTATATTTGCAACGTAACTTCCGACATTTGATTTATAATAATCGAAATGAAATGATCTGCTGTATTAATGTATTATTAGCACATGAATTATATCATAACATTTGTATTTGCTAATATTTTTATAGTCATACATGATTTCTCAAAATTACTGTTGCATTTTATATTTTTTTCCATAGCAAGTCTTATAACTTTCATTTCCTTATTATTTCTTATGAATATAGTATGGTGAATATATAATAAATTAATGAACTTACTGTCCGAATTCACCGAGAATTATGGCCCCGACGCCTAGCAAAGCTACGGCGATCAGAATGTATGTAGAGATGCGTGTCTGCAGCCAGGAGGCTCCTACTACCTTCAGCATGGCTCATCGGTAAGCTATACACCTTGGTTACAAAAAGAAAGCTGAAAAGCACGAATTTCACGTTCTCAACCCATCGATTACAAAAGCCTGCTTTTCGGCTTTCCCCGACGTTTCAATAGCTGCCAATTCGGCGCGCTTGTTCCGTGGTTACTGAAACAATTCAATAGTTTCAATCAAAATTATCATTAAGAAAGAGACACTCGACAATTTGATTATTAATTTTTATAGAAAGTGGGAATTATTATATTATTAAAAATATATTAGACATTGTTCTAAGCAACGCCATTGCAAACTCTTTAAATCTGTATTTAGAATTTAATAATTAGGATTAGAAGAAGATTTTCCTGCATTGTAACATTAAAAAAGCAGTCCACAATCTCATTGCAGTGTTGCTTGAAGCTTGCAGTTTAGTTACTTTATGATCTTGTCTATCTGAATATTGTAGAAAGGTGGAAAACTCTCGTAGGGTTATTTATGACTAGACCATTTGAGATACAATAGCCTGTAGAAAAATACTGTCTTGTCTTGGATAAATAACTTATATCTATATACCTTCAGAACAAAAAAGAACGAATGATCTAACAAAAAAAGAACGAAGAAAATTGCGAAATGTACATGAAGGTTAAAGCCTAAGTTTGTCTGCGGCTTTTACGTCGATATTTACAATTAGACACATTTAGTTTCGTTAATTATCGTTCATGTATTCATTTATCGATACATTACGCAACTGTAAAATACTTATCTGTAAATGTTAATGGGCTTTAGTAATTTATTGCTAAGCATGGCGTTAGATTTTTAAAAATTACATCACGTTATAAATGTTTATAAATATGCATTAAGCATTATATATAGGTACATGATATAAAACACATCTATGTGAAAATGTTAATATCCATGACATAACATTAAATTTTATTTTAATGTTAAAAATTTCTTTTTATAATTAAATTAGAAAAGAAGCAAATCAACTGGATTTACTATTTGTATGCAAGTTGGAAAGTTTATTCTCTTTTCTCTGAATATAAATTACTTTTTATTATTTTAACTGGAGCACAATTGTTTTCTAACAGAACAATTCCTTTTTTTACAATTCATTTATATCTCTTTGCATGCTGCTGTTAATAATACTAATAACACAACGATAGCAAACTCATCTTTTATTCAAAAAATTGCTTCTATTTTTTTATAGTCTCAGAAATATTTCAGAATGTACAACGATATTTATGTATATATGATATGATAGCATACATAAATTACAAAGAATTGTTTAAATAATTCTTCTGCAAATAAAAAAAATGATAAAAGTTAATGAAGATCATACTTTGTTTAATTTATGTGTGTCATTAAACTTAAATTTTTATAAAAACCGTTTGGATTTAAGTTTTCATCAAATAAAACAATCACAAAAATATTAATTTTTTTGCCAATTTAAATTAAAAATTTGGTAATCTGTTTGAAGATAAAAAATACAATTTTACATTACACGTTGTACTTTATAATATTTAATATTATGTTTCTTATCTATCTCTCTCGTTTTTAAACCTTATATCATAATCGAATTGCAAACAAATGGGTGCGCCGGTTGGAAAAATCTACTACTCTAGATATGTATCATTTTGCGCAACTGCTTAATCTACAATGATCTACATATTTTTTTTTTGAAAGTATAAATTTCAAGATAGATATCAAGCTCAACGATTGAAATTAGAAATTATAAATATACTCGCTCTATAATCATTATAATTCGTACATAGAAACGTATGAATCGCGCTACGTAATTATGTGAAGTTATGATGCAGAAAAATTCTGTACTTAATCGTGAGAGAATTAAATTGGTATTAGAGAAATAGAGAAATAACTATTTTTCAAGTACTTATCAAATTTTCTGATTAATTATAAAGAATAATAATTAAATATAAAAAATATAAATTACAAGAACTAAATTAAGAAATACAATATATGAATACTGTCAATTCGAACCAAATCAATGTACAGAGTCATAATTTCTTCGATCTCCTTATCATTTGTCAATTATCAATCATGAGTCATCACTGCATATTTCATGAGACTAACTTGCAATTATTGATCGACCTGAATAAATATACACTGCATCAAAAATATTATAATATTAATTTTTATAATTAATTCCTTTAAAATCACTTTACAGTCAATAAAAATTTATATCTTTAAGTTATTATATTTCACACAGATGCACTAGTCTATTTTTATTTAAAGAATTTTATAATAAACTCAGAAATACAAGTTGTAACAGATTTCTTGATAACAGTTATGCATTCTTTGAACTTCAAACAGAAAGCAATATAGTATACAAAATAATAAAAAAAAATTATATTACTAAAATACATTATCAAATAATTATAAGAAATATTTGAATATAAATTAGTAAATTTTTATATTTAAACTTATATGTAGCTTTTAAAAAATATCTTGTATCATAATAATAAATAATTCGCATTTTCACTTAAAAAAAAAAAAATGATAAATTTATCTCCGATAAAGAAGGCGAGATTTATAAAAAATGAATTAGGTTCTTAGCAAAATGAAATAAGATTCATAGTGCCGCACGGCACGCAGACGCGAGCGCGGCAAACGAGTCGTAACCACGTGAACAGGAATTCACGGCAACGCGCTCCAAAAAATTAAAAGTAGAAGATTCCGGAAATGAATAAATATAGAAGGCAGTATTCTTCGTAGAAAGATTTTACACGATGAGATATAATAATATTGAAAAACGCGAACACTTCTATGAATTGCAAACAATCCATCGATCGGCCGTCTTGGAATATTTGTATCCGGTGTACGCGCGTGAGCTACACACGCTTCTATGCATGCCTCTTTCTTTCCTCCCATGAATTCTTCGTTCGATTACTCACCGAGAATAATGGAGTAGAATCTGAATTGAAGCGCGTCGAACACGGGTAAAAAATCGGTCATTCGTACGGAGATTACATTCCTTTGGAGTACTTTTGTTGCCACGGCTGTGTGACGTGGACTAGCTGTTCCAATACCCAAAGTCCAAGCGCGAACACTCGCTGCTTCTCGACTGTCACGGCAACCCGTCAACTAGAATGCCGAGTAGTTGCATGTTCCCTTTCCACCTTTCACAAGCCAACCGACGCGACGCGACGCGACGCAGTGTCGAGCGTCGACGGCCTTTTCTATATTGTTGCCACTGCTGGATCACGTTCCCGTGGCACCCTACACATGCGTTGATATGCTCCGTTATAAATTCTCTTTATTATTAAGCTTCTGTATCTTGGCGCCATTCCTAAACAAAATGATTGGTATAAAATGTTTGATAATGATATATGTAAGATATATATAACAATGAACATGTAAGATCTTGATTTTAGATGTCTGTATTAACAAATTATTTAATATATTCATATTTTCATTTAATCTTTCTATCTAAAATTCTATCTGGATGTCAAACAAAGCATTACATGATTAATTGTATTACTTTTTAAATATATACTTTGTAATTACTGAATAATCGACTTCATCAAATTAATTGCGTTTTGGCAATTTGTAAGGTAAGATGGTAATATAAGGTATAATAATGCTAATGTATATATTTAACATAAATAGAATTACGAAAGATTTTTAAGAATGTATTATATATCAATGATAAAAGTTAATGTAAAGTAATGTAATTAAAATATATAGTTATGCATCTTGGAAATTTACCAATGTTTTATCAAAGCTGCAGTTATTTACACATTGTGTTTGTAAAACATGTTTTTGATTTCTCAAATATTCTATAATTGAAATTCTTAAAAAAGTAAATAAAGTTATTTTTTTATTTAAAAACTGAAAAAGCAAATCAAAAGCTAACATAATTATAGATAAATATAAATTTTTTATTACAAAAGTTTCTTTACTGTACTAAATAAAGAAGCACACATAGCAGTTGACTAATACATACCTCTTTAGCAAGACAGTCGTAGATGTTGAAACTTAATGAGTTTTAATTGGATTTAATTGAAAATTTTAGTCGTCCCGCAACTGTGACTGACCGAATAAAGGCATAGATGTACTCTCTTTAATCGGATTACGTAAAAAATGATGCTAATCCTTTGCAATTTATTTATTATTGCAAAGACGGAATCCAGAACAGACTATTCCAACACTATTATTAAATCATACTGTTATAATGATTAACAGTCGTGTATATGAAACATTTGTGAACACTCTTACGTGTAATGAGTTATGTGACTATTGACTACGTGTATTAAGTTCGACTTATTCCAATGACGTAAGAGTTTTATATCACAACTGTTCTGCATTTATTATTTTCAAGACGTAAATTGTCGTCTTTCTCTCTTTTTTTTTATGTAAATTATTTTATGTTTGTCATTTCAAGAAGAAATCTAATGAATTATCTTCATAAGATAATCTAATGAATTATCTGTCATGTGACAAAGATTACATATTACATGACTCATGTAAGTAGATATGTAAGTACTCAATAATGTTTTACACATACTGAAAAATACTCTAAATGTTTGATCTGTTCATCATCACATGCGCGAGTAGTCATTAACCTTTCAACATTCAGTGATCATGTTCGACCTTCCACTTGAGAAACTACATTCTCTTCACGTTCAAATTTTTATCCTTATTGTAAATTTACTTACAACTGTCGCTTCATCTGTTACTGTATAATTGGACAAATTTTACCATGATTTTATTTTTCAATATCAGCTGATTAAATCATTTCTTTTCTTCTTTCTAATTAACATGTCTGTGTTCAAAAGTTCCATTGCTAACTTGTGAAATACGATAATAAGATAAGACATGTGATTTTCAACGAATCAGAGATTGTCCTAGGTGGAGTAGTGCTTCTAAAAACTATCACTATTAGTTCAGTAAAGCAATTACGTAAGATCAGATCGTAGACGCCTTTAATTAGCTGAAGCGATTAAAATTTCCAATTACATTCAATCCAATCTCATCGATTTGTAGAAATTACTGGCACCTTTCGGATCGTGGTCGTCATTTCTTCGAGAAATCTGAAAATTCTTATTAATTGTCAATTGTTATTAATTCTAAATTAATCCTTATCACAAGAATACTGATATTTTGGTTGTATTTAGTAGAAATGTTAGATGAATTATCTATGACAAACCAATATTTCACAATTCAGTCTATTCTTTCACAAAGTTGCATCATTGATGGTTGACAGAAATTGAAGTAACCCTGAATATATTCTGCATTTCTAAAAATAGATTGTTTGCGTAAATAACGTAAAGTATTTCACAATAAGAATTATTTGCTAATTTTATATAAATAATATTTAATAAACTGTGTAATTTTTTTCTACTAATTTTTTTATTTGCTTTTTATTTCAAGAATTTATTACATATTCTTCAATTAAGTTTTCCACTATATAAATGTTCTAACAAATATATTACTTTTTTTTTTTAATGAATTAGAAACATACTCACATTTACAAGAACGAAAATTCACATAAATAAGATCAATTCATTTTTATTATATATTAACGGTGACGCGATCTCGTAATTGTTTAAAAGCAGATAACTCATCGTTATTCAACTTTCTATAAATTTAAAATGGTTACGGGCAATGCTTTATCTTTGTAGAAATATTGCAGTAAAAATAATATCACAAATATTCTGATTTCCATTAAAAACAATCTACTTAACAGACTAAAAAGAAATTAATATGCGTATAGATTGAAATGGAAAACGATAAGATTTATTAAATATAAAAAAAAGTCACAGATTTTATTATAACTCGCAAACTATTGTAATCCATGTAGATTATTCGGAAGTCAAAGTTTAAGCGAAATCATTTATCTGATTGTCAGTATATTTGTGAGTTTATGAAAGCAACCGAACCATTTTTTATATAATCAATCACTAGTCAAGAAAAAGTTGCAGTTATTGATCCAGATAAATAATCCGATAGTCATCCAATTTTCTTCTTTCAGATAAGATCCTTTAGAAAAAGAAGAAAGTTAAACGCAACAATACCTTAAAAAACAAGACATATTGAATATTGATTTCAATATTAGTATTGTGTTTGAAGCTATTTTATTCGCATCAAATAAAGCCTTACGTGAGAATTATTCTCGCAATAAGAGCTACGGAATTTCTTGATTACGGTCGGAAGCAGAAGCACGCGCCATAAATGGAATGTAATATACGCCCTCTGGTATTCGATTGTCAAGATATTTTCTCGAAGCTTCAACGTTTTTTATCCCTCTCGTTTACGAAATTTATTTGACAATATAAATATTTTAATCCATTAAGAGACACACACCGTTCCAATTGTAATTTGTTCTTAGTCAATATTCGTTATCGAGTCCTCTCTTTTTAATATTGAGGATATGAAAGAGAATTCCAATCTTGTTTAATACTTTTACTCCTTTTGTCTTAATTCTGCGCTTTTGCAAATTCAAAGAAATTGAAGTATCGCATTATAATACTCTGTTAATTGTTTACTCTAGCTCTCTGTTTAATTATAACCTTTTTATTGAGAAAAATTGTCATCAACAGCAAACACAATAGTTCTAACTTACGTTCTAATTAAACTTCATAATTATTTTGATACATCTTTCTATGAGTTTTGTTGAAAAAAATCAGAATCACTTGAACTTGATCGCAATTAGTGTGATTTTCTGTTTATTGGAAACTGATGACCTCGATAATCTACTTTCGAGTAAATGACGACGATGAAGCCAGGAGAAGATGAATGCAGATAATAAAGCTTAGATTACTAAAGTAAAAAAATATATACAATTAAAAATATTAAAAATTATGCAAGGTTAGAAATAAATATAATATTATCGTTTAAGATTAGACATTATGTGCTATTTGTATTTTGGTAATGTATACAAGTGTAAAGTTAATTATTAATTTTACATACCTTTATTTGTATAATTATTTTAAAGCAGTAAATGTTATTTATTAATACAGATATTTTCGTGGCAGTTATTCTAACGATTACACTTTCAAAATACAATTCACTTCTGCGCATGCGCGTCTATTATAAACCTTACACATATAAACTGTACGATATTAAGAGAATTAAATAATTTACATAAATATTTTCTTCTTTTTTTTGTATTTTTATCAATTAAAAATTATTACTTTTTTTTGTTTTTACATGTTTTTAATAAAAGAAATTTGTATTGTATTGTGATGTAATACCTGTCATTGCGCATGAGCACCGCAGAGAATCGGCGGCAAAGCAGTATTATACGAAGTCTTCGTCCTTTCAGACCATTTGGGATCTTTTAGTAGAAATTGACAACAAGAAAGTAGAGGATCACGAAAATGTCTTTGAAACTTATTTAAAATTAACCGAAAAAATCGCATAATCGTACAATCGCTCAATAAGTTCCAAACAAGAAACGAGTAATTTTTTCAAATAAACAGAGCATTGACTTAAAGAAGAAAGAATTCAAGATGTTCTCGAAGATTTATTTACTAGTTTTATTTGTTATTTTAAAAGATATATCGTGTTTATCCTGGCATAATCATCATCAGAGTAGAGAGAATAATTCGGATAGAAAAGATATTCATAAAGTTCCGCTTGGTTCAGAAGCCACTTTTCATTGGAGGTATATTATTGCAATGTTAATTAAATCTGATAGGGTTAAAAACTTGAAAATTGAAAAATAATTTTTAGAGTCGATTTTATGAACGAAATGATAATCGCAGAAGTCCATTATATAGGCGTCGATAACGGTTGGTTTGCCATCGGTTTCTCAGATTATGGTGAACTAAAACCTGCTGATTATTGCGTCCTGTGGATCGATTGGCACCGTCAAATACAATTACAGGTAATCATGATAAGTTTATTTTTGTCAATTTTCTAATATTCTAGTAATTAATTTAATTGTCTAATTTTCTAATAATTAAAAATAAATAATACTTGCACGAAATATTATACAGACACTGTTATATTCAATTAATATTACTAAATTTTAAATTGCTCCTCTATAAAACTCAAAATAAAAGTCTTATCGTGTTTCCTCTCTGTAATCGTTTATTATATACAATTAGATACATTTTACATAAATTACTATATATACTATATACATATATATTTCAGGATGCATGGGCAGATGAAGAAGGAAAATTAAATCTCGACCTCCAACAGAATTGTGAGAATTTCGCGTGGAGAAGAAGAGGAAACATAACGAAGTTCACGTTTTCTAGGAAGTTTGATACTTGCGACGAAAATGACTACATCATGGAGGTAAATTAATTACAAAATTAAGAAACATTAGTCATTTTATTATCATTAATTCTTTAACAGAAGAAATGTTTAAAAATTCTTAGAGAGGTACTACACATTTAGTATGGTTAAAAGGTTTAGGACCATTATCGTCTTTAGCTGGTTTGCAAGTATCAGACGCAAAAGCTTCTGGTATGTCTAGAACAGAGTTAATCAGAGTACTCCACAAGAAACCTACATTTCCATCAAACGCCTGGCAATTGGAATTGTTAGCTGATCATGTGAAAGTGCCAAATAAGGAAACGACTTACTGGTGCCGAGTACAAAAATTACCACTTGTTTTATCTCAAAAGTGAGTCTGTCCATTAAATTTCAATAAAATTCATTTGAATTTCTTATTTGAACTATTATTTGTAGACATCACATTCTACAGTTTGGCCCAGTCATACAAACAGGCAACGAACACTTGGTTCATCATATGGAAGTGTTCCATTGTGCTGGTTCGGTAGATCTTGAAATTCCTATGTACGATGGTCCTTGTGATGGAACTAATAGACCGGAGACAACGCAGGTGAACTTAGTTTCTTAAACAGCACAATAATATTAATTTGATGACATTTTTTCAAATTATTAATAATTGTTAATGGAATTAAAAAAATTTAATGTTACAAGTTATTCTTTAGCTATCCTTCAAAATCTGTTTTGTCAAAAACAATTAAATATATTTTTATCTCGTTTCTTAGATATGTAAAAAGGTTTTAGCAGCTTGGGCAATGGGAGCAGATGCTTTTATTTATCCAGAGGAAGCTGGTCTTTCAATTGGTGGCGAAAATTTTAATCCTTATGTCATGTTGGAAGTTCACTACAATAATCCCGAGCTCCAGGATGGGAACGTCGATTCTTCAGGAATTCGTTTTATCGTTACTAAAAGTCTTCGAAAGTATGATGCAGGTGTAATTGAATTAGGTTTAGAATACACTGATAAAATGGCAATTCCACCACAACAGGTAACGAATCATAGCATATATGTATAACTAAAAAAATATATATATAATTAAAATCGAACTTAATAACAAAACCGTTGTAGGAAGCCTTTATTTTAGCGGGACATTGTATACAAGAATGTACAGGTGTTGGTCTCCCACAACAAGGAATACATGTTTTCGCATCCCAACTTCATACACATTTAACTGGCATAAAAGTTGTTACTCGTCATATTAGAGATGGGGAGGAGTTGCCTTTATTAAATTATGATAATCATTATTCCACTCATTTTCAAGAAATTCGTCTTCTGCCAAAACCTATTATCATTTTGCCTGTAAGAATTAAAATCTAATATTTTGTATAATTCATGTGATGAACTCCATCATATTATACGCATATAATAGATTTTAATGAATAAATAAAAAAATGATAATAAAAAAAATTAATTACAGGGAGATTCCTTAATAACAAGTTGCACATATAATACGATGGATAGAAAGAATGTTACTCTTGGTGGGTTCGCCATTTCCGACGAGATGTGTGTGAATTACATTCACTATTATCCTAATGCTCGATTAGAGGTATAAAAAATTAATATTTTTTTATTAATTAAAATTTAATAAAGAAGCGGTTAATGTTCCTTAGGTTTGCAAAAGTGCTATTAGCGACGATGCTTTGAGGACTTATTTTCGCTATATGAGAGAATGGGAAAATCAATTAACTATTGCTGATAATGGAATTTCTGCGAATTACAAAAATATCGAGTGGACCAAAGTTCGCGTACAAGCTTTACATGATTTATATGAAGCTGCGCCATTAGGTCTCTAATTGTATAATTTATTAATGTATTAAACATCTGAAGTTTTGATTTTGATAATTTAATTGGTAATTATAATCTGTGATATATAATGTTCGATTATATAATGTTTGATCAGGAATGCAATGCAATGGTTCTGATGGATCTCGACTTCCTGGACTATGGGACAACATAGCTGCCACACCAGTCAAACTACCTTTACCTCCACCAGCTCGAAATTGCCCGGATTCGTTATTGAAACAAGAAATAATAAATTCTATGTAAAATTCTTTTCTTGTTATATAGTACTATCTATTTTTGAAAACATTAACGAGATCAAAATTTACGTCTCTGGATAATACACAAATCTGAAAATTAGTGAAACATAAACAAAATATACTACATTTATCATTCATATAGATTTACAATAGTTTCCATAAATGTTTAAAATTATTCGCTTATGAATAAAATACTTTACAAATAATATACTTCGTTACACACATTCAATTAATCTATATTCTTTTAAGATCGTTTCGTTTAATTATATTATCTTGAAAGAATATAGTTTTTTTTTTAAGCGAAAGCAAGAAAAAATATAGCTTAGATTACAATACAAGGTGCTCAAAGTTAATGTACTCTATGTAAAAGAGAAGAAACTGAAAGACTATTAAAAAGAGTAGCTTAGGATAATGATGAACATTATTAATATAAAAGTTTATAAACCCCCAATATATTTATGCATTTTAAGGATTTCTTTTTTGGCAGTACATTGTCTTGCTGCGAGTAAGCTTGCTTAATCGAACGTCTGTTAACAAATACTTGTTCTATGAAAAATTGGTACTTGTAAAATGTGGAATAATAAAAATAATCATAGTTATAATAATAATAATAACTTCATAATAATAATAATAATAATAATAATAATAGTAATAGTAATAATAATGATCAATAAATCAATCAATCACGATAGCTGAAACTTCATCTTTACACGTTTTACGAATGTACAAAAGAGAAACGCGCCTTAACGCTAAATATGATATAAAAATTAAAAATATCCAATTATTTACGATATAATACACATGGGCGGGTTATACATACATACATACATATACACGCACATACAGGCTGAAATCACACACACAATAGTTGCCTTGTTCGCTCAAGCGCGAAAATTACTTCCGGAATAATAACAATATGATTTTTTTCAGTTTCTCTTCTCTTGTAATTTGTTCTTTTTTTTCTTCAATTTATTCAATTCTTATTATTATTCAATTCTTATGCACGACTCCATCTTTTATCGAACACTCATTAAAGATTGAACACTCATTGTCTTTTACAAATTACAAAGTTGTTCTCAAACATCCTAGCATGTAAGGAATTCTATCGAGTATTAAATTTGTACTGCCAAATGCACTATGTATTTCAATCCTCTGAAGCAAACGTTTCCAGAAAAAGGTATCTTCTTTTTTTTTTTTTTTGTTTAGTAAAAAGCAATACTTCTAAAAACCTAGTGAACACGAAGATGTTCGTAAGTAAGTTTATTATGTAATAATAGAAAAATACCATTGCTTAGTACTATGATATAGTTATTTGATAAAAAGTGAAAAAATTTTGTTCAAAATTTACAAAATATTGAAGATATGAGAGAGAATTCATCTCTTTGATACTTAATTAAGCTGCACTTAGACTTAAAAACATTAATTTGAAAAGGAAATTTAAAAAATAGTTGTTAAAAAAGATTAATTAAAAAGATTTCTGTGTCTCACTGATAATACGGTAGAAAAATGTACACAAACATATATATTATATATATAATAATAATAAAATAATATATATTATATATATTATATATATAATAATAATAAAATAATATATATTATATATAATATATATAATAATAATAAAATATAATATTTTAAAAATACATATACAAAATATGTATGTTTAATTTATCAAAGTGTTGGAAGAATATATTTTTCTTTTTGAATTTTATGAATAGATCTTTGAAACATCGAAGTCATTAAAGTTATTATTATAAATTAATAGCTAAGACAGCTTGAAAACAAGACAAATATGAGTCTAACCACAGCTTAAATATTAAAAACTTGATTTTAAGTTATTCCGTGATATTTCTTACAAAAATTCAAGAATGTAGGTTCTTTCAAAATACTTTTACAATAAAGAATAGATTTGGCAAAAAAATGTGGCTTTCCCAGAAAACATAAATATTGTGACAAAATGGAATATAGCCAGTACATTTTGCATATACTATTAGAAGCTTTGATTTGCACATTTTGAGGAACGTGCTTCCTGAAATGTTTAGGAACGTGATTATTTTGAATACGTGGACATTCTTGTGGACATATACGTAAAAAAATTTAGATTCTCTGCTAGGAACACACTCCATTAGAAAAAGTACTTATTTTCTAAAGTGTGGATGCGTTAACGACCGGCTTCCATATTTATGTTTCTCTTTCTCTCTTACTCTCTCACACCCTCTCTTTCACGGGAGAAATTTTTCCTTTCTTTCTTTTTGGAAATGTTTGTAGAATCATCGTATAACAAGAAATCGCGGCTATAATTTCGCGCATATATAAGTATAAAATATATATTAAAGAGTTTAAAGTACAATACGTATTCTTTAAGTCCACTTTACTACATTATTGTAGTATTGTTATGCGTACCAATACAAGAGGAATTTCACCCATCAAGATTTTGTCAAAGCCTGTCTACTTATGCGTCTAATTCAGCGTTGTATAAACGATACGTCACAAAACTAATAAAATATATATTATAAAAAATCATTAATTTTACATTACAACGTGAGTTGCTACGAGCCTAATTTTCAATCAGACTCGCGGAAAGCAGCTAACGCTACGATATATCAACAAGGACCTCTCGACTAGAGTGATTGATTGTTCTGTTGCATATGCATTTGCAAAAAACAATAAAGTATACCGGCCTGTGCCATCACGTCCACGGTCCCCGCAGCTAATGGATCTCGACTCTTTGCATCGGATCGCGAATTCGTACCAGGGCGCAAAAGCGTCGGTCCGAACACCGTCGCTAAGTTGTGCAAAGACATTTTATTTTGAGCCTCGTGTTTATTAACTCTTATTAAATGAGTAAGTAGAAAGTCGATGACCGCTTTGTTCACAGCTGGCAGACTTTCGTATACTCTTCTAAGAGCAGCACCTTTTGATAGCTCGCCAGTTTGAAAAGCTTCTAAAAACGCTGGATAAAGAGCATCCGTAAAGAGAGCTTCTGGCATTTCACGGAGATATAACTTGAGCACACCTGTTACAGAGTGAACGTCAACCTAGAAATATAAAAATAAATTCATATTAATGTATAATTAATAAAGATATAGATTTTAAATAATGAGAAAAAAGGATTTTCTTTGTGTTTGTGTGACTGTGTTTAATGCATTAATTACCTCTTTAAGTAGTTGTTCTGCTTCATACGAATTGCTTTCAAATGATTTACGTAATTTTGTTAGATCGGAAGCAGAGCCAGAAACGCGATACAGTCCCACTTCTCCGACCCCTCTCCTTTCCACTTCCCTAACACATGCAGTTACAATAAAAGGAACATCGCGTTTTTCACGTCTGTAAAAAATATATAGATCTAAATATTTATGAAAGATTTAAATAAACATTTACAATAAAAAGATTTGAATAAGACTTCACAAGAGTTCAAAAGTCACAAAACATACTTGCACACTTGTTGAATTTTAGCTCCAAATAAACCTTGAGGTTTAGCAGATGGTACCCGTCTCAATGTCACTTCACTTGGAACAAAACGAAGAGCTACATCTAACGTAGCTGGGCCTAAATTTAGTGACCTCTCTACTTGATCCGACTGAAGCCAAGATCTACTTAATCTTTGTATGCATTTGCCACGTAATACAGAACGCGTTCCACACTCTTCATACAACAAAATTCTAACATTTTGACTTCCTTCGAGTTCCACAACGAATGTTTCGCCTTAAATAAGTTAAAATTAAATAATTAATTATAAGAAATTTATTTATTTAACAATACAATGATCTTTTGTAAAAATAAAACTTTACCCCAAGTTGGAGCTTGACCTCTCGCAACTCGACTTCTTGCTCGTTTAAAATAGTGTCCATAACTATCAACTTCTACAATAATGTAAAGATCTCCTACTCTATCTAAACCAGGCGGTGTTAAACCAAGCAAAGTTAAATGAAGGTCGCCTAGTAATAAACTTTCATCGCGTCCTGATCTCAGTAAATAACTTCCCATATCTGTTTGAAGATAAGTACGACAAGCTGTAACCCAAGCCTGTAATTCGTACATTGATAAAGGTAATGGCCCTGGAGGTTGTCCACCCTGAAAAATTATGTTTATTGTTTATTTTCTTTCATCAAGTAAACTTAATCATTCTTTTTAAATATCGTTACTTGGATCCTCGTGTTGGATTTAAATAAATTTCATTATTAAATATCTTTATGTTATTTATTCGAAATCTGTGAATTACGCACCTTTGACTTATCTAGGTACATATGGGAACGCATTACCTGTTGCAATGCCTCCACTGCTTCAACCCATTGAGAACGTTCAAATTCACTGGATAGAAAGAATGTGTACGAGTTTTGAACTCGATGTTGACTTTTATGCGCAACGCGTAATACTAAATTTGGAGATGCTAATACCAATTGAGCTTCAAGCTCAGCAAGTTTCTTCCTATTTTTTTCTGAACCTCTACCACCGAGTCTAATTCGTTTCTCATCATTTCGTTCTTCCCAAAGTATCTGATCACGTACTGTACACGCCTGTGACCTGAATATGTACACTTTTATATTTTATTAAGAGTAAATAATAGACTTTTACACATACCTCAAAGCTACAACATTAGCTGGACTAGTTTCACGAGGTTCAACACCATCTTCTGTCACTACCGCCTCTGCCACTGATACATACCACTTTAATTCAAATGTAAATTTGTCTCTACCAGAAGCTTTATACTTTGCACAAGCAATTACATCATTAAAAAGAAAAAGATGTCTCAACTTTCTATGACCATCGGACAATTCTACTACAAATGAGTTTTTCACTAATCTCCGTTGTGCTCTATCATGACTCTAAAAAAAATATAGTTTTAAATACCACTAAATTAATAATAGTTTTAACTATAAGTATAGTTTATTTACCGGAAACATTGACTTTGTTTGGATAATATTAAATTCGTCTAGAAAATTTCTTGTCATAGCAAGAGCTTCTGAGAGTGGTGCATGATCTGCATGATTCACTGGTGTGTGTTTAAGAAGATCCTACAATCAATTGAACGACGATGCGAACTGAGATAAGATAAAACTTACGAAGTATATTTCCACATCATTTTATCAACTTAGCCAATCAGCGCTTTATCAATATGTTTCCATACCTATATAAATTTGGCTAATAAAAACACATATTGTACAATACTTACATGCAATACTAGCGCATTTTTTTGTACTCGAGCTACTGGCTTATGCAGAAGATCTTCAAGAGATAAACCTGGTCCTTTTGGAAATCCTCTAAGTCTTATATCCCTTGTAATTTCACCGAATTGAGTCGAATGTGCAGAACACCTTCGCACGGTATCAGTAGCGCGAGCATAATTATGTAAAAAAGCTCCGTATAATCCTATATTGCTAGCCATTATCTTAATTTCCAAATTCATGATAGAACATTAATAAAATAAATTTCTCAACATTAAAATAACATAAGTAATGTTATATTTCTTAATATATATCGTTCTTACTTTAAATTGTTCACCTATAGTAGTTTTACTATCCCATTTGTCTAATTTCTTTCTGAGACCGTCTAAAAATGTCTGATGTAGTGCATGTAATTCGGGAATCTTATAAAACATCGTACCAAATTCATCTTCAGAAATAACAGGTTGAGATGTTGTTAATGTCGCTCTGATGGCTTTCATGTACTATAAACAAAATATATCTTTTTAACCAAAGTAATGTTATTTATACATATTATAGAAAACGATAGACACATTACATACCTGTAACATTACATTTAGACACTCGACATAAATAGTTTCGCTCTCTACCACCGAGTTTACAATACATTTAATCATAGACGTTCTGTCATCTTCACGGTCTTTACATTTCTCCTGTCGACGAGGTGTAGTTGGTGTTGGTGATTCTAAACTACCCTCACTTAGACTTAAAGGTTCCGCGTCGCTACTACCAGTTTCATTATCGGTGCTAAGAGCGCGTAATAAGATTGGTGGTGCAGGACTTGCACCCTCTTCATCTTCGCTATCCATTGCTGCTCGATGTCTACAAATAAACAAATATATTACATATTTTTTTTATGTAAAATGATTTTAAAATCAGTAATATTTAAATATAAATAATTTACTGTATAAAATAATCAATGTTGACATAATTGCTCTGATTCCCTGGAGAGTCAGGTAACGACGGTGGCCTCCTTGGTGGTGCTCTACTGCCATTATTATTTCCGACAGGTGGAACACGTGCATCAATATATACATATTCTCCTGTTTGGTCTAAAGCTACAGAATCATAATAAGGTTCCTCTTCAGATATTTCCGCATCACCATCTTCTCCATCTTCATTAATTGCATTTTCTAAATCTATTTATTAATTGTAAATATGAATAAATCAAATACAATTATAAAAAAAATAATATAAAATAAAATAATATAAAATAAAATAATATAAAATAAATACAATACCTTTTTCATCTTCTTCTTTGAGAGATTCTTCATTTTTATCTTTCTTTGAACTTCCAGTCACTTCAATTACAGTGACATAATTACTTGGCACATCTGGGTCACTGTTTCTTCTAAGTTCAGGCACTTTATCAGGACTTTTTGGTATCTCACTTTTGGGTCTTTTGCTTGTATTAAGAGTAGAACTCAGTTCAGAAACACATTTGTCCTGAAATTTACTTATATCTTCACGCGCGGGCAGAGATGGAGCTGATGATTCCACGTGTTGAACATTAGATGAGCTTGTAGAATCTGTCAAATTATTCTCTGTTACTTGGCAGCTATGTTGATTTTGAGATTCTGTAGATTGTTGTTTGTCAGGCGTGGTTGCAATATTAATATTTGCCAACTGCTTATGACGTTCAACATCAGCCAACAATCTTTCTAAATATTCTACATAAAATTCTTCTTTTTCAAGTTCTTCTCTCAAAGCGGTCACCTGTGAAAACAGTAGCAATTTTCCAAAATTATTTTTTATACAACTATATTGTGAAATATAAATAATATATAATAAACTCATCTTTTTAGTGAATGATAACAGAACTGAGATAAGCAGATAAATGATGAATCAGTGAGAATATATACTCACACAGATGAGGATATTTAGTATATTTTCTCAGTGTATTGGAGAGCTAAATATATTTAATGATTTAATTTTCTTCAGAGTTATGTAAATATTTTTTAAAAAATTTATATATAATTATATATAATAATTTATATATAAAATAAGTAAATTTTTAATTAATATGAAGTTAATACAATGAACATAAATTCCACCAGATCACTTTGAAAATATCATTTATAACTTAATTTCTCAGTTAAGCAAGAAATTAATATGATGACTCATAGGATGAAGTTCCCAATGGCTCAGCAAGGATGAAAGTTTTACATAATAAGAAGCTAATAATCTATTAAACAGTCTTCTTAAAAGTAGATTACAATTAAACATCTCCAATGTAATAACTCTTCCATTAATTACTTGTAAAAAATAATATAAGCTAAAAGTATACTAAGAGTATTACAAGTATATAATGTTACTATATTAATATACTTTCATTACTTTTAAAGAACTGCATCGAATCATAAATAACATATTATAACTTCCAAAATAAAACCTACAATCAATTGTTTAATTCAAAAAGAAACAGTGATCTCATGGTGTTCCATGTGTAGCATCTCTAATTTTTATTCAAACAAATAAATCTACAAAGAAAGAAGGTATTAACATAAATTCTTAGAAACGTCATTATTGAAGGAAACTCTGTCTTTGTAACTGTGACGATAATAATACAGGATTTCCGACTGGATTCTCACCTTCTGTTTATGCTTGACTAGGTTGGCCCTGACGTCCTCTTCCCAAGCTGCCGGCAAGGCGCTGTCCGGGAATCTTTGTACCCAGACACGCTGGAAATCCCCGAAAACGCTCATTACTTCACTCCAGGCCGTTTAAAGGGTGGACTCCTCGGGGATAGCGATGATCTCGGGCACGATTTCAGGCCGCTGTGTACATTGCATGGGCGCGGCGATCGCGGCTCTCACCCGAATTCGCCTGATTACGATCTCGTTTCGACGCAGAGAATCTATTGAAACGGACGTGTCGTCGTAACGAGGCATAAGTCGTTCGTTTCGTTTGCGAAACGATCTCCCCACCTGGCCACACGCCACAACGTTAACTCAGAAAGAACAACGAGACGAGCGTCATACAACCGCTGTCATCTTGTCGACATCTCCTGCGTAGCTCACGCTCCGATCCCCATGCCCTCTCCTATCATTTTGACGCCTTCGCTATACTTCATTCGCGGACACTGCCCTTCCTCGGGCGCAGCAGGTGCGCTTCACGCACGATGGATATTTTTCATGGTGCGCTTACGCAAAATAGAAATTTCCTCGTCTGTTGCAAAATTCAGCCAAAAATTCTCGTTTTTCTTTTCGTTGACAGATAAAACAAAAAAAGAAAAAAGAAACGATGCTTCTCGATACGAGACGAATTGTACATGAATTGATCTCGCTTATTTCCGATATTAGATTAGCGATGAATTTTAATTTCGACGCGTGGCAATAATTTTGTTTTGGATTATGGAATTGTTTCTATGTTGCGAGAAACTTAAATGTATATAACATACAGCAAAAATATCGACGATATTCAGCGTAAATTACTCTAAAGTTATACGTCCGAAAAATAGAATCTATCTATCTAGATCACGTTATGTTCGTAAAGATGTGAATTTATATAAACATTCATGATCTAACATACAAAAGGAAAAATACAAAAATAATTCTATTCTGTTTTGATGTCAGTGTGTATTAACAAAGTCGTTAACAAATTACATATTTCAAATTACCAAGGTTGGCAAAAGTAATTTTCTGGCTAATTGCACCGATCTTTTTATTACAATTTATCGTACATTATAATGTACGTTTTCTAAAAGTCTATGTCTAACATTATTGAAAAAGAATCACCTCAGACTTCTTAAATAATAAGTTATAATAAATACTAAATAAATATTAAATCTATGTTATTATCTATGTCATAGAAATTACTAAAAATTATTATCACTATTCTATCTTCTCTTTCGAACGATTAATATGTTGTACAATTGCTTTAATTGTTATATTCCTCAATCTTATACATATTTATTAATCTATTTATTAATCTATATACATCTATTGTTAGCTATTAATTATTATATTGAACTATCACGAATTATATTGAAAGTATTGTAGTGCCACAGTGGGCATATTTTAAACTAAAATCAAACAGCGGGATATTTAAAAACATAATTCTGCAAAATAATTATTTAATTGTACTTACAAAACTGTAAATTTAAACGTCAAATTCTCGTAATTTATATTGCAGAATCGTTTTCTGAATAGATTCTAATAATAAGAAATTATTAATAAACTGAATTTTTTTTTCACTTATTTTTGTGTTACTATACGGATGTAGCTGTCAACCTTGGTAGCAATACACTTTAGAGGTTATGTTTCTTTTACAAAATTAACGAATTTTCATTAATTTTTCCACTTATTTATCAAAATACCAAATATGGACGAGAAACAAGACGGCCCAGTATTGAAAGAATTATTAAAATACATAAAAATAGAATCAAAAAGTGGGATTTTGTCATGTTTAGTACGACTTAAAAATGATTCAAAGTGTTACAAGCAATTTGCCAAAGATGGAGGATTAGGCATTTTAGTAAATTTACTGCATTATCATAATACACAAATAGTGAACATAACTTTAAGTATTTTAGCAAACGTTTGCCTGAATTCAGATGCAAGAGAAAAGGTAAAAATATATTTATTTTCACATATCTTTAAAATCATTTAATAAATTTTATTTATCATATACTTATAGTCTGTCATATATATATGAATAGATTGATTGTTGCTATACAACATGCTTATTCATAATAATGCAATATAAATTATTTTTTAGGTCAAAGGATCTAAAATAGCAAGTCGCGTGGTTTCTATAATAAAGCATATCAAACTAGGTAATAATATACACTGCCGTGCTTGTAGACTCATTGGAAATTTATCTGAAAGTGATTATCATGCAAAATCATTATGTGAAGTTGGTGCAATTCAAGCTTTGGTTGATCTTTTACAACTAGATACTTATGTGCAAACTTACTTAATGGGTGTCAGGGCAATAAGGTATTAGAAAATTAATTTATATATATGAAGATAATATCAATATTTCTTGTTAAGTTCTATATATTTTTTTTTTTTTTATAGGAATATTTGGAGTATATACGAAGGTAGTAGAGAAGAAATTTTAGAATCTGGAGTAATATTTAGAATTACAAGTTTATTAATATTAGCAAAAGAAAAATTAGAAACAAATAAAACAGATAAAAAATATATGGAACTAATAGAGACCTGTTTAAAAGCCATGTGTGCTTTTTTGTCCACATTGGATCCTCGAGTTGGAAAACAATTAAGAGGAGGAAAAAATATACAGGGTTATAAGAGTATTATACAATGTTGTGATATGCATAATAAAGTAGCGATTAGATGTTTATATAATCTTTGCCATATTACGGAATGTCGTCCAATTTTGGGAAATTTTGGTGCTATTGAAAGTTTTATCGTTCTTATCAAAGATCGCTTAGAATTGTCTAAGGAGACATTAGTCACTTTATGCCTATTTTGTGTAGAAGCTATAAATCGTGCGAAGGTTAGAATGGGATCAGGTTTGGAATTAATGTTATCTTTATTAAAAGATATCAAGAATGAAAAATATCATGCCATATTATTACATGCTTTAGCACAATTTGTCCATGACGAACCAAGCATTACTATAATGCTAAAGAATGGTTTGCTTGACGTTTTAGTTACTAGATTGAAAAAAATGGCAATTGAAGCTCATGAGAAAACGAATGTTTCAAGAAAACGAAAAAGTGATACTCCTCCTAATAATCAAACACAATTGAAATACATTGCGACAAATTTAGGAAGGTACGTTCACGAAATTTAATTTAATTCTTTAGTTATGAAAAACGTAATGTTTACTTCTTTTTTATCTACAGATTTAGTTCAGACTACTATCGAGATGATTGGAGTCCAGGAAGTGCTACTAGTGTTTCCTCTTCGCCTCCTAGTACACCACCGTTACCTTTTTATGATTCTATTGAAAATGACGAAAATACCGAAGATAATTACAGTCCAGTTTGTAGCGATACAGAAATGATGGATAACGAAGATGGTAAATTAATTTATATATTTTGTAACTTAAATCATTTTAAAAATACTCGAGAATAATAACTTCTGCCTCATTTTTTTTAGAACCCCAAGAAGAAGTAGAATCATTAAAAAGTTGGAAATCAGTAACTATAGAAGTAGAAGAATCCCAGAATGTAGAAAAGGAGAGGAAATTGTGGGAATGTCCATACACCTGGGAGTTTGGAAATTTATGGGCGTTATTATTATTAAGCCACTTAAGTCTTTCAAATGATCCAATTGATGGATTGGCCGATCCCACGACCATTGGACCGTTATTAGCTTACATTAGACACGGAAAAAATATAAGAGCATCTAGAATTTTAAATAGAATTATAAGGTAAGTAAAACACTTATTTTACAAATAAAACATATTATATATTAGAAAAATTTTTTATATAGAAATGGAGCGTATTTAGTACCATTATTAAAACAGGGCTTCGTTTTTGAAGTTCAAACATTATGTGGGTCTGAACATTATACAAGACAACTGTGCGCCGTAGCAGAAACAGGCGGAGCGATAGGTGAACTTACATCTATATTGCTTCGCGGAAAGGAAGCTCATAAATTGATTATCGCAGTCTCGATACCATTTATAATTAAATCGCGAGATATTCTAAAATCATTGCTGAACAATCACGGTGGTCTTCAATTAATATTTCACATTCTATCTGATCAACAACATGTCCTTTATGAAAACGCTATTTGGTCAATTTGTCGTCTAGCAAGCACGTTAGAAATTCAACCTGAGATTATAGAAAAATGTCAAATCACAGAAACCGCTTCGACTGATTTTCCTAGAGTATATGATAATCATCCGAAACCTGCAACGGTTACATTCGAACTGGACGATGGTACGACCGTCGACGCTTGTAGGCAAACATTGTGTCAAAAATCAGACGTATTCTCCGCCATGCTTGAAGGGAACTTTTCGGAGTCAGGCAAGAAACGTGTCAAATTGCGAAATACATCAAAGGAAGGTCTTAACACGTTGTTACTAGCTGCAAATGGAGCAACTTTCGAAAATAGAACTATCGAATCTTTATTGGATGCGGTGCTACTAGCTGATAAATTCCTCATGGCTGATATATCGGATATTCTTACACAAAGTTCTATCTCCAAGTTGAATTATAAAAACTTCAGTAGGGCATGGAACTGGGCGAGAATGAATTCGTGTCACGAACTGAAATCCTGTTGTGTGAAAAGGTTTCTGACAGCTCAAATGACAAATCCTGAAAGAGTCCAAGCGTTTCAGGATTTTTCTACCACTGGAAGTTTTCATGAATTCCTAGACGAAGTAAAGAAAATCATTAACAATGTCTTGTGCCAACGTTAATGACGAGTTAATTTTTATACAATTGTGATATTTAATAATGAGGTAAGTGACTGCTTTAATCATTTAATAAACATTCTCTAAGTAGGAAGCAGTTAATGAAACTTTTATATAATAAACTGTCTGAGTCATTCTATACTTTGATCATACTTATTGTGAATATATTTTAAAACGTGGAATTGATGTACATTATAAATATACAATTTATAAATGTCATTTAATTATATATTGTAAATGTACAATTATATATTAATTAAATATATATATAATATATATATTTAAATGTTGATAATTGTAAATAATTAACTTACACGTGCACACATGTATGTATGTATGTATGTATCTATGTATGTATGTATGTATCTATGTATGTATGTATGTATGTATGTATGCATGTAGAACGAAAATATTTGAACGTCAGTTTATTCAATATAAATGTATACGGGTAAAACATTGCTTCGAAGAAACAAGTAAATAAAAAACAAGAAATAGAAAAAAATACTCTCCTATACGACGATACTTCATTTCGTTATATTACACATTATTTGTTATGTCCTTTCTGTCAGCTTTAATTTTATCGACTTCGAAGGTACAGATATCAAATGTAAAATTAATTCCACTTGATCCTTATTTATACATTCTATTTTGAACGACTTAACTAGCTGCAATTTTTTAAGATAAAGTCAAATAAATTCAGTAAATCTTGATTTAATTTCATTATTTTCGTACCTGTGCTAATGCAAGCGATATTTGTATTTCTGCCAATTTTCGACCAATGCAGCTTCTAGCACCTAAAGCAAATGGTAAACTACCATGCGGATGCATTACACCTTGGTAAGTACCTTTTTCCGTTCTGATCCATCTTTCCGGAAGGAATTCATTTGGTTGCGAAAAGTTCGCTGCGTCGCGACCACTCGAATAAAGTGATAATACGAGCAGTTCCTATAATATCCAAGAATGGCTATTTTAATATTTATTATTCATTGTAAATGATACATGTAATATATATTTATTGTAAATGACACATAGTAATATAGATTTACTTACCCCTTTTGGTACAAAGTAATTACCAATCACACTATCTTTTGGTAAATATCTAGATATAAATGGAGCTATGGGATAGAGTCGAAAAGATTCTTTAATTACGCCTTTTAACAATGGTACGCGTAATAAATCTCTCTGCGGAACATCCTTCAATTGTTCAAATAATTCTTCTTGTTTCTCAGGGTAATTACACAACAGTAGCAATGTCCACTGCAAAGTGGTCGCTGTCTGAATACAAAAAACACAGAATTAGTTTTCGAGTATTAACAAATGCATAAAATATTTAATTCTTAAAATATGATTTAATTTCTTTTTAACTTCATTCTATTTATTCCATTGTTTATTAATTTTTAAATTCAAATAAAACAAAAAAAGAAGAAATTTTTCATTTAAACTTTAAATGTAAAATTTCATTTTCTCAACTACATTCGATCTAACCGTATCACCAGCTGCCAAAATGAAGTCGGTAACAATGCAGATTGCATCCTCGGCTCGGATACCTTCATCCATCATTTTTTTCAACAAACCGTCGCCACCTAATGTAGTCATTTCCGGTACCAGTGTTCGAACAATTTCGAACGCTATATCAGCAGACGCGACGAATTTCCTCCAAACAGGAAAGCGTAAATTCATAGCTAGCTTAGCTGGTATCACAGATAATTTAGCTGAATATTCAAATATTTTGTACAAGACCTCCGCCAATACTTCGAAGTCTCGAGATAGCTGTTGCTTGTAATAATGCCAACACGATCCCATTAACGTAGCCATCATTGCTGTAAAAAAAAAAAAGAAGAAACAACAAGCTTCTATAGATATCTTTATCTCTCGAATTTTCAACTAAAAAAAAATCTTAATTAGACTTCAATAAAATTTATTTTTACCCTCGAGGGACCATTGATAAAGTTGAACCTGTAAATTCGTTATAACAGCATCGGTCTTGATCTGTTTTTGCCATTTTTCCCTGAGTTCGACAGCCGCGTCTTGACACGGTTGGAACATTAAATTCGTTGGATCTGGCGCCAGCATCACTTTATTTAAAATCTTACGAAAGTATATCCATTCTTCGCCGTCCCTATTCAAACAGAAATTTCACTTTAAAAGTTCCATTTAACATCGTTGACACCCGGCGTCGGTGGTAAAAATAAAAATGAGAGATTCGTATTTTTATTCCACGACCTTCAAACGTGCAGCTATTTTTAGTTTTTAAGAGAGAGAAGCTTAAAATTACTGTACATGAACAGCAAACCGCGTCGACATTTCCGTGTCTCGTTGTACAGTGTCCAAGCTTCTGGTAAGAAGTGTTTCGGCGCGGACCCTTCCAATCTAAAAACTCTTCGAAACTCATGTGTTGAGTTTACAAAAACTGCTGTAATTGGACCTAGGCGTTCCCTGTAAACTGAGCCCAATTCCTTGTGCCGTCTGTCAACGTACTCGTGTTGTCTCTTTGGACCACCGGCGAGAATAAACGACAGAAGCGTTCCGAAAACGGGGATACCACGTGGCTCTGGTGCTTCTTGCACAATAGTTTCAGTCGCAGTCACCGCCACTGTAGCAAAATTTCTGTCGCGCGACTTCTCGACGACTGACTCCTTCGATCGATTCGCGCCATCTATTGATTTCGAGATATCGGAGAGATCATCGATCCTTGGTGTTTGCGTCGCGCCAGTATAACCGCAACCAGATACGCAGTGTTTCGCCGCGGTAACGCCGTCAGATACCTTCACAGATTTGCCGGTTTTCAAAACATTTTGCGCAACTTTCAGCTTCATCATTCCTCTCTCTCTCTTATCTGCCGTATAATGCGAAAAATAACCGATGCTACGTTATTACTTCGTAACGTGTATTTTACAACTACAAAACATACGTTGCGAATACGTTCGTGTTAAAAATTTCAACCTTCCTTTCGTCTTTTTCTTTTCTTCTTGCAGGCGAGACGTTTCCTCATCGAAATCTCAGAAATGACTTCATCGGAATGCGAATCGTTTAACGCCACTCTCGAAGGAGCTCTTCTTTTCTTTCTCCGGGTGTCATATTTGATAACTCGAGTTCAATTCGACGATAACACTTGGCGGACAATTCAGAGCGGCGATAGTATCTTTTCTATGATCATTGCGTTTAATGCTGATCCTCGCGTTAATCTGATACTGCGATCGATTATAATTCTCTCTCACGGTGAAATGCCTTTTCAGGTTGCACTTGATTCCGAACACCTCAGCAATTATTGCGGTTTCCGGTTCCGGTAACCGGAACTAGGCACGGTAACAGGAAGTGAGGAATCGTAAAAAGAGAGCGGAATTCATGGAAGATATTGGAGTTACACGGTAGTTATGAAACACTGGTAGACACGCAAAGAAGAAGATCGAATACCGTTTACTATGACCGTTAACTAGAAGCCGTTTACCCCTCCGCTGCAGGTTTCCACTTTCTTCCACGAGAATTCCTTCGTTTTGTGATTCACTGTGTTCTTATTTTCAAACCGATTACAGTGGCGTCGAGATTAATATTAGAACGAGCGATTAGCATAAATCACCGTTTGTACAATTTCATCAGTTGTCTTATTATCTTAATAGTTATTCACAATTATTTTATACGTTATAGGATCCGTATTGTGCGTATCCCATAACAATTTCACGATGCTGGTATTAGAGAAATAATGAACGCACATTTATCATATATTGACAATGTATAATAATATTTTCCTTGGTACGTACTTTTAATTGTTATATATATAAATCAATAGATAATCACTATAATAAAAGCCATAAAAAAAAAAATGAAAATGTTATAAAACAGATAAATCATACCGTTTATTATAGGATGATATTTGTATCTATAATACTAGTCTTTCTATAAATATTATTATTGAACAATCAAATCAGCAAATTTTTTTATTTTTAGAGAGACCAAAACACTAAAATTGTTTAAAGTAAGAATAATAATTTTTACACTATCAGATTGTTTTTCAACTGTTAGCAAACACTGATACTTTCTCACGATTATCCCGAGCCCCTGTCGCCCGACTACTGCACGCTGTTTAACAGTTTCGAAGATATTTAAATCTCCTACTGAAATTTCTTACATCGAGTGGGGGACCACGTGTGAGGTTCCAAGAATAAAGGATTATGAGCTATATAAAATTTCATTCAAACATATGAACAAATTTATGCTTTATCCTACTATAATATAATATAATATAATATAATACAATATAATAAAATATAATTATTACATTGTATTTACTACTACTACTTATTTACTAGTACTTATTATTACTAAAATATTTAACGCCTGAATCAGTTGAAATTTTATATTTATTAATTTTAATACAATCTATATTCATCAATATTTAAAGTATAAAAAGCAATCAACCAAAAAGTATAAAAAGCAATTGTCAATATTTAATGGTATCAAAGACTTATACAAGATTTTTTCAAGGAAATACAGCAGACCTAAAAGTATGATAAAACATGATTTACATAGATAAAGAAGACAGATATTCTGTTTGTAAAATTGAATAAAGTTAGATTTTGAACAGAGCGATAGCATTTACAAATAATGCTCTGTTCAATGCATCCGATTTCCATCTACTTTCGTGTTTTTCCGTTGTACTACGGAACGAAACGGAATATCTAGTTTTGTATATACCGAGGCAAAATAGTTCCATTGTAAAAAATAATCACTGACAAAATTCATTTTATTTTCATTTGTTATTCTTTTTATGAAAGAAATCATATTTTTACATTTTATATGCTGGCTCAAAAAATATTTTAAGTAATATGTGCATATAAAGGTTCACTAAAATAAAGTTTACTAATATATGAATATTATAAAGATATATTAATTGCAATTATATATCCAAACAAGAAAATTTTTGTTATTGTTAATAATTAAAAATTGTCTTATATTTCTGTTGTACTAAAAGTAAGTAATATCTCTAAAGAAATGCTTATCGTGTATTCCATAATAAATAATAAGTCCATGAAGGTAACGATTTTCACGCATTCGGTCAGAAAATCAATGCTGAACAGACGAAATAAAGTGCGATGGTTGAATATAAAGGAACCTGTTTATCAGAATGCAAAGCGCTTTTATCTTTGTAGATCGGTGAAGTTGTCTGATCATAAAAAACGACCATGAAAAAATTTACTTACATTTAATAATGCAATAGGATGCGGTTTAAATTAACTGGCTGTATTGTACTGTTTGCAAATAATGATTAATAATCAATAATTTATCAGAATAACAGTTTGACAATCCAGTTCATAATCCAGAAACTTTAAATTCCTAATTATACTATTATATAAGTTGAAAAAATAAATGACATCAGAGAAAAAAACGATCTATATTTGCAGCATTAATGAGCAAAACGTAATTTTGTTTGAATTGCAATTAGAATTAAATATTAAGAAATCAATATTCCTTGATTGCCCTATTTTGGGGCAATATTAGTTCTAATAATCTTTGTCCTTTGAGGCTATATTATATGTTTATAACTTAATATACAGAATATATCACAAAATATAAAATCATTATATTTTTAAAGCTTAAAAAATTAGATAAAATTATAATTTTGTTTCTTAAAAATTTTTATTTTTAAGTTGTTCATATGATTTCTTAATTATTCATGCTGGCAATATATTAATTTTATTGTCATTTATTTAAATCATATTATAATTAAGTAAATACTAAATATAACTAATGTACATGATGCTATTATCACTTAAATTATATAAGATGGACATTAGTGGAACATACAAATTTATTGAGAAATAATTTATCGGACATATTTTATCAAACTTAACAACTACAATTATATTTAATTCATTATTTTATGAGAATAAAATAATAAATTTTTTTACTATCAAAATACAATTTAAAAAATTTAGTTAAAAACAGAAATTTAAAAAATTTGATGTAACATCAAAACTTTTTCTATCGTCTATTTATAGGAACCAATGAATATTATCCAAAATTGTTGTCCGAAATCTTTTATTGGATTTATAAAAATCTATGTTATATGTTTATAAAAAAAACTTGTTAAAATGTTTAAAAAAAAATACATATCAAATTAATAAACCTTAAATTAGAAATACCCGATTATGCAAATTTCAATGTTGAATTAAATTAATTCTTTTTACACAATATTCGAATTGTATTCTTATCATATGTCGAAGGTTTAAAGATCAGGATGATGAAGAGGCGACTTTTAGAGCACTCTATTGCTAGATGCACGAGGAAGTACTTGACTAAAGGAACACAACGAATCGTTGCGCATCTGAATTTTAGTGAGTCGTTGGTCATCGTCCCTTTTTTTTTGCTGCGATGGATACCGATGTCGAATCCTGTTTAAAAGATTGGAACGACCTAGCACAAGATTACAAGGAATTAGAAGTAAGATAATTTTTTGTTAATCCTGGGTACTGAGGTTGTCAGTGATTTGCACGTTGGACCATTTTCTGTGAGGTTAAGTGTATTTTTTATTTATCCAATACCCGCAAAACAAACCAGTGTATAAAAATATTTCTATGTAACGTTCTGTGAAATGCAAATACTTTTTTTCTAGCATATTTTCATAAATGTGTTATAAATATTATCGCGGGATATTTCCTTGCTCTTTTTGTTAATTGTTCGTTATTTAATCAATACATTCATTACAATTATTTTTCCATATTGTGTGAAGTATTTTAAGTATTACGCGGTGTTTTATTTAAAATGGTAACATTTCAATTTTGTTAACAGGCATTGAATAAAGAATATCTTGCAAAATTAGAGGAAGTAGGAGAACTTCAAGCAAAATGTTTAAAAGGAATTTCTCATCAGAAATACCGGATGAGTGTAATATCAAAATCACTCAAACAGTAAGTAATTAGTTTTAATGTATTCATACTCATTAATTATTAAACAAATAAATACGTTTTCTCACAACTGCAGATTACATGCAAGCGAAGCACAAAAAAGTTTAAGCAAGGAGATGGCTAAAAGAGAGCAACAGTTACATGAAATGGAACAAATCTTACCAAAACCAAATGGCACATATCTTCAAATTATTTTAGGCAATGTTAATGTTTCTATATTAAACAAAAATGATAAGTAAGAATAAAAGTAATAATGACATATTCAAGACACGTATATCGTAGAATATACACTCAACATTTCATTTATTTTTCAGGTTTAAATATAAAGATGAATATGAAAAATTTAAATTGGTTCTTTCTGTAATTGGTCTTATTTTATCTGTGCTAAATCTGGTAACTAATATCAGGTAATATATGTTGTTTATTCTGTAATAAAATAAAAAGTTTATAATAGTCAGATATGGACATCATTGATAATATTTGTTACAGAACTTTGGAACTTAGTTTTATGTTCCTTTTAGTCTGGTATTATTGTACACTGACAATAAGAGAAAGTATATTAAAAGTAAATGGTTCAAGAATAAAAGGCTGGTGGAGATTTCATCATTTCCTCTCAACTGTAATATCTGGTGTTTTATTAGTATGGCCTAACATAGGGCCGTGGTATGCATTTAGACAACAATTTATATGGTTCAATGTTTATATCAGTATGTTATTTATCTAGAAATTTGTAATAATTTTTTTTGTTGACATCAAAACAAAATATGTTCTTTTTACAGGTGTAGTACAATCCTTGCAATTTTTCTACCAGCGGGGTGTTTTATATCGATTAAAAGCATTAGGTGAAAGGCATAATATGGATATTACAATCGAAGGTTTCCACTCTTGGATGTGGCGCGGATTATCGTTTCTATTGCCATTCCTTTTCGTTGGATATATATTTCAGTTATACAACGCATATGTCTTATTCACATTAATATCCTATCCAGAAGCTACATGGCATGTCCCAGTTCTTAGTGGCATGTTCTTGGTATTGTTCCTAGGTAATACAATAACAACTATTATGGTAATTCGTCAAAAATTAAGAGAACGCGTAAAATACCATTTTGCTGGAGTGTTTTCCTCTAAATTCGAACGTAAAAAGGAAATAAATGTAGAAAAAGACATGAAAGCTCAGAAATGCGAATAAAATAAAATTGACGAAAGCAAATGTGATAAAAAGATTAAATGTAAAATAAACATTCACAAATGTGAATTAGAAAAATGCAAATGTTGGAGGAAAAAACAATGGAAAAATGCAAATAAAATAAAAAATAAGTCTAATTAATGAATTCAAACCAAAAATAAACAAAGTACTTCAAAATTCTTTCTTCCATGTATTGTCATCTTTCTCTCACTTTCATTAGACACAAGCTGCATTTAAAATATATTAACCTGCAATATAGAAATGAATTCTTTGAAAGTATTCTTTTTGTATGTCTTTTCATATGTTAACAAACTTTTGCATATTTTCAATGTTTATTTTTATAGATATCAACATGATATAAATTTAGACGTGCTTATTTTTTTAAATAAAATTAAAATATATTTGTGCACTTTCTCAATATACCAATTTCATGTAAAAAATCATCTAATTTTTATTCATCTTATTAAATTATTAGATTAAAATTTATTAAATGGTTTTTAAGAATGTTATATTTTATACTTAGTAAAGTTCATGTTGAAATTTAAGTTTACAATTTGAAAGTACAAACAAATTTTTATTGCTCTAAACACAAATATATATTCTACTAAGTAAAAAAGAAAAATGATTTTATCTACAAAATTATATTCACATAAAGACACATAAGTACATATGTGTACATTGTGCGCCTGTGTGTGCGTGTCATTATGTATTATTATGATAATTTAATCAAAATAATATATCTTCGTGCACACACCTGTGTGCTCATTAGCTACTCATATTACAATTAATAGTCATTTATAATTATTATGCATGACACATCGCATATTTATGTAACATGAATTTATTTGTTTTGTTTTTAATATATTTATTAAATTATATATGTAAATAGAAATATGTAATATGCCTAACATTAAATAAAAACAACAATTTCCAATAATATATGTATACACGCACTTGCATATATTTATATTTATATTTTCAACGTAGAAAATTAATAGTATAAAATAATCTTATATCTAATATCGTTTGACATAAAGAATTGTTATTGAATAATTTAATTGAAATCTTCCTATCGTTTATTAACAGCAAATTTTATACAGAAAAAACAGCGATCTATTGTGTTAAAAGATATTGAACTTTCGATCTGTAATGGAATTATTTTTTTTATTATTATTAGTACATTATTTTCATTTTCAATCCTGTGCATGAGAAATATTTCACATTAATTGCATTATATTGCATAACTGTTCATGACAATGCAATTTCACTCATACTCATTGTTACCAATGTACATGATAACGAATACTAAAAATGTGTGAGTGTGCCGATAGTGTTTCTTCGTAGTTACATTACTGAAAAAACGTCAGTCGCAAAGATAGTGGCGTACATTTTCATCAGTACTGTTGGAAATAGTTGAACAATATTTTCTTCTCAGTAAAATGCCTGTAAAATGCCTCAGTAAAATATCTTGGCCAGTTGTTGGAGCTGTTATTCACCCTAATATAGGAGGATGGGCCGGAAGTTACTTCACTAGAAAAAATATTAAACCCTGGTATGAGGTAATTAAATCGATTAATCGTTAGAACCATTCAAATACAGTAGTAACATCTAGAAATAGTAAACTCTAAAAATTTTAACCGATAGATTTAATCTATAAGAAAATGTATATAAAAACCGGCATTAAATGTTTAATTACTATAAAATAAGAATTTGTTTTTAAATAAATCATATATTTGCATTTCATTTTATTACAACATAGTCTTAAAAAAAATCTTATATATATTCAGTAACTTAAAAAATATTAATAAAATGACTGCATTGTTTTTATATTAAAAAAAATTCACTCGGTTTTAATAAATTGCAATGTATAATATATGATTAATAGATTATATTGAAATTCTTTTAATTATATTGATATTCTTTTCAAATAAAAATCAGATAATAAATCTTTTTGATGATACTTAACAGTCTTTGAATAGACCATCTTGGACTCCACCAAACTGGGCATTTGCTCCAGTATGGACAACTCTCTATTGCACAATAGGATATTCTTCATATTTAGTGTGGAAAGATGGTGGTGGTTTCAGAGAAGCAATAGTACCTCTTTCTATTTATGGAACTAATTTAATATTAAATTGGTCTTGGACACCATTATTCTTTGGATTACACGAGATAAAATGGGTATTTTGATAGAAATAAACATATCATAGGTTTTAATTACTTTTCTAATTATCTTCTTTCATGGCTTTTTAGGCTTTATATGAAATTGTTTTATTGTGGGGAAGCACTGTAGCAATGGGTGTGTCTTTCTATCATGTGAATCCACTTGCTGGTTATTTGATTATTCCATATTTAGCATGGACTACTCTTGCTACAGCATTGAACTATACAATTTATAAGAATAACAAACCAAGCATCGAACCAGCTGCAGATGAAAAGAAAAAATAATGTACTTGATGATTCTTTTGTAGCAAACAACATTAATGTAAATCACCTAATGAAAACAATGTTTTACTCTATTTTTTTTACAGTTATTATATCATTACCATTTAATAAGAAATGTGCCTTGCATTGAACGCACAATGCTATTAGTATACACATGTTTATTGTTTGATATGAAATAAAGGTTAGTCATAAAGTTAATCAACCATACGTACATTACAATATATATATATAATATAATATCTATATTATATATATAATTATAATTCATTATTCGCATCATTAATAAATCATATAAAGAAACTTGTACAGAATCACTTTCGTATTCTTCCGCAGAGTAATCTATCCTATTCTGTATAAGATCTAACAAACTGTATTATATATGTCATCTTAAATTTTCTACAATGTCATCTTTGTAGCAAGATCATTATGATCAATGAATTAACAGGTTTTATACAGAATAGGGCAGAATATCTTACAGAAAAGAGATATCGAGCACGGTACAGATTTGGGCGGGTCACTGTACTCTGCTGCCATTTTTCACAAGCGCTATGTAGGGTCAGTTGCGTAAATGTAACCTTGTTGTTGAAGTACGTACAAGCGTTTTTCAACAGCATCTTTATCTAGAATATAATAAAATAATAAATTAAAATAAGAAAATACATTCCAGAATAAAAAAAAAATATATATATATAAATTACATTTAATAAGGAGGGCTCTATCTTGACTGTGGCTGACATGTTGTGACAAAGAATGGAGCAATATCTGTGCTGTATGATACCGCTGGAAACATTCTGCAGGATTACCAAACAATTCATCAAGTGCTGCTGATTGGCACTGTGGAAAAAGTTAACTCTTCATAAATACATATACATCAACATATACAATTTGGTAAATCTACCAAATTCATAAGAAAAGAAAAAGAAAATTGGCCACACTTACCATTTGAATGGCATGATTATACAGAATTTTATCTGCAGTAGCTCCAGTCTGATGAAGAAGCCCAGCACTATTGAGCTGTTTACATTCAGCAAGACATGTTCTAAATTTTTCGTTCATTGTGTTTACAACTGAAATTGTCATCATTTTCATATTATTATATTTTATATGCAGAAATTAGAATAAACGAAATAAATAAATTACCATCTTTAACGGTGGCAGTTGGCTGCAACCGACCAGCCTTCAATTGTTGAGTTGCAAGACTTAATCCAGAACTGAGCCATTGAAGAGCTCTGACAAGTAAAATTACTTGTTCTGCTCTTCTCCTCGTTGCAGCAGTGCTTGCTTGTTCAATACCACCTAAAGGCGCACCTAAAGGTCCTGCTTTTGTTCTTGCTACTTCACACACACATTCGCATAATGCAACAACAAAGTTTAACTTTGCTAATATTTCGTTGTGTTCTCGTTCCAAAAGCGTCTCCTCTGGAAGTTCAGGTGCGAAGAACGTCAATGGCTGATCATCTATCGTAGGATTTACTTCTGGTAAAAGATTCTGGAAACTACCCGCTTCTGTAAATTTAATGTAAAAAAAAATACAAAATTATTACCCTTTAGTTAGTATAAAATATTTCTTTTGTTAGAATACAAACATACGCACCAGATATTTCAGGAAGAGTAACAGCTCTTGTACCAAAAGGAATAACTGGTGAATGTCTCAGTGTGTTGTTATTATCCTGAAATGCTCTCGATGTAGGAGAACCTAAGACTGCTAATGGCCCTGTTAGTAATGGCGAAGATGCACTATTATTCCCAGTCGAACGCCGTAATGGAGACGTCCCACTGGAAGTATGTGAATGCCTTGCAACAGGACTAACTTGCCATGTATTTGGCGGTGGAGGTGTTTCACTTAATCTGAAAATAATTACAGTTAAATAAAATTATACAATAAAATTAAATATCATCATAAAATTATATATCATATATATAAAATAATTTATATGAACAGAAAGTTTGTATTGTTTGTACCTCCTACTGGGTGGTGTACCAATAACAAATTGAACACTAGGTGGACTAAGAGAGCCAATGTCAGGAGCATGACTCCTATGCGTATCCACACTGCGTTTCATACTTATAGGTTGAGAGCGAGGAACAACACTACTTCCTGATCTTACATTAGTAGAAGGAGATGATGGTTGTGCAATACTTCTTTGAGACGGAACAGGAATTGGTTCCGAAATGGGAAGGAAGCATGGTCGTGGTGGACTCACTGCTTCTCTACTAGTTTGTTTGACATACCTAATCAATTAATAACAATATTATAAACATAATAAATAAAAATCTTTTATATAGATTATATTGTTAAACTACGTACTTTATTTGCGTATTAGTATTATTGTCTGTGTCACTGCTGAGATCACTTGGCACAAGTACAAAGTCATCTTCAGGACTGGAACACGGACTAGTAGTTTCTGGTTCTAATCTTGTAACAGCTGTACCCACTTGAATCGCTAGTGTTCCTGGAGAAGCAGGAAGTTCAGCAGGAACAGGACTTGGGCTTTCCCTGGAACCTTGAAGGAAAGGATGCCCAAAGAATTCATCGAATGGCATACGATCTCTAGCATTACGTCTTAACAAGCCCATTAAAAGATCTGATAATTCAGGTGAAGTTCCAGGTGGAATTCTAAAATATAAGCAATTAAAACACAAAAAAAATGAATATGGCTTTTGTTTCTTGGCGAAAAAAAGAAACATTGCTTAACGTACTTAGGTCCAAGATTTGCATTTTTCTCATAAAATAATTTCAAAGCTTGAGGTGTATGAGCTTGAAATGGAGCTTTTCCAGTAAGACATTGAAAAACTATCGTTCCTAAAGACCAGAGATCTGCTTTTGCATCATATTGAAGTGACATTATAACTTCTGGTGCCATATACATTGGTGAACCGCATAATGTTGCTGCCATTACACCATCTTGTAAGAATCTAGCAAACCCAAAATCCGCTGGAATTTAAAAAGTATATTTTAAAATCTTTGATCTTTACTTATATTTCCAATTAAATTGAATAAATTGCAAAAACAAATAAATAATACTTACCAATCTTTAATGTTATCTGGTGTGGCTGTGGACAAGCCTTGCCACAATTATGACTGAGTAAAATATTTTGCGGTTTAAGATCTCTATGGACTACACCTTTGGCATGTAGTGCTTTCATTGCACCTGCTAGTTGCTTTAAAAATACTCTGATAGTATCTTCAGAAAGAGTTCCTTTTGCTAATGAATAAATAAAAAGAAAAAATAAAATAAATAAGTTGAACTTTAGCTTTTGTAGACATTTCAATATTTTAATAAGAGATTTTTTTTTTATAGAAAACATACCACTTAGATAATCAGCTAAATCCCCACCATTACAATACTCCATAACCAGGAAGACATTATGATTAGACTCCTAAATAATAAATTCAGAATTATACCACTAATACTATTATATAACATTTATAAAGAAATTAAAAATATTTAATGATTACTAATATAAGCATTATATATTAATTTTTATTATACTAACCTTGCAATCCAATAAAGCGACAACATTTTCATGATGTAATTCTGTTAGTTCCTAAAACATAATGTTTTAGTCAGCAATCAAACTCATTAACCAGCTGTTATTAAAATATAAAACATCCTATCTTAACCACAGGCAACTTTTATGAGATGATATATGTATTACCTTTATATTTTTTATAATAAATATTATTGTTTTATTAATAATTAATAACAATTGTTTTACTAATCAATCTATGAATTATAAGTATTATATAATTATTGTACAATGTTATTTCATGTAAATAAATAATATTTTTTCTTTCATAACAAGTCAAAAACAAACAGAATATAGCACAAACATATTTCTTATTAAACTACAAATTACAAACCTTCAAAATTTTGATCTCTTTCCCAAGTAGATTCTGTGATTTTGCCAAACTTTTTTTGGTGATACTTTTAATTGCCACTACAAAATTTGGTTTCTACAAAGAAAAAGGTAGTCATATAATTGTTAATACACGTAATTGAAGATGACAGGAGAAAAACAATATAACAAGTCATACTTTTCATGTTTTATAGGACAATTTTCAAATACAATATGTCGTTAATTTTATATTACCTATTTATCTTCTTTTTATATAAATTTTATTATTAATTATATGCATATTTTTGCCACTTTCTTGAACATTTCATATTGTCATAACATAAATATTGTCATAACATTATATTACTGGTTTCTAATGAAACTTCCATCTGAATTTAAGTCTCAACTAAAAGTATTGGAACCTTCATGAAAATTGTTATGTATATACTACACGTATTATATAAAATATTTTGAAATCTCATTAGCATTATAATCAAAAACATAATAGTCATGATTATATTAATAAAATTTGAAATCAATGTGAAGATGTATATAAAAATTACAAAATATTCATTGCAAATATATATTTAATAAAGAAAAAACTAACACATAACATGAATAAATGTATAATATGAACCACTGAATACCAAGATTTATTAATATAAAAGATAATTGACTGTTTATAATCTTTACAATATATATGTATATACTTGTAACTTCTACATGTATATATTTTCAAATACATTTCAAACTTTATCAATGTAATCATGGTAGCTGAATCTTGTTACAATACTGACGAAATTTCAAAATGTTTTATACAACAGATACAACATGTTAACAAAAGATTTCTATAACTGTTTGAATACTTGTAAATACATTAGTACTGTATTGTTAAAATATGTGTATATGTTAAAATATGCCCTTTTAGCCATCAAACATCAAAATTATAAAACACAAACTTATCATGCTCTTTTACTCGTGGCCCTCAATTGCGATCAATCACTGTTAAATTATTGTCTGGCCAAATTGTTCTCTTTATCATTTCTATTTACGATCAGAATTCTGAATGATCAAAGAAACGCAGGAAGACTCACTTTACGATGTCTACCTCTGAAGACCACGGCGAATGCGCCGTGGCCTATCAGATCTTTTGAGTTGTACTCGTAGTCGCCGATGAATTCCATTGTCGATCGTGATTTCTCTGCGACTGAGGATTTTTCACCGATCTTTTACAGGCAAGGTCAATAGTTTACAAACATAGCACGATAGGCTAAGAAGATGCATTGCCCGTGGAGAGAGATCGATACGCGTTGCAAGAAAAGTTTCCACACCGATTTCGTGTGATATCGTTCCTCTTTCCCTAGACGATCCTTCTCAAAGACTCAAAGAAGTCGCCACTCTACATTTTGTCCACCCTTGTAAATCACATCAATCATTAACTCGGATCACCACAATGATGGTAGGCACAGTCGCAAAATACAAAACACAACGGAGTACACACTCAGTCGTACAGTTGCCTTCCCAAAATGTCAGACGATTCCGCACAGAGGTCGTGTTAACATTCCATAGGTACGTAACTATCACATTAGAGGCCCATAACATAAAATTTCTTCAAATTCGCTCGTAGACATATAAAAATTTTACGTCGGTGACGTAGATTTTTCGTAATTTCAAGTTCATATAAAATTTATCTGCTCGCTGAAATTAGAAAAATTTTTAATGGCAGTAATATTCTTTAACTCGACTTTATGTGATGCTACCGCAGAATCTTGCAATGAGATTTGTTATTTGGAATATGAAAATATATATATACACGTACTTTTATAAAATTTGAAAGAATCATAAAAAGAAAGAAATCATTGAGGTTTTATATATATTAAGAAATATTAAATTAAATGTACATGATGTAATGTATAGTATGGTAATATTTTAGTATAGTAATAAAAAACAGTTTCCACTATTAGATAGTCACGTATGATTTACTTTATGTAGTATACATCAAAATCATTAAAATTAAAATTACTAATTAATGAAATATTATAATATAATAAAGAAATTCTGTCGATAAATGTTAGAGTATGTTAAATAATAATAACTAATCAATAACACTATAAATATAATTAGCATATTTTCTTTCTTGCGAGTACCATAAAGGGGCTACAAATTACCAATCTACAGCCTTGCAAAATTCAAAATATAACTATAATCAGCCATGGACCGTAAGACTGCATACACATGCATACACACATTGGAGTCCAAATAATCCAGTGTAATCTTCATGTATTTAGCATTCTACTATTCCATAAATGTGATTACAATGGATCTATATTTATATGTATATTCTTCCAATGGCTTCTCAATCGATTTCAAAACTCCGATTAAGATTTACACATCCTGCTAATTTTTTCACACAGATTCCATCAGAGAAGTTTTCGTTCTTATAATTAGTTCTGTTACTACAGAATATATCTTGGAATATATCAGAAGTATTAAACACGAAAATTATGAAGTATATTTATCGCATTATGAAATTAATTTCGTTGTTTTATATATATATATAAAGTATTTTAACCATTTCGAAAAGCATTAGAATAATAAAAAGCATTATAAAGTAATGAGAATTCTAGAGAACTGCGTGTCGCATGTAAAGATTATTGAACAATTGTCGAGCGCGAAGTTTCAAATTTTGCGTTTTGCGCATATTATATATATATTAATAACGCCCTCTGAGCCAAAGAATTCACAAATAAATCTTATATCTTAACTGTATTATATTCGTTTTCTCAACTAAATATTATAAATAGTTAATGGAAATTATCAATATGAGATTTATCAATATGGTTTAATAAATTTTTATATTATATTATATTTATAACAATGTGTTACATCTCAGAGAGGAACATTTCAGCTAAGGAGCACAAATATTCACGCCCGATGAATGTGAAGGAGAGGAGTCATGTCGTGTGTTTAGAGTTTGCATTTCGTCTCGGAGACAGACTCATAGTAGGCGATTCTGGTGATGACTCCTGTCCCAGACGCTTGTGTGAGGAACTCAAAAGATGGGTACCAGTGATCGTACCCATCTTAGAATTAGAGCTATGCCCTATGATTATTGGAGATTGAAGATGTTGAACTTGCATTTGTTGAACGATCACTACGAGGACGCGACATTAGATGGAGCCATTATCTCGCATCATGGTTGCCTGTCGTAGAAAGAGACATTAGAGAGTTGGAATGAGAATATGTAAGAACCACAATTGCATATAATTTTCAAAGTATACAATATGGAAGTGTAAGTAACTATTTCTTTATATTTATAATTACTTTAGAGAGTAGATTTTAAATATTTTCAAAATAAATTTTATACTTTAGGCTCAAGGATTGTTCGGCGTATTTAAGCAATTATGAAGTTTTAAATATTCTGCAAAATATAAAGTCAGATAAAAAGCAAAAAATGAAACAAAATCAATTAGCAAGTATAACATATCAAACTGTAAGATATTTAGAAGAGACTCCATGTAAAAGACAAATACCTGAAAAAATTAGAGGCTTTCTAAAAGCATTAGAACCTTATAATTTGACAAAGTGTGAAAAATTGACTCTTTTAAATATGTCTCCTAAAACACCTCTTGAAATACAACTGGTAATTTGAAATTTCTAATATGAAATATATTTAGAAATATTACTATGTATTACTATATATATTTACATGTAATGCTGTATATTTTTTAGATTATAGAGGATAGTGAAGATCGTTTAACTGATGATGAAGTAAATTCTTTACTTCAGGTAGTAGCAAACTTTTTAGGTGAAGATGAACAAGATGGATAGCACAATTGTAAAACTATTTTAACTGTACAAATCTTTAAAAAAACATTTTTTATACTTTATGTACATTTTATTTATATTAAACAAAAATGAAAATGATATAATATTAAATACATTATGTAAGTAAACTTTTGGTTGGCTCATTATCTTTTCTGATCCCCTAGGTCATCTATAGAATCTTCATCAATCTAAAAATGAATGAAATGTTATAGTTGTATTATTTATTTTATTATTCAGAAAGCTAATTATTGTTCTTACTTGTGGCCATTTTTCTGGAATTACTTCAAATAATTCATCTTTTACATCTCCCTGTATAACTATTTCATCATCTCCTGTTACACTAGATCCACATGCAAATTTACTACCAAAAAATTTTGCAGCTACTTTTAGATCTATGTCTGTAATACAAATAAAGTTTTGATTAATTTAGTTAAAATAATTGAGCAATTATCTCATTTAAAAGGAATTTCTATAAATAAATGTTTCATATTACCAAAAGTGCTAAGACCAGTGACAACTGTAACAGATTTCTTTTTCCCTCTAGGTGCTCTAGAGACAGTCACTAATTTTGGAACATCTTCCTTTTTCTTTGTCTTAAGCATACCTTTACCACCACGTTTTTGTCGTTTCTTTTCATCTTCACCTCCACTCGTCTCTGTGGTATTATCTTCTACTGCTCATAAGTAAATAAAATTATATGATTGCAATAGTAAAATTTCCAATTTGAGAATAATACCATAAAAATTATAATTACCTAATTTAACTTTCTCAAATTCTGTTGGTAAATTCCTTTCTAACCACTGCTTACATTTTTCATATTCTGGATAATACTCACAATACTGTAATGGAAATGCGAATTAAATTTTCAAAAAATCTAAGCATTATCTTTTTGTCATACAGTACAAATGTCAGATACCTATCGTTCAAGATTGTCTTACCTCAATAGGAAGAGAGCAATTTCCACAGTATTGTACTTGAATTGGATAAGTGACATTAGGATCAGGTCCTAAACGCAAATTTGGAGATTCTTCTGCCGACATTCTATCAGACGCTTAACCTCGCTTTCGTACACTTTAATATGAATTTAACAGATAAGACGTTAATCTCCTATCAATTCCTTTCAATTTACTTTTTTCTTTCAAAAAATATTTTCTTATAAAATGTATAACAGTTTTCTTAAATAAAGTATAAAGAATTTCTTATTCAAATTCTAACAGAAGGTTAGTAATTCGACATCTAGTAATTTTAATTCTGTTTTGTTAGATACCAAAAAACATCACTTCTGCCAATATCTACCAACGGAGGAACGTTCTAATAACGTCCAACTTCAAAAGGAACCGCACCGTTTGGTACACTGGCAACGACAAATAATAATCGTTTGAAGAATAACGAGGGGCTAGTCACGTGACGGGCAGCACCAATCGAATGCGCCGATTCGATAACCTGCTAGACGTGATAACCAATCATGTGTATTAGACTTTGTACTTCGTTCGAAACGCACGTGCAGTAGAGAAAAGCGGCTCGGTGTGCCTCAGAGTTAGTGTGCTGCCTCGTGAAAAGAGTTCGGGACGTTTCGTTCTTTTGGGTGTATAATTTTTACGAAGTGTGCGCGCGTGTCACTGTGAATAATAAAAACGTGCTTGTTTCTAGAGTCGTTTAAAAGCTTGATAGAGATTGTCAAAGAAAGATGACATTGGGCGCACAGATAGAGACCTCCGCGGAAAATGGGAGTATGAAAATCCCTCTGCTCAATAGCAGTGAAAGACGAACCAGCACTGGTTAGTATAGATTTTATGATCGGCAACTGTACATTTCCTTATTTTTCATGGTTAGGCAGCGTATGACCGATCACGTTATATAATGATTCGATCAGGTTACCATGTTCTGTCCGTTTTAATGTACACCTTTAACGATGCCGCCTTAGCCAAAAGCCGGGCCCTCGGTGTTATGTAACGCGCGCATTGCGCGAATCTATGTAGTGCGGGGTCATGTGAGGCTTTTTCCAAGAGAGAAACTAGCAGAAGACATGATCAGAACTAGCAGACGAATCTTTGCCTCTTTCTCCGCCCGATTATCACCGAGAATAACGACTTCGTCCTCCTCGTTATTCTTGGCCCTCGTTTTGCAAGCAGTTGCACAAGAATGCACAAACGTATCGTTTGACATACCTCTTCCCTAAAGACGCATCTCCCAATCGATGTGCAATCTCCATTTAACCTTTTCTCGTTACTTTTCCGTATTTTGCATCTAGGTATATCGAGTCGGAGGCAGATCGTTCCGATCACACGAAGGAAATTAATTTGAAGCACGTGATTAGTTTCTTCCTGGATGATGAAACTACGTTACCTGCCCTGCTTAATCATTCATTTTAAATGTCTATGAAATTTTAAAATTTTCACACTTGCGGAACACGCTTTGTCAGTTGTTAGAACTTTCTGTTATTATTCTGTCACGTTTGTAAATATTAAATAAATGCCGGGTCATGAAGAATGTTTATACAAAATAAATGCCTTTATGACCCCAATGAATCAAGTAGAAATTTATGTTTAAATTTATTCTAACAGTAACAATGCTGTTCATGTATTAATATACAGTCTAGTAATTTTATCGTTTTATGTATTTTTGAAGACTGTATGCATCCCGAGTATTTTTATACAATTTACGTAATCTAATGACTGTTGATTATCAAATGTAGATAATTTTTATGGTAATATTTCAGTTCGTGGCATTCATATATCCTTATGTATACACATACACGTGATTATATAGGTTCGAAATAGGCGTAGCATATCTGAGAATAATAGGAATTATGTAAATTGTGTTATGTAGATTCTCCTATTCAGTTTGAGTAGTTTTATTTTCGAGATCTAACTGTCAATGGAAAAGAAATGTGGTTTTTGAGAAAAAGCTATAAATTTTTCGGGAGAGATGTGTTCATCACTGTCGATTGACGCTAGGTCCGTTCTCTTAATTTAATCTTGTTTTAGAACTCTTATTTCGTGAAAAAGGAGCCGAAGGAAAACACGTGCATGTTAATGACCTTTCGCGCATAGGCGTAGTAACAAGGAAATTTTAAATTATGAAAGATGTTAAAATATTTTTTAAAAGAATGTTTTTATCATGAAATATGTTCTATTTTAGTTAATTTGACAAAAATAGTGTACTTTTTTTTTTATAAAACTACGTCAATTTATATATAATATTTTGTAATCTTAAGTTAGTTTGCAATTTTATTATATATAAATGAATATATAATGAACATATGTGCATAATGAATGAATACATGTACATAGATAAATATATTATATGTATAATATAAATATATATTTTTTTTATTTATGTATATCTTTACATATTTAAGTTGATCATTTTTCATAATCAAAATATATTATAAAATATTTTATAATTATTTAATAAAATAAAGGAAAAAAAAGGATCGAGTTTTAATGATGCTAGAACAGTGATTTATAAACTTTTATAAAGGTTATGTTTTGAAAGAACAATAGTGAATTGCAAAGAATTATCGATACTAGGGGTTATCGGTATTCCTGCTGACGTTATTTCCCTTATGTCTTTAGTTTCTGATACATTAAAATTACATTTTATTGAACCATCTTATGCAATTTAAAAATTTCGTAAATTAAATCTTTGATAGACATATATATGCACGTTCAACAATTAATATAGACATGTTAATTGATTTTACTTTCATAAACATATCATAAAATGCTTATGTAAGCGTTTTTACATGTGAAAATTTTTTCATCGAAATACTTTAAATAAATTAGACAAAGCTTTCTTTGTAATTTATTTGTGATATGTTACTATGATTATCAATTTGATTCTGCATATGTATTTGATATATTTTCGATATTTTCTTAAGTTAAGATTAGTTGCTTTGAATATGTATCTGAACTTGAGATTTATAATGATTCTTATCAATCTGTTTATGAGCAGTCATCTCGTGAATGGTTTCGAAACTGCCTTCTGACTGTAATAATGAAATAATATTACATTCTCTGACACGTGTAATTTACTGGTCGGTACTTATTGAGTTTGATGTTTACATATCGATTGGAATACCTGTGATTGTATGTTAACATCATCATCTACAACATATTGCCATTCTTCTTTGATCGATATTATTTCCTTTTATATCGATTCTTGAATTTTTAATCTAAATAATATTATCAATATTTCTTTTTATTAATGATCCTTACGATTTATTTTTGTTAAAAGCTATTAAGTAGAATATTTGATAATCTTGTTTTCTAAAAAAAATAAATAATAAGTATTCTTTTATTTTATAATTTTTTCCGGTAAAAAAATTTGTAAAAAAGTAGAACTTTAGAGGAATTTGTTAAGTAAAATGGGAAATATAAAATCGCGTTCAAAAAGCTTTTTTCTTTAACGCTTTAGCTTCTTATCTTCGAGCCTTTTTCATAATTTCTTATCTCTTCTTTTAGTAATAGAGAAACTTGAAAAAAAGGAACAGTTTTTGTACAAAATAGTAAGATGTACGATAAGAATGCGATAAAGTAATTCGTGTCTAAGATAAATTGCTGTAATACAATATATGTGTTCGTAGGACCGTACAACCGAAAGATTTAATGTAGACGATAAGATAATTCCAGCAACAGAAGAAAAAAACTGATAAAAGCTGTTCACATCATTACAACTATAAATACTTTAGATTCTTAAATATTTTGAAAAGATTCGTATGATCCGCTATACAAATTTTTATATTGATCTTGTAAAAATAAATGTTATTATGCACGTAATATTTTTGTAAATGTTCAGAGATTTTTTGCTTAGAAAAAATTAATTGTTATTTCAGAAAGATTGCATCTAAGTGTTTCATATATTGTTCTGTTTCAATTTTCTTTCAATCTTGATATTCCTGGGTGAACGCCCTCTAAGATCAATGATTTTTGATTGAAGATAATTCGATGAACAATCAATAACCATTACAATAACATCAAAATGGATGAATATACTTGAGAATAAACGTTTTTAATCTTACGTATAATTTTAATCTTACGTATATTATTTTCATTTATTTGCATTCTTATTAAATCTTTCAGTTCTTTCAAATCATTCTTAGTAAATCATCTTTTACAATACTTTAAGAAATAGTGTCGAAATTTGGAAGTTTGCCAATAAATTCGCAACAGGTATTCAATAATTACCATTTATTTTAGAGCATCTAAATGCTAAAGTATTTATTTAATACATATTGAAAATATGATAGCGTAATATATACCTATTCTAGTTGTTTTTCTTTTTCCTTTCTTTATTTATTGATCAAACAATTATTAATATTAATCTTATTTTTAGTAAAAAGTAAATGCATCATAAATATCTAATATCTGTATGCTATAGGTTGTAACATACACGTATTATTTATTTTTACAGTCATCACAATCCATCGTAATCATCAATCACAAAGTAAATGTTAAAAATTCAACTTTTCATCAATTAAAATTTCATTCTATGTATGTCTTCAATTCCAATTGTTATCGAATTACACTTCTATATATGTCTTTAATTTCAATTATTACTGAATTATGTACAAATTATTGTCAAGTGAAGGCCAGTAAAGATCAAGGTTTCACAGGTATAAATTTTATTTGAAACATGTACATTCGAGACGCATCATCAACATAAGATAGTTACTGATAAGCGGACTGCCTCGTTATGAGTTGTAATCAATGTTATAATTCACTTAAGATTGACATATGCCAGAAATGGATATATATCGCAAACATAGTATCGATAAAATTAGTACGGCATTTGAGTGCGGACTATTTACATTGCCGTTTATTTATAAGTACATTGGTGAATGCAAGTGGCAGCCCCACGGATGTTCACTGTCGTGTCTAGTCGAAAATGCATCTTGTTTCCATGGAAATAATAAGTGAATTTGATTACTCATTATTATTGCTGTTATCTGTGTTGAAATATCGTCATTTATTAAAAAAAGATATACAGATATTGAAAGTACGTAAAAAAATAGATGGCTCGTAATATTCATTTAAAGAAAGAAGATAGTAATTTAAAATATTATCAAAATTAATAGTTTTGACTAAAATATTATCAAAATTAAAGTTTTGACTAAAATATTTGTTATTATTTTGGTTGTTTCATGATTTCACTAATTCTTGCTAGAACTGTATAAATAATTCTAATATAGTTCTATTTTTAATGCTACGGTATTTAATACATGCTGTAAATTTGCGATAAAATTGCAAAAATGTTAATGAGACCTTGGCTAATATAGATTGAAAATAATCTTGGTATGTATTATGTAAAATACAAGTAAAAATATTCTTATGTCATCCATTTTGTGTATTTGGTTAATATAATTTAATATAATTTTTTGATTAATCTTAACTTTATATATATAACTTAATTTAGTGATTAACGGTTTTATAAACTTCAATGTTTGAGTAAAAATTTGTGGATTCTTATGTTTAGATATGAAGGAAACTGCGGAGGAAACCGGAAGTACGAGCACAGCCGCGAAGAACGTCGTTGAGAAAGGTGAAGTCGAAGCCACGAAAGAGAAAGGGAACGAGAAAGAAAAAGAGAAAGAGAAGGAAGAAAAGGAAGAAGACAAGAACAAGAAAAAGGATAAGAGTGAGAAAGAGGATAATGATAAGGATGCTGGAAGTGAACAAGAAATCGTTTTCATTCAAGATATGGGATTCACTGTTAAGATTGTTAGTCCAGGTGCTGAACCCTTTGATATCCAAGTTTCCAGCATGGAGTTGGTTCAGGTAAGTAATCACACGTTTAAGCATTTTTTCCTATATGATAAAAGAAGATTTATGCTTTCTACTTACGATGATAGAAAATAAAAAAAGAAGTAAGTAATAAATTTTATTATTATTATTATTTTTCAGGAAATCCACCAGTTACTCATGGATCGCGAGGACACCTGTCACCGCACATGCTTCTCCCTTCAACTCGATGGTAACACACTGGATAACTTTGCCGAGTTAAAGAATATCGAAGGCCTAAAAGAAGGTTCAGTTATTAAAGTCGTGGAAGAACCGTACACTATGCGAGAAGCTCGTATACATGTTCGACACGTCCGAGATTTATTGAAATCTGTGGATCCAGCGGACGCTTACAACGGCGTCGAATGTAGCAGTTTATCGTTTCTAAATGTAGTTACCAATGGTGATATCCTTGAGAAGAAAAAGACCAGAGCAGACTCGGTTGATTGTACTCCGCCTGATTATATTATACCTGGCTGTAAAGATAGACCATTGTTACCCTTACAACCGCAAGCCAAAGAACAAAAATGTCCTCCTTGTTTAAAAGTAATATACATAACACATATACTAATATACATAACACATATAAATGTTTATTATTTAATGTATTATTTATATACATGCTTAGTTGATTAATTTATTTATTATAGGTATTAACAACATCCGGATGGAATCCACCACCCGGTCACAGAAAACTGCACGGTGATTTATTATACTTACACGTGGTAACGTTAGAAGACAAGCAATATTATTTGACCGCGTGTGCCAGAGGTTTCTTCCTCAATCAATCGACAAAAGAAGTATTTAATCCAAAACCGGCGACTCCGAGTCATCTGTGTCATAGTTTAATTGAATTACTGAACCAACTCAGTCCGGCTTTCAAACGGGGTTTCGTTGCTATGCAAAGACGAAGAACGCAGAGACATCCATTTGAACGAGTAGCCACACCTTATCAACTTTATGCCTGGTGTGCACCTCAAATTGAACATACAATTGATGCAATACGCGCTGAAGATAGTACGTTTCGTTTTATACAAATTAACAAAACATTAAATTCTATATTACTCGCATATGGTTATCGTATATTACTTGAATTATATTTTTTATTTTATTATTGAATTATTACAATCATATGTTTTATTACCAACTTCAGTTTTCGTGAAGTTCATACTTGAAATTAACCGATTAGTTGATTAATGATTAATATTAAGGTGTTAATTATGTTGCATCATGATTTTATGTTTGATCATCCATTTCGTTTATTTGTGAACAGCTTTCTCTTCTAAATTGGGATACGAAGAACATATACCTGGCCAAACTCGAGATTGGAACGAGGAGTTGCAAACAACGAGAGAGTTACCTCGTAAAAACTTACCTGAAAGATTACTTAGAGAACGTGCTATTTTTAAAGTATGTCTATGATCAACACATTAATTGTATCTCAATGTATTCCTACAATAACGTAATTGAGTTTTGTACAATACATGGGTAAATTCAGGTTCACAGTGATTTTGTCGCTGCTGCTACTCGAGGTGCAGTAGCCGTAATAGACGGTAATGTAATGGCAATAAATCCCGGTGAGGAGGCAAAGATGCAGATGTTTATTTGGAACAATATTTTCTTCTCTCTTGGGTTTGATGTCAGAGATCATTATAAGGAACTCGGCGGCGATGCTGCTGCTTTCGTTGCGCCTAAGAACGACTTACAAGGTCTTAGAGTATATGCTGCCATTGATCTACCTGGTCCTTATACGCTTGGTACTGTTGTAATCGATTACAGGTTTGTATGAAATTAGATACACGCATCCCTTTCATCACATTATTTGTACGACGTGGGTATTTTGTAGCGGGTCATTTGTACATACTTGTTCGATGTTCAGTATTCTATCGCAACTTAAATCTCAATCAAAAGGATGTTAAGTTTTCGTGGTAATCACTCGTATTCCTCTGCATAGAGGATATCGTGTCACCGCTCAGTCAATCATCCCTGGAATCTTGGAACGCGAGCAGGAGCAATCTGTTGTTTACGGTTCTATAGATTTTGGGAAAACGGTTCTTTCGCATCCAAAGTATCTTGAATTGGTTAGTTTACAATAATAACTTTATGTAACTTCTGTAAAAAGTATTTATTACTAGAATAATTTTATATCACACATGTGTATTGTGCTTTACAGTTGAATAAAACTGGTCAGCTATTAAAAATTCTTCCTCACAAAGTTATTAACGATGCTGGGGAGGAGGTTGAACTTTGCAGCAGTGTAGAATGCAAAGGTATAATTGGGAATGATTCTCGACATTATGTGTTGGATTTATTACGAACTTTTCCTCCTGATGTTAATTTCCTCAAATGTAAGTTTATAACAATGTATCTGAAATTAGTTATTATTATTATTATTATTATTATTATTATTATTATTATTATTATTATTATTATTATTATTATTATTAAATTTTCACCCTGTGATTTTCGTAGTGGAAGGAGTTGAACTGAGCAAAGAAGCTAGAGCTTTAGGTTTTCCAATTGAGCACAAGCATAAACTAGCTTGCCTTCGTCAGGAATTGATCGACTCCTTTGTTGAAGCTAGATATGTGCAATTTATTAAACATGCTGCTTTTCATTTGCAGCAACTTACATCTGCAAGAAGAGTGCAGAAGGAAAATGAAACTACTGTTAAGGTAAGAAACAATTATCAAAATTCATAAATATCAGTCCTAAATAGTATTACTATTTAACATTGCGTTGATTTCAGGAAGGTAAAAGAGAAGAATTAAATGCTGTTACAGTGGATAGTAACAAGGAAGATTCTACTCATACTTTGATAGAAACAGATGAAGCCAAAAAGATTGTGGAAAGTATTACTGATTCTATCACTGGCGGAGAGAAGCAAGAATGTATGTCATTTAATTATTTGTTTTATTTAAATAATACTTTGTTTAAATTCTACATTAAATCTTTTTTTTTTTTTTTTAGTGGAAGAAAGTACAAAAGAAATAGTTCGAAGGGCTGCAGCAGCAGTTGGTAGCTTACGAGAAGCAGAATTTGACGTCAGATTTAATCCGGATGTATTTTCACCGGGTGTTAAACATCCAGATCCAAATGGTCCTGCTTTAAAAAAACAAAAACAATTGGTGCAAGATGCCGCAGACTTTTTACTTACCGTACAAATACCTACTTTTGTAAGTTAGAATATTTTTATAGAATATTTTCATATTTGATATATCAGTTCAATTTCGTTCAAAAATATATTGATTTCAATCTTTTTATCGTAGATTCGAGAATGTTTAGATCATACAGCTGCCGCAATGGATGGTAGTATATTAGTGGAAGCTTTACACGGCAAAGGTATTAACGTACGATATCTTGGTAAATTAGCAGCTATGTTATCTACTGTTCCACAACTACAATATCTGAAACGTATTGCTGTTTCGGAACTTATTTTACGATCAGCGAAACACATTTTTACATTTTACATGCAGGTATATTGGTGAAAATTAAAGTGATGTTATTTTGTATTTTGTGTCAACATGAACTTAATTTTTTTCTTTTTTAGGGTACAGAACTAATGAGTCTTTCCGCAGCTATTAGTCATTTCTTAAATTGTTTATTTTCTTCTGCACAAATTATTCATCCGCAACAAAATCTGGAAGAGGTATGATTTTTTTTACAAAATAATATCAGTCAATTTAATATAATTTGTTTTAATGAAAATTTATATAATTGTCGGCGGATTTTCTAGCTTCAAAGTAAAACTGCCAAACGGCGTAATAAAAGAAAAGGTAGAAATAATGGTCCACAACAGTCCGAAGTGGAATGGGCTTCCTTAACGCCTAAATCTCTTTGGCAACAAATTAAAGCAGATCTAAAGAGTTATTACGATTGGGAGACACCGTGTCCGGAATCGTTAGATGCCACTATAGAACATTTTCACCTTCAAAAAATTTCTTTGCTTCGTAATTTCTGCATAAAGACTGGCATTCAAATTTTGTTACGGGAATATAACTTTGAGAATAAGAACAGAGCTACGTTTTTCGAAGAAGATATACTAAATATATTCCCTGTTGTAAAGCATATCAATCCTAGAGTAAGTAATACAGTTGAAATGTAAAAAATACGTCGTATAAATTTTCGTAATAAATTATTTAAATTTATTTTTTACTTCACTCAGGCTAGCGACGCATATAATTTCTATACAACTGGACAAAGCAAAATTCAACAAGGTTATTTGAAAGATGGATATGAACTTATTAGCGAAGCACTCAATTTATTGAATAATGTATATGGTGCAATGCATCCCGAAATTGCACAATGCCTTAGAATGCTTGCGCGATTGAATTATATAATGGGTGACCATGCGGAAGCTCTTGCTACCCAACAAAAAGCAGTCCTTATGTCAGAAAGAGTTAACGGTATAGATCATCCATATACTATTACTGAATATGTAAGTACAAAATAAATATATTTAATTAATAATTAAAAATACATAATTTAAAATTATTTTAATAATATTTTTATATGTCAACAGATTCGTCTAGCTCTATATTCTTTTGCCAATGGTCAAGTCTCTGTATCGCTTAGGTTACTGTACAGAGCACGTTATTTAGCGTTATTGGTTTGTGGTGAAGATCATCCGGAAGTAGCACTTCTTGACGTAAGTAATTTTAACAGGAATGAAAACTTAAAAACTCGACTTTTAATTTTGACTGATGTTAATTATTTGTTTAGAGCAATATTTCGCTGATTCTCCATGCTGTTGGAGAATATGAATTATCGCTTCGATTTTTGGAGCATGCTTTGGCCCTAAATCTTCGATATCATGGGCCACGATCTTTGAAAGTTGCTGTTTCTTATCATCTAGTCGCGAGAACTCAATCTTGTATGGGTGATTTTCGAGCAGCTTTAAATAACGAGAAGGAAACTTATGCTATTTATAAGCAACAGTTAGGTGAAGACCATGAAAAAACCAAAGAAAGTAGCGACTGTTTGAGACATTTAACGCAACAGGCTGTGGTACTACAGAAAAAGATGAATGAAATTTACACTGGAAAATCTGGTGTTAGCTTACCACCGATTCAAGTCCAACCGCCTAGTATGGGATCTGTACTTGATATGTTGAATGTGATTAATGGTATTTTATTCGTCCAAATCAGCCAACAGGATATTGAGAATTTCAAGGCGGAAATAGAGAAACGACAGAAAGAACAAACACCTGACAGAGAAACGAAGGTACTTCAGAACGGAAACAAGAAAAACGAAAATAAGAAAGAAGAGAAAGAAAATAAGAAAGAGGAAAAAGAAAATAAAAAGAATGAAAAAGAGAGCAAAAGAGAAGAGAAAGAGAATAAAAAAGACGAAAAAGAGAATAAGAAGATAGAAAAGAAGGTGGAAGTACAGAAAGAGTTGAAAAAATTGGAGGAAAGTAAGACAATGTTAGAATCAGTAGTAGCAGAGAGCTGAGCTTGTTTTAAACCGCTGATGATACTTAGTAGTTTTTTTTTGAATCCTAGTCTTTCCCTGCCCGCGTTTTTAAGAGTAACGCGAGTACGGTATATATAATATAATATTATTATATATATTAATATATATTATATATATTATATATATTATATATATTATATATATTAATATATATATATATTATATATTAATATATATTATATATATATATATAATAATGATTGGGATAAAATGAAAATGACAAGTGTTTGTTCGAGATAAAGATCGTTATTTAATGTATCGTACATACATTTATAAAGTGCTACCAAAATCGAACTTTTATAGTGGTGGCGATCAACAACAGCATAGCTGAAACTTTTCGAAAGAGCTAGATTTCCTAATGCTCGCGATGCTCAAGTACAATACGTCAAGCTACAAAATTTATTTGACTGAATTGATTCTCTATTTATGTAAATAATTCTGAATGAAAAAAATTCATTGCCTTAGCGCGTATGCTTGTCACAAATTTTACTCGTGATTGGATTTACGAACTTAATCGAACAGAGAGAAAGTATTTTTTGGTAAAATCATAAACAACAATTTATGTCGCCTAATATTATCGTGTTTTTTCTAAAAACTCAATTCTATTTCATAACGATAATAACTATGGATTTTGCATACGTTATACTTCTATTAATCGACGAAACAATAAATTAGTATTTGTTCCAGCATATTGCACAATTGATGCCGGAACTCAAATGGAACGTATTGTATCAGTGAAATTAAAATGCTACGGCAATTATCTATAAAACGAATAATGGACTTTATTATCGTAGATTATAAGTCAATTGTTTTTTTTTTCTACACTTTTGATAGGCTCTTTTATTAATACATATTCAAAATCATTGTTTTGTGCCATTTAAGCATCGCTGTCACTTCCCCATTTTAGTTGCCATCAATACATATTGAAGTCATATGTGTAATTGTTTTTCATTTTTAGATACTATTAATCTGAGGTTAATCTTGTTGAATTCGATACAAATATTTATAGGTAAAACTGAAATTACATGGAAATCAATAATGAACAAAATTTGTATTGTATTCAACAAGACAAATTCATACAGTTGTGTTCATTTTTATACTGTATACATCACGTAAAAAGCTTTTCTCCATCTTTTTATCACCGTTGTTTTATCGTCACCCTATGTGAGGATTTGAATCTGAAAATAATTTTATATTTAAGAGAATTTCCAGCGAGAAAGAAAACAATAATTAGTGGTGGCAGGAAAAGCATGGTATAACAAGTGTGCTTTTACACTTCATGATCATTAAGAATGGTTATCAAAAATGACTCATTAATCAATATATTATAGAAGTAGCGTCAATTTCCTAATTACTATTAGAAATACTGCAGTTAGTTCTAGAATTATAAATATTGAAAATCATCTGTTACTGATTTATTGATCTTTATCAAACAATATTCGTTATAAAACGAACATTAAACATATTGAAATTTTATTATATTATCACACAAGAACTAGGTTGAGAAATGATATCGATAATCTGTTGACGCTTATTTTAAATAAAAAAAATTATTTTGTGGTTTAAGTTTGTTTATAATAATGATAATGATAGTAACATAATATGAATATGAATATGATAATAATGAAAGACGAATAAGTAAAAAGTTTTTAATAGTTTCTGTTTAAAGTTTGTATACTTTATAACATGGATATTATACTGCACTTGTTAGTCAAACTGTACGATAAAGAATACTAGTTAGTAAGGATTATTCATTATAAATAAAGTTGAATACTTGGTATATATGTTACCTGTTATATAATTTCATAAAATTTACGTATAAAATAAATTATTTTCTATGGAACCTAAATTCACATATTAAACAGTTTCCGTATTATTCTTAAGCGAATTTTCAACTTGTTCTGAATTTATTTCAATTTTATTTGTTTTTAATCGTTTTCTTTTCTTTTTGTTCGATTTCTCATGTTGTTTCTGAAAATATTCTCTAACACCCAATTTATTTATTAAATACTGTCGAAACATTTCCAAGGCATTCTTGCCACCAGTTCCTTTTTCGTAGATCATAGATATTTTTACATCGTCATTTTCAGCTTCTTCATGTTCAATTATTTCAGCAAAAAAGCTACATATTAACAAAGGTTCATTTTTATCTCCTGAGTTCTTTTTTAATAATTTTTCCGCAGGATTTTCTGCAATATCATTTATTACAGTTGTACATTCTGTGTCATGATCCACAGATTGATTTATTAATCTTTGAGCTAATCGACGTTTTCTACGTGCATATGACCACGTATCATTTTCTGCAATTAGTTGACACGACCAACCATTAAAGTCGTCAATTGGCAAATTTAATTCCTTGATTTGTATCTATATAAAAAAATCGTCAAATTAAAATAAATGTAAAAGCATTGCAAAAAGTATAAGTATAATGTTACTTGTAATTGTTCCAGTATTTCTTCTAAAAAATTAACAAAGTTGTCAAAAGAAGAAAATTTATGTCTCATTGGGAATTGTATTTCTGTTGGACGTTGTTCTCTTAACAATTTTGCAATGTAATCTCCACTTTTCCGAATAACAGGTGCATTTGTCAAATTAATAACATCTTTGGGTAGAAATGACCAAGCCAATCCCCATCTATAAAAAAACGAAAAAAATTAAATTCGTAAGTACATGAAATCAGAAAGATGTCTTTAAAAAGATGCATTCACCTTTTTGTGTGTCCTTGACAGAATTCTGTCCATGTTGAATTTTCTATATCTTTTTTCTTTAGAAATTTTAATAAAAATAATAAATTACTTCTTCTACCAAACATAGTAGTATAAATTTTTACTTTGTCTTTAATTTCTATACTCTCTTCAATCATTTGTGTTACAAATGCTCTTTCACCACCTTCAACTGTAAGTTCAACTTTATTTCCAGTTGGAGCATTTCTTGGTGGTAGTCGCTTCATTACTTTCTCTGATGATCCTTCTATTTCAAAAAAAGGAGGATTACACATTGTAAAATGATATACATTATTTTCTTTTATAATTTCCTTCAATATTGTGCTTCCATCTACCTTACATACTGTAAAAATAATATTCAAACATAAAAAATATGCATATTTTAATTATATATATCATGTAATATATGTAGTTAATATTGTATTATATGATATACAATATTAACTACATATAATATATAATGTATATAATACATAATAATATATATAATTAATATATAATACATAATTAATTTGCCTTTTATTATGTCTTGTAAATTATTATTTTCAACATGTTGAACAGCTGTTTGCATACTTGATTCGTCAACTTCTGTAGCAATCATTTGATTTCCATACATTTTTGCAAATAATAAAGGATAAATGCAAACTGCACCAGTACCTAAAAAAGTATAATTGTTGTCATTAAAAATTCTTTTTAATATTATACTTTACTGTTATTTGATTCTTAATTTATACCAATATCTACACCAATCACTTCTTTCATTTCGTGAAAAGAAGCATGTTTCATTAAATCTTCAATCCATAAAATATAATTTAAGCGTAATGGCAATGTTGGTACTAATTTATTTGCAGGTATTTTTACTTCCAGATTAAAATCATGTTTCAATAATACTTCTGTAAGTATTCGCAGACTTTCTTCATTTTTGAAATCAATCTTTATCTTGCCTGTTAAATTCTATATATTAAACAAATATACACATTACATTTTGCATCAAAAAATAAAATAATAAATATAAGTATTGAAATATTTAGCTTACAACAATTGCAATATCACGGAACTCTGAATACAATAAAGCAAGTTCTTTAAAGTCTGGTACTTTCTTATATTTATTCCTTGGATGCATAAACTTTCTTAATGACATTTTCAAAGAATTATTTCTTCTTATTCTCAATAATGATGTTGATACATATTTGTTATAATGTAGTATATGTACTCATAACAATTAGTAATAAATACTTTTTATTTACAAATGTAAAATCATAGATAATGTATAGAATAGATCTGACATCTTGAATAAATCTATTCAAGATGTCAGATTTATTCTAGCCAGTAGATTCAGAGTATCGGTCCTACGTAATAGAGGAACATGTAACAATTGTAAATAGCAGATTGATTTTTATTCAAACTTCTAGTTACGTTCATGTTAATTCTCTTGATTAACTTTCTTTTTGCAAATTAAAATTTGATCATTTTATATACATAAAGTTGGAACACTATCACCGCGTAGCGGTGGAACTTCTAATTTTTGAATTTAAATTTATTTATATAATATCGAACAATCAGTTTAATAAAAGACTTATTGAAGTTTTGTAATGAAAGCATTGTATAATATTGAATACAAAATCGGAGTAATGTGAATTAAAACATCATTGTTTTATAATATTTGGATTTTGCGCCAGAAATATTAGTACGGTTTCGCGGCTATGTTCGTGCTATATTAGGCAGATACGTAACATCTACCGTGCAAGTGTAACATTTGAAATGTTGGCAACAGTGTACACGAACGAATCTATCGTGATGACAATTTTAAGTGGTGACAGCCGCGTATGTACTTCTCAGCCTTACAGTAATATCGTATACGTTTTTAGTGACACGAAATATAATTTTCCTAGTGTGTGATTTATTTCGTAAGCAGCATATGGAATATTAATCGTGCGTAAGGTATGTGCTTTACGATAATTGCAACGAGTATCAGAAACAGATGGTTGTCGTGATTTCGTTTCGCCTGACAGTTTGTTAATATGGACAAGTGCCACTCTGACAGTTTTCCTTTTTTCGTTATCTTTATTGTTAGGCATCTGTTACTGGCTTATCGTATTTGTATTCTTGTTTTTTTTTATTTTTGCCTTTCTATCATCGATTTATATTTCGTCTGACTGGAAAACGGAACAACGTGAATAAAGTGCGTGTGCAATAACGATTAATGATACCACGTTGGAAATATTTATTTCTTCTATCATGTGAATTTCAAGTTGAACAGATTACATTTTACATTTTGTATTTTCATGTTTTTTTCAAAAGAATTGAAATAGAATCGTGTTGAGTCGATATTGTTAATGATTAATTTCGAGATATAAGTACACTTTTAAATAACAAACAGATGCTGAACCCTATGTTTTCATTGGGGTGTTCAACATACAATCATGTTTACTTAAAGGTAAAATACAAAAAGGTAAAAATTACTCAAATGCCTTAATATCTTAATAATAATTTAATATTTAATATTTTAATATTTTAAATTATTATTATTATATTATTTTACTTAACCTTAAACTAGTTTAAACGAGTTTTGTTCAACTATGCAATCTTATTGACATAATTTTGTGTGTATTTAGATTTATATACATACATTCTGTTTATTATTGTATTTTTAAATTTCATATAAATGAAAAATTTAAATGCCTTGCATAGCTCATATATTTAATGGAAGTTTTTGTAGACACCTTATATATTGTATATCAAATTCAAAATGAATGCATAGAATTTTAAGTTTGTTGCTATAAAAGGTACTAGTGTATTATTGTATTTATTGTAGCATATACATATATATTAATGAATTTAGATTAAAATATGTCAAATTTAATAGTAATATAAGTAAAAAAATTGTACTAATGCAAGTTAATAGACAAATTTGACATTATGAAAATGTGTGAAAATTAATAAAGAAATACAAGGATAAAATAAACACTGTACAATAGTAAATCTTTATCTCTAAAAACCAGAAATGTATAATGTAACTGCCAATGTTTATGTATTTGTAAAAAATGTACAGAATGCACATAATATAAATGAATATGCAAAATAAGGCATTCACATTGTAATATTTAGAGGATGAGATGAATTTCTGTTTAGATTTCATTCTGTTAATTGCATGTATAAAAATCTGAATCTATATGACTGAAACATCTGCAATCTATGTTATGACCAAAATTGAAACAAAGAATGTGAGAATCATTATCTTCTCCTCAGTTACCCAATCTAATGATAATAGAACACGTTTCAAAATTTTGATTTAAAGGTTCAAAAGTAAAACTGAGTCTTCTAATACAAAGATTATTTCTTCTTTTCCTGAAATCAATTTCGTGAAACTTTACATTTCACCTAGATTGGTGTATTCTCACTGGAATTTAGAGTTGCTGAAATCGTGTGTTGAAGTTCTTTTTCCTTTTTTTTTTTTTCTCAAATCATCGCATTCCATAATGTGCAACGACTGTGCTTTCTTCCCCTTCCTCCCGTTTCCTGATCGCTTTGTTTGCACATGCATTTGGACGATTGCTTTCCGCGTATACAACCGCGTACACGTTGTGTAACCGTAACGGTAAAACGATCCGTCATTCATCCTTTCGGAACAATTGGGAAAACATATTGTAACGAGCATGAAAATCCGTTGTAACGTGTCGGTTGTGGATCGAATACTTTAGAATGTAGAATACAATAATTTACAAAAGTATTTGAACATTTACCATACAAAACTTTCATACGCACTTAAAGTTGTATGTGTAAAACATTTTGAGATTTCATTAGCACCATAATGAGACACGGGTGCCAACTGCTGATAAAATTTGAAATCAATCTGAAAATTTATATAGAAGTTTATAGTATAGTATATTGACACTCATTAATACAATGAACAATTGATTGTTTAAAATATATCTCTGCTTAAAATATATACTTGCGTTGGATATCTTGTAACCTCTATACTGTGTACTGCCACGTGCGTATATATATATTTTCAAGTTTCAAATTTTACTCATTAATATAAATTTTGCTGCTAATGAACTCGAGAATGTTCCATACACCCCACGTCAGATATAGTGATAAAAAAATTTCTCCAAGTGTTCGAGCAGTTTTGTTAACCAGTATAGCCAACTGTAATGAATTTGTTTCGTTAAACAGAAATCGGTGAAAGGCTTCGTTGCTTTTTCCGCGTGTAATTGCGCCTTGCACGAGCACGTACGCGCTTTTTCTGCCATTCCCCACTTTGGATTCAGTTCGCCGAGGTACTTTGTCGTATTTCGTGTTTCTTCTTTGCCTTGTTAGGGAAGGGTTCCTTTAGTTACACGTTTAACAACTGCATGGCCATTATTAAATCACGAAAATTACACATCGTTGGATCTTTTTATACACACACTGTATATTCATGTAATGTAACATTTCTGAATTTAATGTTCAATTTCAATTTTTTTAAATTTAGATATTTCAACATTCTTGAGATATTATTTTAAATCTAAATTTAAAGAAAGTTCCCGACTTTTGTTTCTTGTTACAAATTACAAGCCCCCTATGCGCGAAACGTTGGAACTCTAATTATGGATCGAGAAAGTTAATAAAACCGCCGTATCTCTTTTTCTACGAACTTTAACAACATCGCCAGAATTTATTTTTATAAACATATCCTGGATGTCGATAAAATTGTAGTTGTGTCGCAAGTTACACATTAATGTTTTATTAATCCATTAATGACCATAGAGTGAAGCAAAATAGCTGTAGTTAAAGATATCGCTAAGGACGAATATTTAGGTCGACAAACATTTAAAGTAGAGAGAAATGATTTCTTTTTCCAATTTTTTTCCAATTGAGTATCGCTTTAAATTTTCTATTCTACCGCAATTTATTTTGATATTTTAACATCGAAAACTGTAACTATTCTACAAATGCTTTTTTTCAGTTTTGTGATACTTTTGCGATATTTTTTCGATTTCATATCTTATATATAATTATACATTTGTATTAATATTTCAATATTTTTTTTTTGGATAGCTTGTTTATTTTCCCCAATAATTCAATAATTTCATGGTATTTTAATATTTCAGTGGATCGCTCCAATATTTTGATCACAGTTCACTGAAGAAACCTTCCAAACAGTTCCGAATCTACTCGAGTTACAAATTTAACAGAAATTTTTATATCGAAATGATTCAACGAATACAAGAAAATAAAATCTCTCCTGCATTCTACAATAAAAATTTTCAAGATTTCAAAATCTTCGAAAGACGTTCCGACGAAAATAAAATTTTCTTTTTGAAGAAAAGGCAATGAAATATCGAATGAAATTTCACCTAGATCGTAAACAACACGGGTTGCCTATGTAAATATATATATATATATATATATATATATGCCTATGTAAATAAATATATATATATGCCTATATAAATATATACATATTTTTTTAATATATATATATATCTTAAAATCTTATATATATCTTATATTAATTATATTAATCTTATATATATATATATATATATATATATATATATATATATATATATATAATAATTATCTTTATACAGACTAACAAGTTGATCCCTCCGTTTCTATAAAATCATCCATCATCGATCATCCACGATACCAACACCCAGAACGCAGAACATAGAAAATTTGTCGTCGTTTCGCTCGTCGGAATCGCGTAGGTCCTTTTATTTACTCTCTCTCGTTACGAAAGAAGAGAAGAGGAAGAGGTCGGTTGCGCATGTGGAGCATCCTGGCCTGCGCGGGCTCCATCGACCCCTCAAACCATTTCGTATACGTTTCCAGTACGTGTTTAGCGATCCTACTGTGCCAGTTTGATCGGGAAAAGGGAACGAGATAAAATCAACATCGACGATTGGCCAATTAACCCCCGGCTGCCCCTTGTCGGTGACAATCGTGCCGCGACTGCATTCGAGACCAATTGTTATCTCTGTGTGATATCGTGATATTTAGTATATATAATACCCGGTTAGAACAATCGTCCACACCTGTCCACACCGTTTGATCTCGATCACCTCGTCCTCTCTGGTCTAGATCTGCGGTATCTACGCTCGTTTCGTCGCAGTGAACGATTTTCAGCTCTCCACCACTATCTCTTACTTTTCACTTTATCACTTTCTTTCATCGATGTTGTTAATGTTGTCTTCTTTCTTTCCTTCCTTTTTTTTTTTTTTTTTTTCATTTCACGTATGATAGAACGGAGGACGAAGACAGAAAGATACTTGGTGGTGATCTTAAAGTGGAGGAAATTTCTAAGTTTACGTAATCGTGTTTGAGACGGCGGTTTGGAAATTAGGGGAGCACGTGAGAATAAGTAGAAAAGAGCAGAGGTATATATGGGGTATTTTTAGACGAGAGCTTCGCTTTTTGTGGGAGAAACGAGTTTCGAACGTTGGTCAAGTATAATTAAATTTGGCTAAATGGCGATCAGGTAAGAATGGGAGTTTATTTTATACGCGTGGAAATAAATGTCGAATATCTAGAACAAGGTATTTTTTCGAGGGAATCGAATTCGATGATTGACTCTTTGCCAGTCACACGTTCAAATTCTATTGTTTCGAAAAGAAATAAATTTTATTCTTCATTTCTGCTTTTTTTTTCCCCTTTTTTTTTTCTAAATTTTATATTTCTATCTTACCCGGAAATTTTTGAGAGAAATTGAAATCGAGAAATCATTCGTATCGACTTCTTTTACATCTATTACATCTTCTTTACATCTATTTTGTTGAGAAAATATTACTCATATATAAAAGATGATCAAAAGAACATAGCAGGATGAATGGAGTATAAAATTTCGTAGAATATTAATTGTAAGAATTATTAATTATTCGATATACTTTCACCTTGAAAATCACGTCCTTATATGTTATACCACAATTTCAGAAGCATCTTGTATTTCTTGGCTT